GGATGATGATAAGAGATGTTGTTTAACAACGCACAGCTGTCTGCGTTCTGTTGGATGTAGTTTAACAACGCACAGCTGTCTGCGTTCTGTTGGATGTAGTTTAACAACGCACAGCTGTCTGCGTTCTGTTGGATGTAGTTTAACAACGCACAGCTGTCTGCGTTCTGTTGGATGTAGTTTAACAACGCACAGCTGTCTGCGTTCTGTTGGATGTAGTTTAACAACGCACAGCTGTCTGCGTTCTGTTGGATGTAGTTTAACAACGCACAGCTGTCTGCGTTCTGTTGGATGTAGTTTAACAACGCACAGCTGTCTAGGATGGTGGACAATGTAGTCACTCCTTTTGAATATGAAAAAATGGTTTTAAAGTAAAGTACACCTTTAACTATTTCTACACAGCATTAAAACATCAAGTAAAGGGGAGATGTTGAGGTTCTGATTCAAACCTTAACAGATGGCCTGTACTGATTTCACCTGCATCACGAAACCTTTAATGAAACAGAGCATATTTGTAAATGAATGAATACTAAAGAGATTATCGGACAGCGTTATACTGACCATTGGTCTTGAGCTTTGACTGAAGTGGGGCAGAAATGATTAAATCAATCAATGGTCAGCTCTCTAATCAATATATAATTACGCTGCACACTCCATCTCATTATGACAGGGTGCTTAAGACCATATTTATAGGTTCCTTTACTGACAGTTGAAGCTCACAAGCAACCTAAAAGATGCAAGTTATCAAGGCCAACATTTCATGTACACTGAACAAAAATATAAACGCAACATGCAACTATTTCAAGAATTTTACTGAGTCACAGTTCATATAAGAAAATCAGTCAATTGAAATAAATAAATTAGGCCCTAATCTATGGATTTCACATGACTGGGAATACAGATATGCATATGTTGGTCACAGATACCTTTTAAAAAAGGTAGGGGCGTGGATCAGAAAACCAGTCAGTATCTGGTGTGACCACCATTTGCCTCATACAGCGCGACACATCTCCTTCGCATAGAGTTGATCAGGCTGTTGATTGTGGCCTGTGGAATGTTGTCCCACTCCTCTTCAATGGTTGTGCAAAGTTGCTGGATATTGGTGGGAACTGGAACACGCTGTCATACATGTCGATCCAAAGCATCCCAAACATGCTCAATGGGGGACGTCTGGTGAGTATGAAGGCCATGGAAGAACTGGGATATTTTCAGCTTCCAGGAATTGTGTACAGAATGGGGCCGTGCATTATCATGCTGAAACATGAGGTGATGGCGGCAGATGAATGGCACGACAATGGGCCTCAGGATCTCATCACGGTATCTCTGTGCATTCAAATCGGTTACGACGCCGAACTGCAGTCAGGTCAAGACCCTGGTGAGGACGACAAGCACGCAGATGAGCTTCCCTGAGACGGTTTCTGACAGTTTGTGCAGAAATTGTTGGGTTCAGCAAACCCACAGTTTCATCAACTGTCCGGGTGGCTGGTCTCAGACGATCGATCCCGCAGGTGAAGAAGCCGGATGTGGAGGTCCTGGGCTGGCGTGGTTACACTTGGTCTGCAGTTGTGAGGCCGGTTGGACGTACTAACAAATTCTATTAAACGACGTTGGAGGCGGCTTATGGTAGAGAAATTAACATTCAATTCTCTGGCAACAGCTCTGGTGGACATTCCTGCAATCAGCATGCCAATTGCACGCTCCCTCAAAACTTGAGACATCTGTGGCATTGTGTAGTGTGACAAAACTGCACATTTTAGAGTGGCCTTTTATTGTCCCCAGCACAAGTTGCACCTGTGTAATGATCATGCTGTTTAATCAGCTTCTTGATATGCCATACCTGTCAGGTGGATGGATTATCTGGCAAAGGAGAAATGCTCACTAACAGGGATGTAAACAAATTAGTGCACAACATTTTAGAGAAATAAGCTTTTTGTGCCCATGGAAGATTTCTGGGATCTTTTATTTCAGCTCATGAAACATGGGACCAACACTTTACATGTGGCATTTATATTTTTGTTCAGTAATAATTGGGTCACTGGATAGCATATACCCACTGGGCAAAAACTGGTTGAATCAATGTTGTTTCCATGTCATTTCAACAAAGAAATTCAATGTGATGACATTGAATCAACGTGGAAAACTGATTGGATTTGAAAAAAGTAATCCACTTAAGATAATTTCTTATTTTTTTCACCCAACTTTTAACTTAAATCAACGTTTAACCTAAATCAACTTTTAACCTAAATCAACTTTTAACCTAAATCAACTTTTAAACAAAATCAACTTTTAACCTAAATCCACTTTAACCTAAATCCAATGACATGGTGAAATGTTTTTGTATTTCACGTTGAATTCAGGTTAGTTGACAACTCAACCAAATGTAAATCAAAACTAGACGTTGAATTGACCAGTGGGTAACTTTTGCAAATGTTTGTAGTGGACAAAATGAATAAATAAATAAATATTTATTTTTTATTTTTTATTAATTCTACTATAGCCTAATGTGACACAATCCCTTTTGGTTTTCTGACCAAATGTTTCATTTGCCTATGCGTAGAGTGGATATTTATTGTAACTGGGTAGGCTATAGCTTTTTGCAATGGTATGGTAAAAGGGAACAAAACAAATCAATCAATCAATGAATAAAGTTATTTTCTCAAGTGTAAGGTGAGACAAAACGTCTAAATGTAATCTTTGCCTGTGTGTAAAGTAGAGAGTAGAGAGAGAGAGAGAGAGAGAGAGAGAGAGAGAGAGAGAGAGAGAGAGAGTAGAGAGAGAGAGAGAGAGAGAGAGAGAGAGAGAGAGAGAGAGAGAGAGTAGAGAGAGCGAGAGAGAGAGAGAGAGAGAGAGAGAGAGGGGATTTTTAGCTGACCACAGCACAGCTGATCTCAACCTCACAGCTGGAGCCTATTGGTCATTGAATGGGTAGAGGGATGAAGGGTCGGGTCCATTGTCAAAAGGCACAGCCACTCCAGGTCCATGGTGGCCGGTTGGATCAACAGCTGAATTCATTCAGGAAGCCAGCTGACCCGCTGCCATCAATATCTCCTCATAATTACCAAGTTCAATGGTCAAACAGAGCAGCTGTTTCATTTAGGGACCTGATCACCAGTTTTGTATCAATGCATTGGTCCTTGGTAACTGCTAGCTAAACCTATAAACCACATCTAAGAAATATCTGGTGTTGCCAGCAATTGTTTGGATAGAATATGGTGCAGCATTGGGGAACATCCCGGGCCGTCCCTACGCGCGTACACACGCGCCAAGTCTATTTCTATGGGCACAAGCACTGTTCATGGCACACACTGTTCCCACCCCTCTTGTTGGCGGAGAGAATTTTGAAGGTTTAAAGCTTATTTCCTGCAATTCTACACATTTTATCATAGGATGCAAATAAAATGTTGCAGTTTTAAAGATAATTTTATTGCAATTCTATACATTTTAGTCATGTAGCAGATGCGCTTATCCAGAGCGACTTACTCTTAGTGAGTGCCTAATTTTATTTTTATTTTTTCATACTGGCCCCCCGTGGGAATCGAACCCACAACCCTGGGGTTGCAAGCGCCATGCTCTACCCACTGAGCAACACAGGGCCTTGTCTATTGTGTATTCATGTGATATTTTAGTGACAAAAAAATTACAACAATATCTATGGGCTAAAAACGTTGGGCTAGTTGATTTGGACATTTCTGACAAGTTATGAATAGCTCTCTAAGGTCTGCAATGACTAACATGACAAGAGGAACTGATGAAGCAACTACCCAATTTAGAAATTGCACCTTGTTTATTCTACTATCACAACTTTTAAGTTTAAAGCGGGACTGAGTTCCTAAAAAAAAATATATATATATATATATATATATATATATATATATATATATATATATATATATATATTATTATTAATTAAATAAAAAAATTGGGGGTGGGGGGACCTCCACGCCCCCCTGCCGACCTCCGTGCCCCCGGCCGACCCCTCCCCCAAAGTTTGGGAACCACTGGACTGTGGTGGAAACCCACGACGTGCGCCCATCGATTAAAGCTTGGCTCGAGTAGCACATGCGCCGTCAGGGGGAGGGGGTCCCAGCCGGAGTCCCTCTCAGATGTTGTTGCAGCCCAGGTGTCATTGGTCATTTGGGGAGGCTCGCAGCACGATAGGAAACGGCGGTCCTCCTTTATAGAATGACAGAACAATCGGAATAAATGGCGATTTTCAAAAGGAATCTACACCAGCATTGTTTGCTGTTTTTTGTTTTGTTTATTCCACTATCAGGTTAAGTAATTTTTTTATTTTTCTGTATATTTTATGTGTCAGTAGTTATTTGCAACTGCAAGAGCGTTTGAGGTCCGTGTTTGTGTGACCAGATATCAACCGTACCAGACCGGATGACCACAGAATGTGGCCACGACCTTTGGGCGGATATTATACTCGGCAAAAAAAGGATGCACGAGAATAAGAATATATTTTATAACATAAAAGGGGAAAAAAGCTACTATTCTGTGTAAAATGCATTACTTTTAGAGGAATAGAGTGGCTGTGATTGTTTTGGGCAGTGTCCAGTTGTTAATTCCTGCATGGACCAGGACCATGCATTCAAATATTAAAATTAACTGATTTTTTACAAATTCAAACGGACAATTTAGTATGTCTCCTTGGTCTCATTAACACTGTATTGTTTACCAAGTAACCTGGGTAATAACTAGGCTATACACCATATCTGAGTTATTTCTTTTTCTTTCTGTTTTTGATGTATTTATCAAGACCAAACAGACAGGAAATAAGTAAACGATTACATGAATAGGTAGAGAAAGTTACACTAAAATCTATACACTGCTATAATACACTACTATGATAACCATGCAAGTATTGTGCAATACATAAGGACCCAATAGAGTCCCTTACTGACTCCACAGACCTGACAGGACAGGCCTGACATATCAACGTCTTCCTCTCCTCCTCCTTTCATCTCATTAACGGTCCCCTCTCCTTTCCATTTCCAGGTGTTTTTTGTTTCAGTGAGCTCTCCTTCATCACAGAACCCAGTGGTGTTGTAGTGATACCCAGGGATCCAGTGGTCCTGGACTGTGTGGCCCACGGACAGCCTCCCATCACCATCAGATGGCTGAGGAATGGAGTCAGGCTAGCGGAGAGCGAGCGGCTCCAGTTCCTGTCCAACGGCTCGCTGTACATACCTGAGGTCAGGAGAGACGGAGAGGAGTCGGACGAAGGGCTCTATCAGTGCCTCTCCCAGAATAGATATGGAGCCATATTAAGCCAAAGATCCCGACTGACTATCACAAGTAAGTATGGAGCATGAGGTACCAGAATGTGTCACTGGAAAGCATACAGTGAAATGTATATACAGCTTAAAGGTATATCAAACACTACAGAACAATAACAACAACAACATTTGTAATGACACACACACACACACACACACACACACACACACACACACACACACACACACACACACACACACACACACAGACACACACACACACACACACACACACACACACACACACGTTATTGAGAAAAGTCCTCTAAAGCTTTCCTCAGTAAAGGTTCCATGTCATTAGACCGGGCCCGTGTAGCTCAGTTGGTAGAGCATGGTGCTTGCAACGCCAGGGTTGTGGGTTCGATTCCCACGGGGGGCCTGTATGAAAAAAAAAAGTATGAAAATGTATGTAGTCACTCTGGATAAGAGTGTCTGCTAAATGACTAAGATGTAAAAATTATAAGGTGGACAGGCTTATTGTTGGTAAAAGCTTATTGTGGAGTTATAGACTTGTTTAAAAACATTTAAGGGTCAGTGAAGTACTGATGGACAGTCTGAAAGCTACTAAAATACTCAGGATAATAGGTTATATGTGTAATATGGAAACACACACACAGGCCTACACACTTTCACACACACAATTTCCTGGAAAATGTGTTCAGTCAGTCTGCCGTGTTGGTGCGTTGTCAGGGTAGACCAGTGCTCTCTCTGTGGTGTGGTCTGTTACACAGAGGAATCTCTCAAAGGCCTTTCACTTTTAGCCCTTTGTCTGGCCTGCCCTGACTGTTCCTGACTGGCCCTGAACGGCCCTGACTGGCCCTGACTGGCCCTGACTGGCCCTGACTGTTCCTGACTGTTCCTGACTGTTCCTGACTGGCCCTGAACGGCCCTGACTGGCCCTGACTGGCCCTGACTGTTCCTGACTGTTCCTGACTGGCCCTGACTGGCCCTGACTGGCCCTGACTGGCCCTGACTGTTCCTGACTGGCCCTGACTGTTCCTGACTGTTCCTGACTGGCCCTGACTGGCCCTGACTGGCCCTGACTGGCCCTGACTGTTCCTGACTGGCCCTGACTGTTCCTGACTGGCCCTGAACGGCCCTGACTGGCCCTGACTGGCCCTGACTGTTCCTGACTGTTCCTGACTGTTCCTGACTGTTCCTGACTGTTCCTGACTGGCCCTGACTGGCCCTGACTGGCCCTGACTGTTCCTGACTGGCCCTGACTGGCCCTGACTGGCCCTGACTGGCCCTGACTGTTCCTGACTGGCCCTGACTGGCCCTGTCTGGCCCTGACTGGCCCTGACTGGCCCTGACTGGCCCTGACTGGCCCTGACTGTTCCTGACTGGCCCTGACTGGCCCTGTCTGGCCCTGACTGGCCCTGTCTGGCCCTGACTGGCCCTGACTGGCCCTGACTGGCCCTGACTGGCCCTGACTGTTCCTGACTGGCCCTGACTGGCCCTGACTGGCCCTGTCTGGCCGTGACGGTTCCTGACTGGCCCTAAAGAAAAGGCATTAGTTTGTCCACATATCAGTGGACAGGACAGCTGGCCTATTGAGCATCACCAGGCCAGTTCTTACAAACACAACCACAGGGGTTGGCTTGACTTTAGTCTGGTTTATCTTCCTGTAGGACATCATTTAGGGATGGGGGGTATTATAAGTATCACATATTCCTTGTTTATCAAAAGCAACACCAATATCAATGTTGCTTTAGTTTATTTGATGTCTTGAAAATAGTTGTTAGATCTGACAATGATGAGCATGGCTCCTGAAGGGTTAAAAGGGGGCGTCTCTCTCTTTCTCTCTGCTGCTCCCCATCGGTCCAGAGAGATCAAGGAAGTGCATGGGAAAGGCTTTGTGTGATGTCACCGCCTGGCCCGCCTGCTCTGAGCTCCGTGCTGTGGCCGGAGGTTGCCCTGTCCTGCTGTCCTCTGTCCTTTCACTAGTCCGTCACTGGTCCTTTCAGTGGCTCTCCAGTCGCTGGCCTCTCCCACACTCACTATCTGTGTCAAGGGCAACTCTATTGTTCTACGTATCTATAGGCTAGGCCCGATCTGTGTCAAGGGCAACTCTATTGTTCTACGTATCTATAGGCTAGGCCCGATCTGTCAAGTGGGTGACTAGGTTGTGTTATTCCTCTCAAACATTTGAAAAAAGCTCAGGAAAGGAAAGGAAAGCCACAAGAGTTCTGTGGAGAAAAAAATAAAAATATATATATATATAAAAAAAAATAAAAAAAAACATATTGTAAAGTGGTTATCCCACTGGCTATAAGGTGAATGCACCAATTTGTAAGTCGCTCTGGATAAGAGCGTCTGCTAAATGACGTAAATGTGAATGTGATGTTTATTGCGTCCGGTTTTAGTTTAACAACAGTCAGTTTTATGGCACCTGCAGTAGCAACACGCTCTATGACATCACACGACATCCTCAGCTTTACGGTCATACTAGAGCAACATTGTTTCATCTTCGAAATATAAACAACTAACAAAAAACGTGAAGCATTAGTATATGCAAGTTTTTTGGTAGACAATAGCTGACCAGAGCGATAACAGTCTTCGATCCGACCGGGTCTCCCCCCAATTTGGGCTGAAATTGAATGGACAGGGGGGCTGGGGTGAACCCTGACCTCTCTAAGGGAACCTTTGTGCAGTCTGACCTGTCCGTTAATCTGCTGTTTACGACAGAGCTAGGTTGGGCTGGGCGGAGTAGTCTGCTGCTCAGGCCACGCCCCCAACGTGGTTGACCCCAACCACCGCCAGAAACCCCCACCAGAGAGGATGGCTTCGGCGCCTTATCTATGGGTGGAGATTAGCTAGATGGACATTAGATCATGTTAACAAGGCCCAGTGTGGTGAGCACCTAGGCCTACATGCCATCATGGTGCGATTGTTTTCAAGATGTTTCTGCTGTTAAACTTGATTTTTTAAATAAGAGATTTAGTTGATTATCATATGCAATGAGGAAGGCAGCTCTCTTGGCAACATATGCTGGCGTTTCCTTTCTATCCAATCCAGGGCAAGGATGACCTTCTCCACGTTAGGGTTAGCTGTTATTTGTGTACAATATTGGTGTCCTTGTTAGGCTTCAAATTAAAAAGGAAATATCTTTAATTCAAATCTGCTTTAGAGCAACATTTTAATGTTGACTTTAATAGGAGAAACTAGTCATTGATTTTCTTTAACATGGTATTGACCTGGTCCTGTGACTGGGGTCTTTAACATGGTATTGACCTGGTCCTGTGACTGGGGTCTTTAACATGGTATTGACCTGGTCCTGTGACTGGGGTTTTTAACATGGTATTGACCTGGTCCTGTGACTGGGGTCTTTAACATGGTATTGACCTGGTCCTGTGACTGGGGTCTTTAACATGGTATTGTGTATGTATTATGTACTCAACGGTCAGGCAGACAGATCCTTCTAGTATTCATTATTGAAGATCTCTGTGATGAATCATTATTGAAGATGTCTGTGATGAATCATTATTGAGGATGTCTGTGATGAATCATTATTGAAGACGTCTGTGATAAATCATAATCATACTTTTACTATTTGTATTTATCCTCCTCCTCCTCCTCCTCCTCTTCCTCCTGTCTTCCTCCTCCTCCTCCTCCTGTCTTCCTCCTCCTCCACTTCCTCCTGTCTTCCTCCTCCTCTTCCTCCTCCTCCTCCTCCTGTCTTCCTCCTCCTCTTCCTCCTCCTCCTCCTCCTCCTCCTCCTGTCTTCCTCCTCCTCCTCCTGTCTTCCTCCTCCTCCTCTTCCTACTCCTCCTCCTCCTCCTCCTCCTCCTCCTCCTCCTCCTCCTCCTCCTCCTCCTCCTCCTGTCTTCCTCCTCCTCCTCCTGTCTTCCTCCTCCTTTTCCTCCTCCTCCTCCTGTCTTCCTCCTCCTCCTCCTCTTCCTCCTCCTCCTCCTCCTTCCTCCTTCCTCCTCCTCCTCCTCTTCCTCCTCCTCCTCCTCCTCCTCTTCCTCCTCCTCCTCCTCCTCTTCCTCCTCCTTTCTTCTTCCTCTGCCTCCTCCTCCTGTCTTCCTCCTCCTCCTCCTGTCTTCCTCCTCCTCCTCCTCCTCCTCCTGTCTTCCTCCTCCTCCTCCTGTCTTCCTCCTCCTCCTCCTCATCTTCCTCCTCCTCCTCCTCCTCTTCCTCCTCCTCCTCCTCCTCCTCCTCCTCCTTCATCTATCTGCAGTCTTAAAGCCTTATCTCCTGAGAGCCAGCCCATTGATTAGTGTTGATTTATGACCATACATCATTCAATGCCATTCTCCCATTGATCTATTGATTGGTATATTGATTGGTCTATTGATCCGAACAGCTGGCCAGCTGCACAGCTGATTGGCTCAAAGACAAAATCATGGTGGCTGGGATGTGCCAAACTCCCTCATGGGTTCAGATCCCATTTCTCACCATCAGGGTTTGACACACTTGACCTCCTCTCTTCAAACTATAGATTGAAAGCTGAATATTCAAATTCCAAGCAAGTTGTTGAAATCAATGAAGTCGTTTTGTGAAACACTTGATAACAAGTTCATAAAATAAACCTTTTCATGGTTAGGCCTACAGGCCTTCCAGTCAGTCATTTGTTCTTAACTGCCTCACCTGGTTAAATAAATACATTTGAATATGTTGCACCAATTTGCATCTAGAACTCATAAACATTTTAGTCATTTAGCAGACGCTCTTATCCAAAGCGACTTACAGGCGCAATTAGGGTTAAGTGCCTTGCTCAAGGGCACATCGACAGATTTTTCACCTAGTCGGCTCGGGGATTAGAACCAGCGACCTTTCGGTTACTGGCACAACGCTCTTAACCACTAAGCTACCTGCTCTCTTAACCACTAAGCTAACTACCTGGTTATTCTACACATCTATGACTGCATATCATCCGATTGGAGTTTTCCTTATTCTATCATGTTCTAAGGGCAGCTCTGCCTTGTGGTCAGAAATACATTGGGCCTTATGGAGAGTCAATACTAAACGCAGTAACCACTGCTTCCTTTGGCCAGTCTGTGTGTTGTGTCCCACAGCTAATTAGATCTTCTGAGTGGCGCAGTGGTCTAAGGCACTGCATCGCAGTGCTAACTGTGCCACTAGAGATCCTGGTTCGAATCCAGGCTCTGTCGCAGCCGGCCGCGACCGGGAGACTCATGGGCGGCGCACAATTGGCCCAGTGTCGTCCAGGGTAGGGGAGGGAATGGCCGGCAGGGATGTAGCTCAGTTGATAGAGCATGGTGTTTGCAACGCCAGGGTTGTGGGTTCGATTCCCACGGGGGGCCAGTATAAAAAAAAAAAATGTATTCATTAACTGTAAGTCGCTCTGGATAAGAGCGTCTGCTAAATGACTAAAATGTAAATGTAATTGGTCTTTCATTGTGTGTTCCAGAAATCTCACCGTTCGTGGTGCATCCCATCCCTTTGGAGGTGACTGAGGGTTCCGTGGCCAGGTTCAGCTGTCAGGTGACCTCTGACCCTCCTGCCAGCGTCACCTGGGAGCTAGACCAAAGCACACTTCCGCTGGAGACAGACAGGTACAGTGTAGGAATATCGGGGCAAAATGTGTTTAATTGTAAAAGGTTCTACGAGCGATGTTTAGGGTCTGCAGCTGGACGGGGCTTTCCTACACGAGCTGTGGTCAAGTGGTCTCTTTTTTTCTGATTAAACGTTCAACTCGTTTTTTTTAATCATACTAGTATAGTATTGATATGTTACATGTTATGTTATGGTACAATTCAATATACAAGACCACCTCTGTCTCTTGATTTTATCTGAATCTCATTGCTTTTTGGGGTTGTGTTTATACTGTTCTGTCACGTACTAACCATCACTATCCATTATACTGTTCTATCATGTACTAACCATCACTATGCATTATACTGTTCTATCATGTACTAACCATCACTATGCATTATACTGTTCTATCATGTACTAACCATCACTATCCATTATACTGTTCTATCAGGTCCTGGTACTAACCATCACTATGCATTATACTGTTCTATCATGTACTAACCATCACTATCCATTATACTGTTCTATCAAGTCCTGGTACTAACCATCACTATGCATTACACTGTTCTGTCAGGTCCTGGTACTAACCATCACTATCCATTATACTGTTCTATCAAGTCCTGGTACTAACCATCACTATCCATTATACTGTTCTATCAGGTCCTGGTACTAACCATCACTATGCATTATACTGTTCTATCATGTACTAACCATCACTATCCATTATACTGTTCTATCATGTACTAACCATCACTATCCATTATACTGTTCTATCAAGTCCTGGTACTAACCATCACTATCCATTATACTGTTCTATCATGTACTAACCATCACTATGCATTATACTGTTCTATCATGTACTAACCATCACTATGCATTATACTGTTCTATCAAGTCCTGGTACTAACCATCACTATCCATTATACTGTTCTATCATGTACTAACCATCACTATGCATTATACTGTTCTATCATGTACTAACCATCACTATGCATTATACTGTTCTATCATGTACTAACCATCACTATCCATTATACTGTTCTATCAAGTCCTGGTACTAACCATCACTATCCATTATACTGTTCTATCAAGTCCTGGTACTAACCATCACTATCCATTATACTGTTCTATCATGTACTAACCATCACTATGCATTATACTGTTCTATCAGGTACTAACCATCACTATGCATTATACTGTTCTATCATGTACTAACCATCACTATGCATTATACTGTTCTATCAGGTACTAACCATCACTATCCATTATACTGTTCTATCAGGTACTAACCATCACTATCCATTATACTGTTCTATCAGGTACTAACCATCACTATGCATTATACTGTTCTATCAGGTACTAACCATCACTATGCATTATACTGTTCTATCATGTACTAACCATCACTATGCATTATACTGTTCTATCAGGTACTAACCATCACTATGCATTATACTGTTCTATCAGGTACTAACCATCACTATCCATTATACTGTTCTATCAAGTCCTGGTACTAACCATCACTATCCATTATACTGTTCTATCAAGTCCTGGTACTAACCATCACTATCCATTATACTGTTCTATCATGTACTAACCATCACTATGCATTATACTGTTCTATCATGTACTAACCATCACTATGCATTATACTGTTCTATCAAGTCCTGGTACTAACCATCACTATCCATTATACTGTTCTATCAAGTCCTGGTACTAACCATCACTATCCATTATACTGTTCTATCATGTACTAACCATCACTATGCATTATACTGTTCTATCATGTACTAACCATCACTATGCATTATACTGTTCTATCAAGTCCTGGTACTAACCATCACTATCCATTATACTGTTATATCATGTACTAACCATCACTATGCATTATACTGTTCTATCATGTACTAACCATCACTATGCATTATACTGTTCTATCATGTACTAACCATCACTATCCATTATACTGTTCTATCATGTACTAACCATCACTATGCATTATACTGTTCTATCATGTACTAACCATCACTATCCATTATACTGTTCTATCAAGTCCTGGTACTAACCATCACTATCCATTATACTGTTCTATCAAGTCCTGGTACTAACCATCACTATCCATTATACTGTTCTATCATGTACTAACCATCACTATGCATTATACTGTTCTATCATGTACTAACCATCACTATGCATTATACTGTTCTATCAAGTCCTGGTACTAACCATCACTATGCATTATACTGTTCTATCAAGTCCTGGTACTAACCATCACTATCCATTATACTGTTATATCATGTACTAACCATCACTATGCATTATACTGTTCTATCATGTACTAACCATCACTATGCATTATACTGTTCTATCATGTACTAACCATCACTATGCATTATACTGTTCTATCCAGGTACTAACCATCACTATCCATTAACTGTTCTATCATGTACTAACCATCACTATCATTTACTGTTCTATCAGGTACTAACCATCACTATGCATTATACTGTTCTATCAGTACTAACCATCACTATGCATTATACTGTTCTATCAGGTACTAACCATCACTATCATTATACTGTTCTAAGTCATGGTACTAACCATCACTATGCATTATACTGTTCTATCAGGTACTAACCATCACTATGCATTATACTGTTCTATCAGGTACTAACCATCACTATGCATTATACTGTTCTATCAAGTATCATGGTACTAACCATCACTATCCATTATACTGTTCTATCAAGTCCTGGTACTAACCATCACTATCCATTATTAACTGTCTACTATCAAGTCCTGGTACTAACCATCACTATCATTATACTGTTTCTATCATGTACTAACCATCACTATGCATTATACTGTTCTGTCTACATCATATCCTTATGTACTGACTAACCATCACTATCATTAACGTTCTATCACTGGTACTACCATCACTATCCATTATACTGTTCTAAGTCCTGGTTAACTAAAACACATCACTATCATTATACTGTTCTATCTGTACTAACCATCACTGCATATATGTTCTATCAAGTCCTGGTACTAACCATCACTATCCATTATACTGTTCTATCATGTACTAACCATCACTATGCATTATACTGTTCTATCATGTACTAACCATCACTATGCATTATACTGTTCTATCAATCTGGTACTAACCATCACTATCCATTATACTGTTATATCAGTGGTACTAACCATCACTATGCATTATACTGTTTCTATATCATTGTAACTAACCATCACTATGCATTATACTGTTCTATCATGTACTAACCATCACTATCCATTACTTACTGTTCTAATCAAGTCCTGGTACTAACCATCACTATGCATTATACTGTTCTATCAGTCTGGTACTAACCATCACTATCCATTATACTGTTCTATCAGTCTGGTACTAACCATCACTATCCATTATACTGTTCTATCATTGTACTACCATCATATCATATACTGTCTATCATGTACTAACCATCACTATCCATTATACTGTTCTATCAAGTCTGGTACTAACCATCACTATCCATTATACTGTTCTATCAAGTCCTGGTACTAACCATCACTATCCATTATACTGTTCTATCATCTGTACTAACCATCACTATCCATTATACTGTATCTATCATGTACTAACCATCACTATCCATTATACTGTTCTATCAGGTCCTGGTACTAACCATCACTATCCATTATACTGTTCTATCAAGTCCTGGTACTAACCATCACTTCCATTACATGTTCTATCACTGTATAACAGTCCTGCCATTTACGTGTTCATCATGTATCAACGCTCCACTATCGATTGGACATGTCTCTTCTGTGACAACATGGCACTCGCATTAACTGTCAGCAGTCCCGGTTATAAACCATCATGTTCATACATGTCCTTAAACACCATGCATCAACGGTAAGTACCGGCTGTGTGGCCACCAACATCGGCAACCGCGTCAAGAGCTGCGAGGCAACGCTCTCCGTTATCAAACCAGGTGTTTGAGAATAAACTGTCAACACCACATTTATTCAATCGCTGTGTGAGAAGCCACTGCTTCCTTTAGCCAATCTGTGTATTTCTCCTATGGACAGCTGTATCATACCTCCACTTCCTTGTATATTTCCATACACATGTACAGAGCAACATTGTTATTGCTTTAATACTTATTAGACATGTGTCTTGGTCTTCCTATCTGTTTCAGGTGTTGGCCCTAAGCCCCGTCAGAGGCCCCGGATCATAGCGGGCCCCCAGAATGTGACGGTGTCCCTCCACCACACTGTGGTTCTGGAGTGTATTGCTACGGGCAACCCCAGACCCATCATATCCTGGAGCCGAGCCGACAGTAAACCCATTGACGTGCACAATGCCAGGGTGCTGGGCAGGTAAGAGGGGCGGACAGACCCGATGGATGTTTTTAAATCACGCTTAAACTGAGCGATCAGCGATCTGACGTTACCCAATACTGCTGTTGACTTCGTTCATGGCTGACTATAATACCTACCTATATAAGGCCATAATGACCATCCTATTTAGCTTGGCCTTTTTTCTTAAATTATATTTTATGTTTTTAACCCCTTTTTCTCCCCAATTACATGATATCCAATTGCGATCCAATTACGATCTCATCGCTGCAACTCCCCAACGGGCTCGGGAGAGGCGAAGGTCGAGTCACGCGTCCTTTCGGAAAAACATGACCCGCAAAACCACGCTTCTTTGCGCCCGCCCGCTTAACCCGGAAGCCAGTTGCACCAGTGTGCCGGAGGAAACACCGTTCAGCTGACGACCGGGGTCAGCCTGCAAGCGCCCGGCCCTTAGCTTGGCCTTTAATCAGTGGTTGTATTAGTATTATTTTAGATATCTGTTGGGTTTTACGTTATTTCGTTTTTCTATGGTGCTGTTTTAACTGTAAAGTGTGTTTCACGTTAAAGTGTGTTTCACGGTAAAGTGTGTTTCAAATGTGTAAGTCAAGTTTGATGTGTTCCGTCAGTGGGAACCTGTTGATCAGTGATGTGAAGCCTCAGCACGGTGGAGTCTACCTCTGTAGAGCCACCACACCAGGAACACGCAACTACACCACCGCTGCTGCCAACCTCACCGTGCTAGGTGGGTACACTACTTGGGTACATTTCCTGCACACAGAATAAGCCTGCTCAGTCGATACTAACCTCATCTACCCGTTAAAGGGGAAACTAACCTCATCTACCCGTTAAAGGGGGAAACTAACCTCATCTACCTGTTAAAGGGGGAAACTAACCTCATCTACCCGTTAAAGGGGGAAACTAACCTCATCTACCTGTTAAAGGGGGGAAACTAACCTCATCTACCCGTTAAAGGGGGAAACTAACCTCATCTACCTGTTAATGGGGAAACTAACCTCATCTACCCGTTAAAGGGGAAACTAACCTCATCTACCTGTTAAAGGGGGAAACTAACCTCATCTACCTGTTAATGGGGAAACTAACCTCATCTACCCGTTAAAGGGGAAACTAACCTCATCTACCTGTTAAAGGGGGAAACTAACCTCATCTACCTGTTAAAGGGGAAACTAACCTCATCTACCCCTTGAAGGGAGAAACTAAAGGGGGAAACTAACCTCATCTACCCGTTAAAGGGGAAACTAACCTCATCTACACGTTGAAGGGGGAAACTAAAGGGGGAAACTAACCCCATCTACCCGTTAAAGGGGGAAACTAATCTCATCTACCTGTTAAAGGGGGAATCAAACCTCATCTACCCGTTAAAGGGGGAAACTAAAGCGGGAAACTAACCTCATCTACCTGTTAAAGGGGGAAACTAACCTCATCTACCCGTTAAAGGGGGAAACTAACCTCATCTACCTGTTAAAGGGGGAAACTAACCTCATCTACTCGTTAAAGGGGGAAACTAACCTCATCTACCTGCTAAAGGGGGAAATTAACCTGATCTACCCGCTAAAGGGGGAAACTAACCTCATCTACCCACTAAAGGGGGAAACTAACCTCATCTACCCACTAAAGGGGGAAACTAACCTCATCTACCTGTTAAAGGGGGAAACTAACCTCATCTACCTGTTAAAGGGGGAAACTAACCTCATCTACCTGTTAAAGGGGGAAACTAACCTCATCTACCTGTTAAAGGGGGAAACTAACCTCATCTACCTGTTAAAGGGGGAAACTAACCTCATCTACCTGTTAAAGGGGGAAACTAACCTCATCTACCTGTTAAAGGGGGAAACTAACCTCATCTACCCGCTAAAGGGGGAAACTAACCTCATCTACCCGTTAAAGGGGGAAACTAACCTCATCTACCTGTTAATGGGGAAACTAACCTCATCTACCCGTTAAAGGGGAAACTAACCTCATCTACCTGTTAAAGGGGGAAACTAACCTCATCTACCTGTTAAAGGGGAAACTAACCTCATCTACCCCTTGAAGGGAGAAACTAAAGGGGGAAACTAACCTCATCTACCCGTTAAAGGGGAAACTAATCTCATCTACCTGTTAAAGGGGGAACTAACCTCATCTACCCGTTAAAGGGGGAAACTGACCTCATCTACCCCTTGAAGGGAGAAACCAAAGGGGGAAACTAACCTCATCTACCCGTTAAAGGGGGAAACTAACCTCATCTACACGTTGAAGGGGGAAACTAAAGGGGGAAACTAACCCCATCTACCCGTTAAAGGGGGAAACTAATCTCATCTACCTGTTAAAGGGGGAATCAAACCTCATCTACCCGTTAAAGGGGGAAACTAAAGCGGGAAACTAACCTCATCTACCTGTTAAAGGGGGAAACTAACCTCATCTACCCGTTAAAGGGGGAAACTAACCTCATCTACCTGTTAAAGGGGGAAACTAACCTCATCTACCCGCTAAAGGGGGAAACTAACCTCATCTACCCGTTAAAGGGGGGAAACTACCACTCATCTACCTGTTAAAGGGGGAAACTAACCTCATCTACCCGCTAAAGGGGGAAACTAACCTCATCTACCCGTTAAAGGGGGAAACTAACCTCATCTACCTGTTAATGGGGAAACTAACCTCATCTACCCGTTAAAGGGGAAACTAACCTCATCTACCTGTTAAAGGGGGAAACTAACCTCATCTACCTGTTAAAGGGGAAACTAACCTCATCTACCCCTTGAAGGGAGAAACTAAAGGGGGAAACTAACCTCATCTACCCGTTAAAGGGGAAACTAACCTCATCTACCTGTTAAAGGGGGAAACTAACCTCATCTACCTGCTAAAGGGGGAAATTAACCTGATCTACCCGCTAAAGGGGGAAACTAACCTCATCTACCCACTAAAGGGGGAAACTAACCTCATCTACCCACTAAAGGGGGGAAACTAACCTCATCTACCTGTTAAGGGGGAAACTAACCTCATCTACCTGTTTTAAAGGGGGAAACTAACCTCATCTACCCGTTAAAGGGGGAAACTAACCTCATCTACCTGTTAAAGGGGGAAACTAACCTCATCTACCTGTTAAAGGGGGAAACTAACCTCATCTACCTGTTAAAGGGGGAAACTAACCTCATCTACCTGTTAAAGGGGGAAACTAACCTCATCTACCCGCTAAAGGGGGAAACTAACCTCATCTACCTGTTAAAGGGGGAAACTAACCTCATCTACCTGTTAAAGGGGGAAACTAACCTCATCTACCCGTTAAAGGGGGAAACTAACCTCATCTACCCGCTTAAGGGGGAAACTAACCTCATCTACCTGTTAAAGGGGGAAACTAACCTCATCTACCTGTTAAAGGGGGAAACTAACCTCATCTACCCACTAAAGGGGGAAACTAACCTCATCTACCCACTAAAGGGGGAAACTAACCTCATCTACCTGTTAAAGGGGGAAACTAACCTCATCTACCTGTTAAAGGGGGACACTAACCTCATCTACCCACTAAAGGGGGAAACTAACCTCATCTACCCACTAAAGGGGGAAACTAACCTCATCTACCCACTAAAGGGGGAAACTAACCTCATCTACCCGCTAAAGAGGGAAACTAACCTCATCTACCCGCTAAAGGGGGAAACTAACCTCATCTACCCACTAAAGGGGGAAACTAACCTCATCTACCCACTAAAGGGGGAAACTAACCTCATCTACCTGTTAAAGGGGGAAACTAACCTCATCTACCCACTAAAGGGGGAAACTAACCTCATCTACCCACTAAAGGGGGAAACTAACCTCATCTACCTGTTAAAGGGGGAAACTAACCTCATCTACCTGTTAAAGGGGGACACTAACCTCATCTACCCACTAAAGGGGGAAACTAACCTCATCTACCTGTTAAAGGGGGAAACTAACCTCATCTACCTGTTAAAGGGGGAAACTAACCTCATCTACCTGTTAAAGGGGGAAACTAACCTCATCTACCCGTTAAAGGGGGAAACTAACCTCATCTACCTGTTAAAGGGGGAAACTAACCTCATCTACCTGTTAAAGGGGAACTAACCTCATCTAACCTGTAAAGGTGGGAAACTAACCACATCTACCTGTTAAAGGGGGAAACTAACCTCATCTACCTGTTAAAGGGGGAAACTAACCTCATCTACCTGTTAAAGGGGGAAACTAACCTCATCTACCCGCTAAAGGGGGAAACTACCTCATCTACCTGTTAAAGGGGGAAACTAACCCTCCATCTACCTGTTAAAGGGGGAAACTAACCTCATCTACCCGTTAAAGGGGGAAACTACCTCATCTACCTGTTAAAGGGGGAAACTAACCTCATCTACCTGTTTAAAGGGGGAAACTAACCTCATCTACCTGTTAAAGGGGGAAACTAACCTCACCTACCCGTTAAAGGGGGAAACTAACCTCATCTACCCGCTAAAGGGGGAAACTAACCTCATCTACCTGTTAAAGGGGGAAACTAACCTCATCTACCCGCTAAAGGGGGAAACTAACCTCATCTACCCACTAAAGGGGGAAACTAACCTCATCTACCCACTAAAGGGGGAAACTAACCTCATCTACCCGCTAAAGGGGGAAACTAACCTCATCTACCCGCTAAAGGGGGAAACTAACCTCATCTACCTGTTGTTATGTCCCTCCAGAGCCTCCGTCCATGGTGGAGAGGCCAGAGAGCCAGACCCGTCCCAGGGCTGGCACTGCCCGTTTCATGTGCCAGGCTCAGGGCGTGCCCCCACCTCGCATCACCTGGCTGAAGAACGGAGAGGAGGTGCACCTGAACGGCAGGATCAAGATGTACAACAGGTAGAACCTTAACTTTATTACACCTTATTAAACATATTAGAAAATTCAGCACTTATCCCTAAACAAATCAAAATAGATTTACAGTGAGGGAAAAAAAGTATTTGATCCCCTGCTGATTTTGTACGTTTGCCCACTGACAAAGAAATGATCAGTCTATAATTTTAATGGTAGGTTTATTTGAACAGTGAGAGACAGATTAACAACAAAAAAATCCAGAAAAACGCATGTCAAAAATGTTATAAATTGATTTTCATTTTAATGAGGGAAATAAGTATTTGACCCGCTTTCAATCAGAAAGATTTCTATAAAAGGTGTATTTTATACAGTTAACGAGCTGAGATTAGGAGCACACTCTTAAAGGGAGTGCTCCTAATCTCAGTTTGTTACCTGTATAAAAGACACCTGTCCACAGAAGCAATCAATCAAACAGATTCCAAACTCTCCACCATGGCCAAGACCAAAGAGCTCTCCAAGGAAGTCAGGGACAAGATTGTAGACCTACACAAGGCTTGAATGGGCTACAAAACCATCGCCAAGCAGCTTGGTGAGAAGGTGACAACAGTTGGTGCGATTATTCGCAAATGGAAGAAACACAAAAGAACTGTCAATCTCCCTCGGCCTGGGGCTCCATGCAAAATCTCACCTCGTGGAGTTGCAATGATCATGAGAACGGTGAGGAATCAGCCCAGAACTACACGGGAGGATCTTGTCAATGATCTCAAGGCAGCTGGGACCATAGTCACCAAGAAAACAATTGGTAACACACTACGCCATGAAGGACTGAAATCCTGCAGCGCCCGCAAGGTCCCCCTGCTCAAGAAAGCACATATACATGCCCATCTGAAGTTTGCCAATGAACATCTGAATGATTCAGAGGAGAACTGGGTGAAAGTGTTGTGGTCAGATGAGACCAAAATGGAGCTCTTTGGCATCAACTCAACTTGCCGTGTTTGGAGGAGAAGGAATGCTGCCAATGACCCCAAGAACACCATCACAACCGTCAAACATGGAGGTGGAAACATTATGCTTTGGGGGTGTTTTTCTGCTAAGGGGACAGGACAACTTCTCTGCATGAAAGGGATGATGGACGGGGCCACGTACCATCAAATCTTGGGTGAGAACCTCCTTCCCTCAGCCAGGGCATTGAAAATGGGTCGTGGATGGGTATTCCAGCATGACAATGACCCAAAACACACGGCCAAGGCAACAAAGGAGTGGCTTAAGAAGAAGCTCATTAAGGTCCTGGAGTGGCCTAGCCAGTCTCCAGACCTTAATCCCATAGAAAATCTGTGGAGGGAGCTGAAGGTTCGAGTTGCCAAACGTCAGCCTCGAAACCTTAATGACTTGGAGAAGATCTGCAAAGAGGAGTGGGACAAAATCCCTCCTGAGATGTGTGCAAACCTGGTGGCCAACTACAAGAAACGTCTGACCTCTGGGATTGCCAACAAGGGTTTTGCCACCAAGTACTAAGTCATGTTTTGCAGAGGGGTCAAATACTTATTTCCCTCATTAAAATGCAAATCAATTTATAACATTTTTGACATGCGTTTTTCTGGATTTTTTTGTTGTTATTCTGTCTCACTGTTCAAATAAACCTACCATTAAAATTATAGACTGATAATTTCTTTGTCAGTGGGCAAAAGTACAAAATCAGCAGGGGGTCAAATACTTTTTTTCCCTCACTGTAGCTATTTGATTTTCTTTTAAATTAGAAAACTTCACAGTTTCAGTATAACAAGAACAGATTGTAGTAACAGTGCCCTACAATACATTTGAGCAAAGCCTAATCACATAATAAAAACTGTATACAGGGGAATTGGGAGAAAAAATCCCCCCCCCCCCCCCATTTCCTGATTGTACCCGTTGTTCACTAATTCTGTGTTTCCCTCCACAGTAAACTGGTTATCACTCAGATCACCCAGGAGGATGATGCCATCTACCAGTGTGTGGCGGAGAACGAACAGGGCAGTGTTCTGTCCCTGGCGCGCCTCATCGTGGTGATGTCCGAGGACCGGCCCAGCGCGCCCAGGAACATCCGCGCTGAAACCGTCTCCTCCTCAGCCATCCTATTGGCCTGGGAGAGACCCATCTACAACGCTGACAAAGTCATCGCTTACTCTGTACACTACATGAAGGCTGAGGGTAAATGAATTGTTATAAGCATGTATGAGCTTTTATAATGTCTTATTACAGATGTAGGATCTTAATTTGAGTCAGTTTGCTACAGCAGGAAAATAATCCTGCAGCAAATTATTATGTGGATTCTAATTAATGGAAATTTTTGTAGGTGTTGATACATTTTTCGTTAGGGCAAATCAAGTGGAAATTACAAACTTTAGAAGCCTTTTTAAACCTAAAAAACATAGCAAAATTCTCAGCAACAAAATAGTGATCAAATTAAGATCCTACATCTGTATAATGCTGACAAAGTCATCACATACTCTGTACACTACATGAAGGCTGAAGGCAGGAGTAAAGACAGGGAGGAATTAGCATGTCATCTTACAGAATATACAGTACCAGTCAAAAGTTTGGACACACCTACTCATTCAAGGGTTTTCTTTATTTTGACTATTTTCTACATTGTAGAATAATAGTGAAGACATCAAAACGATGAAATAACACATATGGAATCATATAGTAACCAAAAAAGTGTTCAACAAATCAAAATATATTTTATATTTGAGATTCTTCAAAGTTTCCACCCTTTACCTTGATGAGAGCTTTGCACACTCTTGGCATTCTCTCAACCAGCTTCACCTGGAATGCTTTTCCACTAGTCTTGAAGGAGTTCCCACGTATGCTGAGCACTTGTTGGCTGCTTTTCCTTCACTCTGCAGTCCAACTCATCCCAAACCATCTCAATTGGGTTGAGGTCGGGTGATTGTGGAGGCCAGGTCATCTGATGCAGCACTCCATCACTCTCCTTGGTCAAATAGCCCTTACACAGCCTGGAGGTGTGTTTTGGGTCATTGTCCTTTAGTAGTGGTTTCTTTGCAGCAATTCGACCATGAAGGCCTGATTCACACAGTCTCCTCTGAACAGATGTTGAGATGTGTCTGTTACTTGAACTCTGTGAAGCATTTATTTGGGCTGCAATTTCTGAGGCTGGTAACTCTAATGAACTTATCGTCTGTAGCAGAGGTAACTCTGGGTCATTCCTGTGGCTTGTCCTCATGAGAGCCAGTTTCTTCATAGCGCTTGATGATTTTTGCGACTGCACTTGAAGAAACTTTAAAAGTTATTGAAATGTTCCGTATTGACTGACCTTCGTGTCTTAAAATAATGATGGACTGTAATTTCTCTTTGCTTATTTGAGCTGTTCTTGCCATAATATGGACTTGGTCTTTTACCAAATAGGGCTATCTTCTGTATACCACCCCTACCTTGTCACAACACAACTGATTGGCTCAAACGTATTAAGAAGGAAAGAAATTCCACAAATTAACTTTTAACAAGGCACACCTGTTAATTGAAATGCATTCCAGGTGACTACCTCATGAAACTGGTTGAGAGAATGCTAAGAGTGTGCAAAGGTGTCATCAAGGCAAAGGGTGGCTACTTTGAAGAATCTCAAATATAAAATATATTTTGATTTGTTTAACACTTTTCTGGTTACTACATGATTCCATCTGTGTTATTTCATAGTTTTGATGTCTTCACTATTATTCTACAATGTAGAAAATAGTAAAAATAAAGAAAAACACTTGCATGAGTAGGTGTGTTCAAACTTTTGACTGGTACTGTATGACAAAAGGAATGTCCACAAGCCACAGCTATCTGATCTCTCTAGGAAAAGAGATGATTCATCTCAAGGGACTTTCTGGTTAAAACATGATGACAATTAAAATAGTTTGCTATGTGGGCGTTCTAAAGAAATCACTGGAGAGTTGTGGAAATAGTTTTTTTTCATACATTCATATTTTCTGTCCAGCAAATAATTTAATGTAAATATGTTTTATTTTTGTACCAATATGTTACAGGCACCAATGGTCACTGAGAAGTGTTGCAAATTGTTGTTCAACTTGTTGATCTTCACAATTAAGGTTATTGAAAGGAGTGACAGGGCAGAGTCCAGTCCGCCTCAATAGGCTATGGAGGGAGGCAGGCAGACAGCGCTCTAACCTATATCAAATCAAATCAAATTGTATTTGCCACATGCGGCGAATACAACAGGTGTAGACATTACAGTGAAATGCTTACTTGCAAGCCCTTAACCAACAACGCAGTTTTAAGAAAAATAAGTTAAGTTAAAAATAGATAAGTAAAAAATAAAAATAACACATAATTAAAGAGCAGCAGTAAAATAAAATAACAGTAGGGAGGCTATATACAGGGGGTACCGGTACAGAGTCAATGTGCGGGGGCACAGGTTAGTCAAGGTAATTGAGGTAATATGTACATGTGGGTAGAGTTAAAGTGACTATGCATAGATAATAAACAGAGAGTAGCAGCAGTGTAAAAGAGGGGGTGGGGTGGGGGGGACAATGCAAATAGTCCTGGTAGCCATGATTAGCTGTTCAGGAGTCTTATGGCTTGGGGGTAGAAGCTGTTGAGAAGCCTTTTGGACCTAGACTTGGCTCTCCGGTACCTCTTGCTGTGCGGTAGCAGAGAGAACAGTCTATGACTAGGGTGGCTGGAGTCTTTGACAATTTTTAGGGCCTTCCTCTGACACTGCCTGGTATAGAGGTCCTGGATGGTAGGAAGCTTGGCCCCAGTGATGTACTGGGCCGTACGCAATACCCTCTGTAGTGCCTTGCGGTCGGAGGCCGAGCAGTTGCCATACCAGGCGGTGATGCAACCAGTCAGGATGCTCTCGATGGTGCAGCTGTATAGCTTTTTGAGGATCTGAGGACCCATGCCAAATCTTTTCAGTCTCCTGAGGGGGAATAGGCTTTGTCGTGCCCTCTTCACGGCTGTCTTGGTGTGTTTGGACCATGATAGTTTGTTGATGATGTGGACACCAAGGAAGCTCTCAACCTGTTCCACTACAGCCCCATCGATGAGAATGGGGGCGTGCTCAGTCATTTTTTTTTTCCTGTAGTCCACAATCATCTCTTTTGTCTTGATCATGTTGAGGGAGAGGTTGTTATCCTGGCACCACATGGCCAGGTCTCTGACCTCCTCCCTATAGGCTCATCGTTGTCGGTGATCAGGCCTACTACTTTTGTGTTGTCGGCAAACGTAATGATGCTGTTGGAGTCGTGCCTGGCCATGCAGTCATGGATGAACAGGGAGTACAGGAGGGGACTGAGCACGCACCCCTGAGGGGCCCCTGTGTTGAGGATCAGCGTGGCAGATGTGTTGTTACCTACCCTTACCACCTGGGGGCGGCCCGTCAGGAAGTCCAGGATCCAGTTGCAGAGGGAGGTGTTTAGTCCCAGGGTCCTTAGCTTAGTGATGAGCTTTGAGGGCACTATGGTGTTGAACGCTGAGCTGTAGTCAATTAATAACATTCTCACGTAGGTGTTCCTCTTGTCCAGGTGGGAAAGGGCAGTGTGGAGTGCAATAGAGATTGCATCATCTGTGGATCTGTTGGGGCGGTATGCGAATTAGAGCGGGTCTAGGGTTTCTGGGATAATGGTGTTGATGTGAGCTATGACAAGCCTTTCAAAGCACTACATGGCTACAGACGTGAGTGCTACGGCTCAGGAGACATTTAGGCAGGTTACGTTAGTGTTCTTAGGCACAGGGACTATGGTGGTCTGCTTGAAACATGTTGGTATTACAGACTCAGTCAGGGACATGTTGAAAATGTCAGTGAAGACACTTGCCAGTTGGTCAGCGCATGCTCAGAGTACACGTCCTGGTAATCAGTCTGGCCCTGCGGCCTTGTGAATGTTGACCTGCTTAAAAAGTCTTACTCACATCGGCTACAGAGAGTGTGATCACTAGAACAGCTGATGCTCTCATGCATGCTTCAGTGTTGCTTGCCTCGAAGCGAGCGTAGAAGTGATTTAGCTCGTCTGGTAGTCTCGTGTCATGGCTCTGGTCTAATGTGTGACCAGCTTTCCTTGGAGGCCATCTGTTGTAGCCAGGCTGAGGTCAAAGTTTAAGCAAGAAGAATGGCCAGCGCTCCGAAATAACAACAGCCACGGCCTGCCATTGTCCACCCTCAACCTTCTCAACCACACCGCTCACTCTTAAAGGATCCTAATAAAATACCAAAATACCAATAGCAAAGGGACAGGACACCATTTTCTTTAAGCCTGATATAATCTTGGGTGGCTTTGAAATAGGACTGTCTACCACTCTACTTCTTCTAGTTCAAACAGACCTCCAAACACTTGATCTAGAAACATTAGTTAACTGACATTTAAACAACAATAATTGCTGACAGTTGCTAAAAAAAACACTCTTAAAAAGGGGATGCAGACAAAAGTAAGCAAATTGTTTTTCTTTAACTCGTTGTGTTAGGACTGTTTGAGGCCTGTGGGCAGGAAACACATGTCACAGGTTAGGACTGTGACTCTGCTCTGCATTAGGTCAATGTTTACAGAAAATCTGAGGGGCAAGAGAGACTATTAGCAGAAATACTAACCAGCAAACCGGAAACATTCCCAGAACATTAGCTAAGATTCCCATTAATAGTCCAAGGGCCACCCACCAAAAACATTGTGTATATATTGTTATGAGCATGAATACTGTGTGATTCAAAACTTGTAAAAGTTGCACATACATTTTTTGTTTCTTTAATCAAAGTTATGATATTTAGCATCAAAATCACAGTTTCACATTACTTTTGTTGCACACTGGCTCACAGAACTTGTCAGTTAATATAAGGCTATATTTTGGCAGCTGTATTTAGACTACTTGCTCTTTCCTGCTAGCCAAACTAAAGACAGGTCAACGTTTGCTAGCTTACACAGCTCTCAAAACATGCAAATGGAATACTGTTCTGGCATCTGAGAAAAATCCATTTAGCTTGTTTCAACAGCTCTTATCATTACATTTACGTCATTTAGCAGACGCTCTTATCCAGAGCGACTTACAAATTGGTGCATTCACCTTATAGCCAGTGGGATAACCACTTTACAATTATTTTTTATTTTATTTTATTTTTTTCTTCTATTTTTTATTTATTTATTTATTTTGGGTGGGGTAAGGGGGGGGGGGTAGAAGGATTACTTTATCCTATCCCAGGTATTCCTTAAAGAGGTGGGGTTTCAAGTGTCTCCGGGAGGTGGTGAGTGACTCCGCTGTCCTGGCGTCGTGAGGGAGCTTGTTCCACCATTGGGGTGCCAGAGCAGCGAACAGCTTTGGACTTATCATCTCGCTTTATTTCGGGATTCCTTTCTGCAAGCATGGACAATGGAACGCGTGTAACAATGGTAACCAATATGTAACATGGCAACCTCATAATGTTGCTAGGGGGAAATTACCCAAAATGGGCTATGATTTCAAAATCGTACCTTTGATTTATAATATTTAATGAATGTGCAATTTTTACAAGTTGTAGATCACAAATTCTTCAAATTAATTACAATTATCTACAAAATAATGTAGACATTTTGCAGTTCCGTTTGCTGGGTGGTGGGTAGCCCTTGAACTATAAGTTATAGTTAGGGTTTTATCTAACATTAGGATAATATCATCCCAAAAACAATCAAAGAATGTTTTAAATGAAATATCCTTAGAATGTTATCCTAACATTAACTATAATGTTGTGCTCAGCATCTGTAACAACCACCACAGAACATTCCCCAAACGTTCTCATTAGGTTTCCAGGTAACGTAATAACACAATGTTTGAGCATACTGCCACAACAAAATGTGAGAGCGACAACGTTCTGGGAACGTGCTTGCAACATCAGGCGAATGTTTTACACCAACATTGTATAATCATCAGCACAACTGGACAGTTTTTGTGTTATGAGAACATTTGCCGCAACCTAACAAATGTTCTGGGAACTTTCACAGAACCATTTTGGTTTGCTGGGTAGTTTACCCAAACAGTGAATACAACTTGTTTACATACCACAGGGTAATGAAGATACTCATCTCTGGTCTTTTATATATATTTTATTCATTTATTTGTCATTAATTTAACCAGGTCCCTTTTTAAGGGAGCCCTACATTTGAGGCATCTTTACTAGTAACACGTTACATTAAACCATTACATCATCTCCCTGTCCGTTCCAGGACTAAACAATGAGGAATACCAGGCGGTGATTGGCAACGACACGACCAGCTACATCGTAGATGACCTGGAGCCAGCCTGGAGCTACTCCTTCTACGTCGTGGCCTATGTGCCGATGGGCGCTAGCCGTATGTCTGAGCAAGTCTGTCAGCGCACCCTGGAGGACGGTGAGTAGGCCACACAAATGTGTACGCTTTTATTCACGCCAATAAAGTATAGTTGAAATGGGATTGCATTGAGCAGTAGAGGACAGTGACTCGATGATTCCTTTCACTAACTCACTTCATTTGAGAGAACGTTGAGGTAATATTCAGGGTAAACAATGTATTGTTATATAATTATTTATTATATTGAATGCGTGATTTTTCAGATAGTGGCTCTTCCGAAGAAGGTTTTTACTGGTAATGATGTTGATCATATTATGTGATCGTTTTACTTTACTTCAGTTGACGCCCTATTGGAAGTCGCTCTGGAAAAGAGCATCTGCTCTATGACTAAAATATAATGATGTCGCTCCTCCTGTCCCCCCAGTGCCCCTGCGTACCCCGGAGCTCAGTCTGACCAGCCACAGCCCTACAGACATCCATGTTTCGTGGCAGCCCCTGCCCACCAAACTGTCCCGTGGGAACATCTGGGCCTACCGCCTCTCCTACCGCACGGCTGCAGACGCCACGGTTCTGTCTGTGGAGCTGGCCCAGAACAACACCAAGTACCTCCTGGGAGACCTTCAGCCTGACACCATCTACCTTCTCCGGATCGCTGCAGCCACCAGGGTGGGGTGGTGTGAACCCTCGTCCTGGACCTCCCACCGCACGCCCGACACCTCCAGTACTAAAGGTAACTAAGGTCACAGACTAACCCTAGCCCGACACCTCCAGTACTAAAGGTAACTAAGGTCACAGACTAACCCTAGCCCGACACCTCCAGTACTAAAGGTAACTAAGGTCACAGACTAACCCTAGCCCGACACCTCAAGTACTAAAGGTAACTAAGGTCACAGACTAACCCTAGCCCGACACCTCCAGTACTAAAGGTAACTAAGGTCACAGACTAACCCTAACCCGACACCTCCAGTACTAAAGGTAACTAAGGTCACAGACTAACCCTAACCCGACACCTCCAGTACTAAAGGTAACTAAGGTCACAGACTAACCCTAGCCCGACACCTCCAGTACTAAAGGTAACTAAGGTCACAGACTAACCCTAGCCCGACACCTCCAGTACTAAAGGTAACTAAGGTCACAGACTGATAGGGTGATATAGGGTGATACAGCTTGGTCAGGCCGCTGTAATGATTTAGTCAGGTACACATCTGCTTGGTCACTTATAGAAGTGTGTCCCAACTGGTGGGTCATGGTCAGTTCCTCATGGCTTTATGGATAAGGTTTAGGGTCATGTGGTAGTGATAGTCTTGTCACACACAGTGGTTGTGTTTCTCTCTGAGAATTCCTAGGCCATGCAGAGTTCCCCCAACACCTGACTTGAATTAGCCCTGCTACCATTGTCCCACAGTCTTAGTGCTAATCTTAGAATACTATGTGAACCAGCCCTATGCTAACCCCCATGCAGCGTGGTCCCACTCAGGACCTTACTAGAGTCTTCTCTGCCTGCTAGCAGTATTGCCCCCCCAGTCTCACAGGCGTTGTCCCTCCGTTAGCATGCTAACCCCCATGCAGCGTGGTCCAACAGTGGTTTAACTCATGACCAGAGAGAGTTAGCTCTGCTAGCAGCATTGTCCCAGTCTCTGTGCTTCTCTTAGCCCCGTACGGAGTTGCCCGACCGACAGTGGTCTCTCTGCCAGCAGTATTGTCCCACAGTCATTGTGTAGGTAGCCGGGGGACCTTTGCCTTGCGCTGGTAAGTGGTGTTAGAGTGGCCTCAGTCAGGGGTCATGAAGGAGGGACCGGGCCCCAGGCGACTGTGTGTGTGTGTGGGGAGAAGAATAGGTGTGTTTCATGGCCTGGTCTCTGTGTGTGGACAGGGAGGTTGTTTGTTTGTATACCTAGTAACTTTATATTCTGAATTCTATTTGGTGAACTTGAACTTCAGGGAAGTTAAAATTCCAAATAGGCAACGTATTGGTATTGGTATCCTACTACTACAGCTATTTCTTAGGGAAATATACCATAGTCTTATTAGTTTATTATTATTATTATTATATTATTATAGTCTCTCTTTATTTGCACAATGCACATGTGTTTTTTTGTATTTTTGTATGTTTTTTTGTTGTTGTATTTGATGAGGTGGAGTTCCCACATAAGCTGAGCACTTGTTGGCTGCTTTTCCTTCACTCTGCCGTTCGACTCATCCCAAACCATCTCAATTGGGTTGATGTCGGGGGATTGTGGAGGCCAGGTCATCTGATGCAGCACTCCATCACTCTCCTTCTTGGTAAAATAGCCCTTACACAGCCTGGAGGTGTGTTGGGTCATTGTCCTGTTGAAAAACAAATGATAGTCCCACTAAGCCCAAACCAGATGGGATGGCATATCGCTGCAGAATGCTGTGGTAGCCATGCTGGTTAAGTGTGCCTTGAATTCTAAATAAATCACAGACAGTGTCACCAGCAAAGCACCCCCACACCATCACGTCTCCTCCTCCATGCTTTATGGTGGGAAAATACACATGTGGAGATCATCCGTTCACCCACACCGCTTCTCACAAAGACACGGTGGTTGGAACCAAAAATCTCAAATTTGGACTCATCAGACTAAAGGACAGATTTCCACCGGTCTAATGGCCATTGCTCGTGTTTCTTGGCCCAAGCAAGTCTCTTCTTCTTATTGGTGTCCTTTAGTAGTGGTTTCTTTGCAGCAATTTGACCATGAAGGCCTGATTCACACAGTCCCCTCTGAATAGTTGATGTTAAGATGTGTCTGTGACTTGAACTCTGTGAAGCATTTATTTGGGCTGCAATTTCTGAGGCTGGTAACTCTAATGAACTTATCCTCTCTGCAGCAGAGGTAACTCTGGGTCTTCCATTGCTGTGGCGGTCCTCATGAGAGCCAGTTTCATCATAGCGCTATAAGGTTTTTGCGACTGCACTTGAAGAAACGTTCAAAGTTCTTGAAATGTTCTGCATTGACTGACCTTCATGTCTTAAAGTAATGATGGACTGTCGTTTCTCTTTGCTTATTTGAGCTGTCCTTGCCATAATATGGACTTGGTCTTTTACCAAATAGGGCTATCTTCTGTATACCCCCCTATCTTGTCACAACACAACTGATTTGCTCAAACGCATTAAGAAGGAAAGAAATTCCACAAATTAACTTTTAAGAAGGCACACCTGTTAATTTAAATGCATTCCAGGTAGCTACCTCATGAAGCTGGTTGAGAGAATGCCAAGAGTGTGCAAAGCAGTCATCAAGGCAAAGGGTGGCTATTTGAAGAATCTGAAATATAAAATATATTTTGATTTGTTTAACACTTTTTTGGTTACTACATGATTCCATATGTGTTATTTCATAGTTTTGATGTCTTCACTATTATTCTACAATATAGAAAATAGTAAAAATAAAGAAAAACCCTTGAATGAGTTGGTGTGTCCAAACCTTTGACTGGTACTGTATATTTGTATACAGTATATTATATGATATTATTATCTCTCATGTTGATGCGTCATGCAATATGTTGCGTGGGCTTTTTGTGAGTGGCTGTGAGGCTGCTTTTTGTGAGTGACTGTGAGGCTGCTTGTTGTGAGTGACTGTGAGGCTGCTTGTTGTGAGTGACTGTGAGGCTGCTTGTTGTGAGTGACTGTGAGGCTGCTTGTTGTGAGTGACTGTGAGGCTGCTTGTTGTGAGTGACTGTGAGGCTGCTTGTTGTGAGTGACTGTGAGGCAGACGGTGTCTAAAAACAGAAGGTAAAGTGTTGAGTGACAATTTTGGGCCATCAAGGAAAACGCTATGTCTGGCGCAAACCCAACACCTCTCATCACCCCGAGAACACCATCCCCACAGTGAAGCATGATGGTGGCAGCATCATGCTGTTGGGATGTTTTTCATCGGCAGGGACTGGGAAACTGGTGAGAATTGAAGGAATGATGGATGGCGCTAAATACATCATATTTAGTGAATAGTTATGCATGCTAACATTTTCATTTTCATTTTCATTTTTTGTCTTATTTCTCGTTTGTTTCACAATAAAAAATATTTTGCATTTTCAAAGTGGTAGGCATGTTGTGTAAATCAAATGATACAAACCCCCCCAAAAATCCATTTAAATTCCAGGTTGTAAAGCAACAAAATAGGAAAAATACCAAGGGGGGTGAATACTTTCGCAAGCCACTGTAGTAGGTGTGTCCAAACCTTTGACTGTATTTAGATGGCTTTCTGTTATTGATCCCTTATATTCTGAAACCCGTTCCCCCCATATATTCTATTGAGTCTGTCGACTAAATTCTAACTAAAAGGGACACCATATTTAAAGGGATGGCTTTAGGTAAATGTACTGAAAACCCTATTGAATGAAAACTCCACGAGGAAATCTGTTGGCCATCAAGAGGGAGGGTTTTCAGCGGTTCAATAACATTTATTCACGCAAGGTAGCCACACCTGCAGAGCGCGTTACGCGACTGAATAAGGTAAGTCTAATGACCAAATACTGAGATGTATGTAGGAAAGGCGTAAATTCCTAATCGTCCCCTTATGTGCCCTGGCCAGAAGTAGCGCCATTATGGGTCCTTCGTCCTCCTCTTCATACCTGTTCTCCTTCCTGTGTCCCCACAGTGCCGCCGGCACCACTGTTGCAGCAACTGGAGCCTCTCAACTGCACCTCCATCTTGGTTGGATGGCAGCCATCTCCAGGCTCCGTGGTCGTCCAGGGTTACCGGCTCTGTTACCACGAGGAGGGCCAACCAGAACAGCCCTCCATCCAGCTCCAGCCTGAGAACACAGAATACACCATCAGTGGCCTGGGTGAGTGATAGTTACAGTAGGTATACTGCACATATGAAATAGGTGGATACAGGTATAGATTGGGTATAGGTGGGTATAGCTATAGATTGGGTATAGGTGGGTATAGCTATAGATTGGGTATAGGTGGGTATAGCTATAGATTGGGTATAGGTGGGTATAGCTATAGATTGGGTATAGGTGGGTATCTATAGATTGGGTATAGGTGGGTATAGCTATAGATTGGGTATAGGTGGGTATAGCTATAGATTGGGTATAGGTGGGTATAGCTATAGATTGGGTATAGGTGGGTATAGCTATAGATTGGGTATAGGTGGGTATAGCTATAGATTGGGTATAGGTGGGTATAGGTATTGAGTTACCCTCCATCCAACTCCAGTTTGAGGACACAGAATAAAACATCAGTGGCCCGGGGGAGTTTCTGGCTCCTGTGTGGGTGTAAAACATCAGGGAGGGAGGGACTTATTTTTCAATATGCACTGACATCTTTTAATGTCTTCTTGCCCTTTGTCACCCCGATCAATACGGACCTGACCCTTGTTCCCTCTCCTGTCCCAGTCCCAAGCGCCTTCCCTCTCTCCTATCCTATCCTGGTCCTGTTTGTGCCGTCTTACCAACTCCTGTGGTCATTGTCACATTTGGCGTCACGATGACCATATGAGTTGGGAAGACGGCACAAACAGATCTGGGGACCAGGCTACTCTAGCCCCTGTCCCCAGTGTCTCCCCATTCCCTTTCCCAGCATTGTGTGAGCAGCGACGCCCCCCAAAGGGGTTAGAGGTCAGGGCCCAGATGTCCTTCCCACCACCGTTTCCCATGGATCTCATCCCTGGCTTGCATACGTTATCCCTGGCTATTGTGCTATAGCTGCAGGGCCAGAGCTGCCCTATGACACCCTGACCACCAACCCCCCCCCCCCCCCCCCCCCCTCCGACACCTTGACTAGCACCCCCTCTCCAGCAGGATGGGGGAGGTTACCACCATACCCCACGGCCCCCTGGGACTGGCCAGAGCCGGACAGACAAAGGACCTATGACCTATGGTCGTGAGACAGTGGACTTTGATTAGAGAATTGCCCTGTCTGCCCCCTATTTCACAATGGCCTCTGTGATGCCCCTAGGGTTGTGGGTTCGATTCCCACGGGGGGACCAGTATGGAAAATGTATGCACTCACTACTCTAAGTCGCTCTGGATAAGAGCGTCTGCTAAATGACTGAAATGTCAATAGTGTCCAACAGATGCAGAGGAGTCCATGTGATTGTGAAACAGTCTCTAGACTGATAGAGATGAGAGATGTATATCTTGGTGGATTTGATTAGATCTCAATCTTTTAATTCCCATTTCTTCTAACAGTTAAAGGATTTATCTGGAAGTAAGTTAATAGATTTATCTAGAAGGAATCAAAAGTGTTAACTTTTTTTTTTTTTTATGTTCATGATGACATTAGTTGAAGTTACATACTGGGCAACTGCCTCAACACTACTATCCTTTCTTGTTGCTAACCCTTCCTCCAGGCCAAGCCTATATGTTGAAGGGTAAAACAGTGGCCGTTGGGTGAACAATCCTTTCTATAGAGGGGCAGTCCAGCCAGTACACCCTCTCTATACACTGAGTGTACAAAAACATTAAGAATATTGAGTTGCATCCCCCTTTGCCCTCAGAACAGCCTCAATTCGTCGGGTCATGGACTCTACAAGGTGTCGAAAGCGTTCCACAGGGATGCTGGCCCATGTTGACTCCAATGCTTCCCACGGTTGTGTTAAGTTGGCTGGATGTCGTTTGGGTGATGGACCATTCTTGATACACACGGGAAACTGTTGAGCGTGAAAAACCCAGCAGCGTTGCAGTTCTTGACACACTCAAAACCGGTGCACCTGGCACCTACTACCATAACCCGTTCAAAGGCACTTCAATCTTTTGCCTTGCCCATTGACACTCTGATTGGCACGCATACACAATTCATGTCTCAATTGTCTCAAGGCTTAAAAATCATCCTTTAACCTGTCTCCTCCCCTTCATCTACACTGATTGAAGAGTATTTAACAGGTGACATCAATAAGGGATCATAGCTTTCACCTGGATTCACCTGGTCAGTCTATGTCATGGAAAGAGCAGGTGTTCCTAATTTGTGTCCCAATTGAAAGGTAAAACAAGGGTCAATTTAGTGGACAACCCTTTCTATGGTATATATTATATTTGTCCAAGTTGAAGGGTAGATAGAAGGGTGGAGGGGCAGCCAGTTGAAGGGTAGATAGAAGGGTGGAGGGGCAGCCAGTTGAAGGGTAGATAGAAGGGTGGAGGGGCAGCCAGTTGGAACAGAAGGTCCTGAGAAGGGGAAACAAAGGGGGCCAGCTCCTCTCCTCTCCTCTCCTCTCCTCTCCTCTCCTCTCCTCTCCTCTCCTCTCCTCTCCCACAGTCCTGAAGCCCAGATTTCTTCTGTTCTATCTTGGCCTGACCCCTAACCCTAGTCAACCCCCCCCCTGTCCCAGGGGCCCTGGATCCTAGCAGCTGAAAGCTGCCCCTGGCCCCCGCACCGGCCCCTAGCCCCAGCCTCCCACCAAGCCTCCTGGCCCCATCCCCCACCACTACAACAACAGGCCTGGACACACACACCACCTCCCACCACACCACCCCTACCTTTCCACTGGTCAATACCCAGAACCTAACCTTTCACACCAAGACATAAAACAAATCTTTAACGGTCCCCTAAAATACGGCGTGATTTAGGAGATGGTTAGCGTGGCGAACAATTTTTAAAGAGAGACTGCCCCTAAAAATCAACTTCTCATTTTGAAAAACGGCCTATGTGGCACCGATATGAGTCAGAGTAAAAATTGACTACAAAGTGTAAAATATAATAATTTTAGACATAAAGTATCTCGCAAGTGCAAATTGAAAATATTGTCTCATTTACATTGTGTCAAAAAAAATATTGACGGTCCCTAACTAGCCCCAGAGATAGACTATCCAAAGTCAAACCAACTTTGCCACAGTCGCACACCAGCCAGACCTGGTTAGGCTGTTTCAAGTTATCTAGAATTATCTAGAAGGGTGTGACTGTAACTGTACTGTTTTGGCAGCGTGAACGTACAAACGCTTCCCACGTGCGAACACACACACACACACACACACACACACACACACACACACACACAAGAGACACCCACATTAAAACCACTCCCACTCTCGTTTGGTTTCAGTCATGGCCGCTGCATTTCTGAATGACCCAAGTCGATATAAACCTTGTTTGATCATTTGTCTGTTTCCTACCAATCATTTCTCTGCTGATTTTGTTGTAGAATCAACCTATATCATGTGGTTAACCGAGTTGGGGCCAATTCAGAAAGTAAACCCGAAATTCCAATCCCAATTTCCATCAATACATTTCAATGAGAATAACTGAAATGGGAAATTGAGTTGACTTAATCCTGAAATGAATGAATTGAAATGTAACTTCCCCCAAACCTGGTGGTTATACACTGAATGGACAAAACATATAAAAAATCTATTTCCATGACATCGACTGACCAGGTGAATCCAGGTGGAAGCTATGATCCCATATTGATGTCACCTGTTAAATCAATTTCAATCAGTGTAGATGAAGGGGAGGAGACAGGTTAAAGAAGGATTTGTAAGCCTTGAGACAATTGAGACATGGATTGTGAATATGTTCCATTCAGAGGGTGAATGGGCAAGACAAAAGATTTAAGAGCCTTTGAACAGGGGTATGGTAGTTAGGTTGCCAGGGCGCACCCAGGTTTGTGTCAAGAACTGAACGCTGCTGGGTGTTTCACGCTCAAACAGTTTCCCGATGTGTATCAAGAATGGTCCTACCACCCAAAGGACATCCAGCCATTGCAGACGCTTGTATCCAAAGCACACACTGTAGGGTGGAGACGAACCCACTACTTGCGTACAGCAGCCGTGTCAACATGAGCTACGGATCTGATTGAACACTGTGGGAACACGGAGTCAACAGGGCGGCTTCCTGTGACACTGTCGACACCTTGTAGAGTCCACGCCCCGACGAATTGAGGTTATTCTGAGGGAAAAAAGGGGGTGCAACTCAATATTAGGAAGGTGTTCTTAATGTTTTGTACACTCAGTGTATAGTTACAACATATACACTAGAGACCTAATTCTAGAGACAGTCAGTTATGAGGTTCAGTAGCCATGCCAACCTGGTTCTAGAGTTTCAGGCAGACGGCTGACCTGTATGGGGTTCAGAGTTAACAATTGGCATTGTTTGTAGGGGGCATAGTACTTAACTGAAAAAGCAAACTTTGTTAACTGTTCATTTGTTATGTTTTGACTGATAATGGCCATTCCAGATGTGCCTTTGTTTGCACAGATGTTTTTAAGGAATGTGTGGGTCAGTTGATAATAGACAGAAAATTGAACATCTACAGTGAGAGGGGGAAAAAAGTATTTGATCCCCTGCTGATTTTGTACGTTTGCCCACTGAACAAAGACATGATCAGTCTATAATTTTAATAGTAGGTTTATTTGAACAGCGAGAGACAGAATAACAACAAAAAATACAGAAAAACGCATGTCAAAAATGTTATAAATTGATTTGCATTTTAATGAGGGAAATAAGTATTTGACCCCTCTGCAAAACATGACTTAGTACTTGGTGGCAAAACCCTTGTTGGCAATCACAGAGGTCAGACTTTTCTTGTAGTTGACCACCAGGTTTGCACACATCTCAGGAGGGATTTTGTCCCACTCCTCTTTGCAGATCTTCTCCAAGTCATTAAGGTTTCGAGGCTGACATTTGGCAACTCAAACCTTCAGCTCCCTCCACAGATTTTCTATGGGATTAAGGTCTGGAGCCTGGCTAGGCCACTCCAGGACCTTAATGTGCTTCTTCTTGAGCCACTCCTTTGTTGCCTTGGCCGTGTGTTTTGGGTCATTGTCATGCTGGAATACCCATCCACGACCCATTTTCAATGCCCTGGCTGAGGGAAGGAGGTTCTCACCCAAGATTTGACGGTACATGGCCCCGTCCATCGTCCCTTTGATGCGGTGAAGTTGTCCTGTCCCCTTAGCAGAAAAACACCCCCAAAGCATAATGTTTCCACCTCCATGTATGACAGTGGGGATGGTGTTCTTGGGGTCATAGGCAGCATTCCTCCTCCTCCAAACACGGCGAGTTGAGTTGATGCCAAAGAGCTCCATTTTGGTCTCATCTGACCACAACACTTTCACCCAGTTCTCCTCTGAATCATTCAGATGTTCATTGGCAAATTTCAGACGGGCCTGTATATGTGCTTTCTTGAGCAGGGGGACCTTGCGGGCGCTGCAGGATTTCAGTACTTCACGGCGTAGTGTGTTACCAATTGTTTTCTTGGTGACTATGGTCCCAGCTGCCTTGATCATTGACAAGATCCTCCCGTGTAGTTCTGGGCTGATTCCTCACCGTTCTCATGATCATTGCAACTCCACGTGGTGAGATCTTGCATGGAGCCCCAGGCCGAGGGAGATTGACAGTTATTTTGTGTTTCTTCCATTTGCGAATAATCACACCAACTGTTGTCACCTTCTCACCAAGCTGCTTGGCAATGGTCTTGTAGCCCATTCCAGCCTTGTGTAGGTCTACAATCTTGCCCCTGACATCCTTGGAGAGCTCTTTGGTCTTGGCCATGGTGGAGAGTTTGGAATCTGATTGATTGCTTCTGTGGACAGGTGTCTTTTATACAGGTAACAAGATGAGATTAGGAGCACTCCCTTTAAGAGTGTGCTCCTAATCTCAGCTCGTTACCTGTATAAAAGACACCTGGGAGCCAGAAAATCTTTCTGATTGAGAGGGGGTCAAATACTTATTTCCCTCATTCAAATGCAAATCAATTTATAACATTTTTGACATGCGTTTTTCTGGATTATTTTGTTGTTATTCTGTCTCTCTCACTGTTCAAATAAACCTACCATTAAAAATTATAGACTGATCATTTCTTTGTCAGTGGGCAAACGTACAAAATCAGCAGGGGATCAAATACTTTTTTCCCCCTCACTGTATTCCCACTGAGATTATTTATCAATCTACTATTTATTGTTTTCCAGACCCAAGGAGGAAGTACCATGTGAAACTGTTGGCTTTAAGCCTTGTAGGAGATGGTTACCAGGCCGACCAGACCGTCAGCACCCCAGGATGTGTGTGTACGTAAACAAAGAAATCAGATAAATTCTTACCATTGAACTGCTTCAGCTTCTGTTCATCCTGAAGTCTACATTGGCCTCTAACACATCTCCCACCACCATAAAAAAAATACTTCTAGACAGCTGAAGCAAGCGCACACGTTTTCTTCAGGAAATAATACCTTTTCTAGTTGTGACTAATTTTGTGCGTCTGTGTTTGTTACAGCAGTCCGAGATCACCCGGTGGCCCAGCCTCCAGCCCCGGACCACGTGACTGCGGTGGCTAACAGCTCGTCAGCGGTGTACCTGCGTTGGAGCCGTCCTGCCTTCGCCTCCGGGAAGGCTGTCAGCTACACAGCTCGCTGTACACGCGTGGGCCTGACGAACGCGTCGGCCATACGATACGTACAGACGTGAGTTCGTGACCAGTGTTCTGCAGCAGAACTCCTCAAGTTCAAGAAGACACTTGTGATGTTCATACCTGTATACTAGGGGTCTGTTGACGAAGAAGAAGAATACTTTACTACTATTTTAATACTAAGATTATTATACTGAAAAAATATATAAAACGCAACATGCAACAATTTCATTGATTTACTGAGTTACAGTTCATATGAGGAAATCAGTCAATTTAAATAAATTCATTAGGCCCTAATCTATGGATTTCACATGACTGGGAATACAGATCTGTTGGTCACAGATGCCTTAAAGAAATGGGCCTCACAATGGGCCTCAGGATCTCGTCATGGTATTTTTGTGCATTAAAATTGACATTGATCAAATGCAATAGTGTTCGTTGTCTGTAGCTTATGCCTGCCCATACCATAACCCCACCACCACCATGGGGCACTCTGTTCATAACGTTGACATCAGCAAACCGCTCGCCCACACAACGCCATACACGTGTTCTGCGGTTGAGAGGCCAGTTGGACGTACTGCCAAATTCTCTAAAATGACGTTGGAGGCTGCATATGGTAGAGAAATTGACATTAAATTATCTGGCAATAGCTCTGGTGGACATTCCTGCAGTCAGCATGCCAATTGCACTGTCCCCCCCAAAACATTGACATCTGTGGCATTGTGTTGTGTGACAAAACTGTACATTTTAGAGTGGCCTTTTATTGTCCCCAGCACAAGGTGCACCTGTGTAATGATCATGCTGTTTAATCAGCTTCTTGATATGCCACACCTGTCAGATGGATGGATTATCTTGGCAAAGGTGAAATGCTCACTGACAGGGATGTAAAGAAATTTGCACAAAATTTGAGAGAAATAAGCTTTTTGTGCGTAATGGAACATTTCTGGTATCTTTTATTTCAGCTCATGAAACATGGGACCAACACTTTACAATGTTGCGCTTATATTTTTGTTCAGTGTACTTTACTACTTCGCAATTGTCCATTCAATTGTCATGTTTCAGATCATGGGCATGTGGTAATATAGTTCTACACTTTACATCTGACAAGAGACTGAAGATCAAAGATGGACACTGAGTTTTTATTTTTTATTGAACCTGTCATGTCTGTTCTGTCCTCGTCAGTATCAACCAGAGTGTGCTGATACAGGGCCTGGATCCAAACACCCGCTATGAGTTAGTGGTACGTCTCCATGCCGACCAGCTGTCCAGCCCCTGGAGCCTGGTTGTCTTTCAGAGGACTCTACCAGCAGGTAAACAATCATCTAATTCTCTACATGGATAAAGACTCCTTCATGACCTATAGATTATGAAGGAGTCTAATTTAACTTTAAGTGACATCAACAGTATAGCTTCCTCCCCAGTCTACTCTGAGATGTACCTGCCGGCACTCTGCCCTGCACCTTGAGACTAATGGCCCGTGTATATAGATAGAGTCATTGAACACTGGTCACCTCATATTCTGTTTATATACTGTTGTCTACTCACTATGTATGCCAAGAGTGTGCAAAGCTGTCATCAACGCAAAGGGTGGCTATTTGAAGAATCCCAAATATAAAATATATTTTGATTTGTTTAACACTTTTTTTGGTTACTACATGATTCCATATGTGTTATTTCATAGTTTTGATGTCTTCACTATTATTCTACAATGTAGAAAATAGTTTTAAAAAATAAAGAAAAACCCTTGAATGAGTAGGTGTTCTAAGATTTTTGACCGGTACTGTATATACAGTATTCTCCACATAGCTCATCCTAATGTACATACCATATACAGTCTAAACACAGCACGTATTTATATTCTGGATTCTGACACTGCTCACACTAATATATCTACTCTATAGTCCGCTGTAGCTCAGTTGGTAGAGCATGGCGCTTGCAACGCCAGGGTTGTGGGTTCGTTTCCCACGGGGGGGGGCAGTATGAAAAGATTTATGCACTCACTAACTGTAAGTCGCTCTGGATAAGAGCGTCTGCTAAAGGACTAAAATGTTTAAAAAATGTTGTTGCACTCATTCTGTCATTTCTTCATTCGTTTTTTATTATTTGTGTATTTGTATTGTATTTGCGAAGCATTCTCCTGCACTTCTGGAGCTAATAACATAAACATTACACTGCACCTGCTATAACACCTGAAGATCTGTGTGCACAACAATAAACTTATATTTTATTTTATTTTATTTGAGATGGGCGGGAACCAGCAACCCTGTGCACACACACACAACAACATTCACCTATCAAAGCCAACCGTACTGGATGACGGACCAAGATACATTTAAGCTTAAGAGACTCAAATGACCCTTTTTCTGTTCATCAGCGCCCAGCCACCCTCCTGAAGGTGTGAGGGTGAGTCTGATTGAGGACAGCACAGCCCTGGTTTCCTGGAGGGAACCAGAGGGGAACAACCTGGCAGTGACACATTACACCATCCTGTACGCCTCACAGAGGGCCTGGCTGGCCGGACACTGGCAGACACTGCAGAGGGAGGGTGAGTGAGACTGTTAGACAGCCAGATACTGCAGAGGGAGGGTGAGTGGAACAGCTAGATACTGGAAGATACTGCAGAGGGAGGGTGAGTGGATCAGCCAGAGACTGCAGAGGGAGGGTGACTGAGACTGTTAGACAGCCAGATACTGCAGAGGGAGGGTGAGTGGAACAGCTAGATACTGGAAGATACTGCAGAGGGAGGGTGAGTAGAACAGCTAGATATTGCAGAGGGAGGGTGTGTGGAACAGTTAGATACTGGCAGATACTGCAGAGGGAGGGTGAGTGGATCAGCCAGATACTGTAGAGGGAGGGTGAGTGGAACAGCTAGATACTGGAAGATACTGCAGAGGGAGGGTGAGTGGATCAACCAGATACTGCAGAGGGAGGGTGAGTGGAACAGCTAGATACTGGAAGATACTGCATAGGGAGGGTGAGTGGGACAGTTAGATACTTCCAGATACTGCAGAGGGAGGGTGAGTGAGACGGTTAAACAGCCAGGCACTGCAGAGGGAGGGTGAGTAGAACAGCTAGATACTGCAAAGGGAGGGTGTATGGTACAGCCAGATACTGCAGAGGGAGGGTGAGTGGAACAGCTAGATACTGACAGATACTGCAGAGGGAGGATCAATGAGATGGTTAGACAGCCAGATATTATAGAGGGAGGGTAAAAACAGGTGGATGTTTTGGAAGGGGAGGGGCTGGGGACAGGCTTGGGCAGAAGCTTTGAGAGGAGAGGGCGGTAGCTACTCGTTGAGTGCAGATTTGAACATTTCTGAGTATCTGGCTAGTGTGCACACAATATTTGGTTCTTGGTTTTGGGAATGGCTGTGTTATGATATGCATTCAACTCCAGTCCCCTCTAAAAACCCGTCTGATGTCCCCTTACAGGGAGCAACACCATGGTCCTGCTGGAGCATCTGGAGCCTGGTAACGTCTACCTGGTGAAGATATCTGCCTCCAACCAGGTGGGAGACGGGCCCTTCTCCGCCACTGTGGAGCTGGCCCTGGGGCCTGGGCCGAGACACAGAGGGAAGAGGCCCAGGCACTCAGACAGCGGCTCCTCCTCAGACACTACAGGTCAGTATTGTCGTAGTGTTGTTGGACTGGAGGGTGTTGTAGTTAGTATTGTGGCCGGTGGTCAGTATTGTTGGACTGCAGAGACATAGGACCTGTCGTGTCTTGGACTTTGAACATACTGCAGTTGAAGACAACATGACCCTAAGCAGAATATAGTCTCTTACTCTACCTGGTTTCAGTGCTTTTAGTAGGCATTGTTTAAATTGACGTGATTACATAGTGTGACATGATTTCTTGTGTCTTCCAGTGTTCTCTGACGGCCTGCATCACATGGACCAGAATTCCATGACAGGGATCATGGTAGGGGTCTGCATCGCTCTGGCGTGTATAGTTCTGTGTGCCATCATCCTCATCAGCAAAGGCAGATCCAGGTATTTACACAATACCATCTAGTAATAGGTCTTCTTCTTATCTTGTGATTCATCATATCTCATCAGAAGGCAGGTCCAGATTATTTTAGACAATATAGTTTCGGATCTATGTAATAGTCTAGGATTCTATCTTAGATGAATTCTTCTTTTCTATTTTCTTTATTCTTAGAGTCTGATTCTTCGTAGGCGCGTATTTCTTATTCTCTTCGTTTTCTTCTTCTTCTTCTTCTTCTTCTTCTCTTCTCTTCTTCTTCTTCTTTCTTTTCTTTTCTTCTTCTGTCTTCTTTCTTCTCTTCTTCTTCTTCTTCTTCTTCTCCTTCTCTTCTCCTTCTTCTTCTTCTTTCTTCCTTCTTCTTCTTCTTTCTCTTCTTCTTCTCTCTGTTCTTCTCTTTCTTCTTTCTTCTTCTGTTTCTTCTTCTTCTTTTCTTTCTCCTTCTTCCTTCTGCTCTTCTTCTTCTTCTTCTTTTTCTTCTTCTTCTTCTTCTTCTCTTCTTCTTCTTCTGTTTCTTCTTCTTCTCCGTCTTCATTCTGATGCATTAGTCATTTTTTGAAAGAACTCTCTTCAAATAGATTATTTCGTATTGTCCACTAACTTCTACTCTTTACTCCAATAGGAAATCTTCCATCTCTAAGATCACTGACGTAGTGACCGGTGAGGGACCCCGTGGTCCACATGCTGGTTTGGCCCTGGCCAATGAACACCCTGCTGAGAACATAGAGGCCCTGATGCCCATGATGGCACAACACTTCATTGATGCCAAGGTGAGACGTGGCTCCACAGACACAGGCCACGAGTGTGTATGTATGAGAATGTATTTATGGCGTATACAGTGCATTCGGAAAGTATTTAGACCCCTTGACCTTTTCCACATTTTGTTACATTTTACAGCCTTATTCTGAAATGGATTTTTTTTTTAATAATCTCATAAATCTACACACAATACTTCATAATGACAAAGCAAAAACAGGTTTTTAGAAATTCAGACCCTTTACTCAGTACTTTGTTGAAGCACCTTTGGCAGCGATTACAGCCTCGAGTCTTCTTGGGCATGACGCTACAAGCTTGGCACACCTGTATTTGGGGAGTTTCTCCCATTCTTCTCTGCAGATCCTCTCAAGCTCTGTCAGGTTGGATGGGGAGCGTCGCTGCACAGCTATTTTCAGGTCTCTTCAGAGATGTTCGATCGGGTTGAAGTCCGGGCTCTGGCTGTGCCACTCAAGGACATTAGAGACTTGTCCCGAAGCCACTCCTGCGTTGTCTTGGCTGTGTGCTTAGGGTTGTTGTCCTGGTGGAAGGTGAACCTTCGCCCCGATCTGAGGTCCTGAGTGCTCTGGAGCAGTTTTTCATCAAGAATCTCTTTGTACTTTGCTCCGTTCATCTTTCCCTCGATCCTGACTAGTCTCCCAGTCCCTGCCGCTGAAAAACATCCCCACAGCATGATGCTGCCACCACCATGCTTCACCGTAGGGATGGTGCCAGGTTTCCTCCAGACGTGACGCTTGGCATTCAGGCCAAAGAGTTCAGTCTTGGTTTCATCAGACCAGATAATATTTTCTCATGGTCTGAGAGTCCTTTAGGTGCCTTTTGGCAAACTCCAAGCGGGCTGTCATGTGCCTTTTACTGAGGAGTGCTTCCGTCTGGCCACTCTACCATAAAGGCCTGATTGGTGGAGTGCTGCAGAGATGGTTGTCCTTCTGGAAGGTTCTTCCATCTCCACAGAGGAACTCTGGAGCTCTGTCAGAGTGACCATCGGGTTCTTGGTCACCTCCCTGACCAAGGCCCTTCTCACCCGATTGCTCAGTTTGGCCGGGCGGCCAGCTTTAGGAAGAGTCTTGGTGGTCTCAAACTTATTCCATTTAAGAATGATGGAGGCCACTGTGTTCTTGGGGACCTTCAATTCTGCAGAAATGTTTTGGTACCCTTCCACAGATCTGTGCCTCGACACAATCCTGTCTCGGAGCTCTACGAATAATTCCTTCAACCTCATGGCTTAGTTTTTGCTCTGACATGCACTGTCAACTGTGTGACCTTATATAGACAGGTATGTGCCTTTCCAAATCATGTCCAATCAATTGAATTTACCACAGGTGGACTCCTATCAAGTTGTAGAAACATCTCAAGGTTGATCATTGGAAACAGGATGCACCTGAGCTCAATTTCGAGTCTCATAGCAAAGGGTCTGAATACTTATGTAAATAAGGTATTTCTGTTTTTTTATTTTAATAGATTTGCCAACATTTCTAAAAATCTGTTTTCACTTTGTCATTATGGGGTATTGTGTGTAGATTGATGAGGAAAAAATGAATTTAATCAATTTTAGAATAAGGCTGTAACGTAACAAAATGTGGAAAAAGGGAAGGGGTCTGAATACTTTCCGAATGCACTGTACACCCATCTCAGCAGGCAAAAGTCGTTGCAAAGACATCCCTATTACAAACTTTATGATGTCATGATAAGGCTGTATACTGGTTGTGTAAGGCCCTTTCCTCAGCGTCTTTTTAGCAACCATAAAAATACATCTTTATCTGTTTCTAATCTGGTTATCTCTCTGTTTCAGTGTGGGACTAACCTAGTGATTAGTAAAGCTGGTCCAGTCTGCGGCAGCAGTAAGAGACGGCAGTTCTTCAGTAGTACAGCTGGTGCAGTCTGCGGCAGCAGTAAGAGACGGCAGTTCTTCAGTAGTACAGCTGGTGCAGTCTGCGGCAGCAGTAAGAGACGGCAGTTCTTCAAGAGGGAAAGACACAATAGAAATACAAGCCAGGTAAGTCTTCAGAAGTGAACCAATCATGTTGCTGCTATTAGAGTACCAGTCTTCAACATGGAGTATTACAGTATTCAGTATTGTTCATTTGTTAAACACTCATCTCCCTTATCTCTAGGTTGAGAACAGAGCATGTCTGTACGAGGCAGGGAAGACCATTCTGTGTTACGAGGAGAGGGAGGGTGCGCCGCCCCTCCAGCCCTCCAGCCTGCAGATCCTGTTCGGGCCACTAGGGGGCTTGGAGAGCTCCGGGGGCTTCAGCTCCGAGGGAAGCAGCTCTGGAACCACTGAGACCAGCGAGGGGAGTCACGAGACAGGAGACTCCGGTCACTACTCCAACGAAGAGATAAGCAATGAGATGAGCAAACCGTCCACCGCCAACTCAGGCCGTAACTCCAGGCCTCCGTCCTTCGGGTCGGAGTTGGATGACAGCCCAACTCCAGAGGAGGAAGGGTGTTTTGAAGAGGAGGAAGAAGGAAAGCCTGGTTTTAAAGTGGAATCTGAGGTGATGCCACCAAGCCACCCCTACCATCACCAACATCACCTCCACCAGCAGCCCTCACGTCCCTGTTCCCTCTCGGCTGAGTGTCCAGGACACGGCCCTGTCAGCAAACTCGTCCTGGCGATAGGCTAGCCAGCCTGAATGTGGCTTATTTACAGCTGAAGCAGCCCACCTTTCTCCCTTCTTCACCTCCTGAAATAGGTCCTTGGACAAGGAATATACAGTTACGAAGAGGGATCAGGAAGTTGAAGATTTAAGGAGGAAATGGGTGTTCGCTTCAGGTCTACCTCAGGGTATTTGTAATGAATGTCATTGTTTTCCTGTTTCATTTTTACCTCATTTTCTGTCTGGTTTTCGTCTGTGTGTCAGGTTTTTAGGGCCGGTTTCTTGGACACCAACCTCAGCGGGTCAGTCACAACCGGATGCATCCGGTTTTCAGGGGAACTGGAAAGAGAGCCTTCTGCTTTTGGACGTTAACAAGGCGACACCCCATCTTAACAACTCCTCCACATTTACTGAATTGGTTGAACAGTGCAGAAGAGAACCTCCCCCGTCAGCACAAGAAAGAAAGAAACCCCGCTCAGGTGCTTATTTTACGCCTGTTAAGTTACTTGGGCACAGATGAAGCTTTGTCCTGAATTGGTGAAAGGGATATTATGGGATCCTGAAAAGAATGTTCAGTGAAGATTGGCCATTGGAAGGGATTCTTTGTACAGGACTAGGCTTAATCTTTGTCCGGGAAACCAGTCCTTAATGTCTGTCCTAAACCAAAGCTCACCCAACATTGAATGTTCAAAAGAATGTAAAAATATATATATATTGCGTTATGATACATTTTCTTCTATATTTAAGTAGATTTGTTTTCTTCCACTGGAGCAGAGGGTGTGCAGTTGGTCACCCCTCGTTGCTCATTGTCTACCTCAGTTACTCTGACTGTCTATAGAACTCCTGCAGGATATCAATGCAGGTAAGACGACGACATGGCTTTTAAATGTATTCAACCTCATTCCCTGAGTTAGGGAAAATAATACTGCACATATATACTCTTAAAATGAGGTACAGTGCCTTGCAAAAGTATTCATCCCCCCTTAGCATTTTTCCTATTGTTGCATTACAACCTGTAATTTAAATTGATTTTTATTTGGATTTCATGTAATGGACATACACAAAATAGTCAAAATTGGTGAAATGAAATGGAAAAAAATAACTGATTTCAAAAAATTCTAAACAAATTAATAACGGAAAAGAGGTGCGTGCAGATGTATTCACCCCCTTTGCTATGAAGCCCCTAAATAAGATCTGGTGCAACCAATTACCTTCAGAAGTCTCATAATTAGTTAAATAAAGTCCACCTGTGTGCAATCTAAGTGTCACATGATCTGTCACATGATCTCAGTATATATACACCTGTTCTGAAAGGCCCCAGAGTCTGCAACACAACTAAGCAAGGGGCACCACCAAGCAAGCGGCACCATGAAGACCAAGGAGCTCTCCAAACAGGTCAGGGACAAAGTTGTGGAGAAGTACAGATCAGGGTTGGGTTATAAAGAAATATCTGAAACTTTGAACATCCCACGGAGCACCATTAAATCCATTATTAAAAAATTGAAAGAATATGGCACCACAACAAACCTGCCAAAACTCATGGACCAGGCAAGGAGGGCATTAATCAGAGAGGCAACAAAGAGACCAAAGATAACCCTGAAGGAGCTGCAAAGCTCCACTGTGGAGATTGGAGTATCTGTCCATAGGACCACTTTAAGCCGTACACTCCACAGAGCTGGGCTTTATGGAAGAGTGGCCATAAAAAAGCCATTGCTTAAAGAAAAAAATAATCAAACACGTTTGGTGTTCGCCAAAATGCATGTGGGAGACTCCCCAAACATATGGAAGAAGGTACTCTGGTCAGATGAGACTAAAATTGAGCTTTTTGACCATCAAGGAAAACGCTATGTCTAGCGCAAACCCAACACCTCTCATCACCCCGAGAACACCATCCCAACAGTGAAGCATGGTGGTGGCAGCATCATGCTGTGGGGATGTTTTTCATCGGCAGGGACTGGGAAACTGGTCAGAATTGAAGGAATGATGGATGCCGATAAATACAGGGAAATTCTTGAGACTTTCAGTCTTCCAGAGATTTGAGAACGGGACAGAGGTTCACCTTCCAGCAGGACAATGACCCTAAGCATACTGCTAAAGCAACACTCGAGTGGTTTAAGGGGAAACATTTAAATGTCTTGGAATGGCCTAGTCAAAGCCCAGACCTCAATCCAATTGAGAATCTGTGGTATGACTTAAAGATTGCTGTACACCAGCGGAACCCATCCAACTTGAAGGAGCTGGAGCAGTTTTGCCTTGAAGAATGGGCCAAAATCCCAGTGGCTAGATGTGCCAAGCTTATAGAGACATACCCCAAGAGACTTGCAGCTGTAATTGTTGCAAAAGGTGGCTCTACAAAGTATTGACTTTGTGGGGGTGAATAGTTATGCACGCTCAAGTTTTCTATTTTACATCTTCTAAGTGGTAGGTATGTTGTGTAAATCAAATGATACAAACCCCCAAAAAATTTATTTTAATTCCAGGTTATAAGGCAACAAAATAGGAAAAATGCCAAGGGGGGTGAATACTTTCGCAAGACACTGTAGTACTATATACAGTACTGCACAATATATTGTTAAAATGAGGTAGTAAGATTTGTAAAAATTCCTTTTGAATTATTTGATGTTTTTATAAGGTTGGAAAAGCTTTACGTTTTTAATGATCCCTTCAGTATAGTTCAAATATGGAAGTGCATTAGATACTGTATCGTCAGTCTCCATTTGAGTAAAAACAAAGTAACTAAAAAGAAACGTTGAACTGGCATTTCCAGTGCACCGGACCTTTAAAAGCTTTAAAATGGCCTTATTACATGGAAAAGGGCTTTGCAGATGATCGTAGATATAGAGATCCAACGACAGAAAAGGTCTCCAAAGAAAGAGTTGGAACAAACGACACAACAGCCGTACAGTATTGTGAGTGTCTGCCAAATCATTTTGCTGCCGTATCAACTATGTATATTTCTCTTTGAATTATCGAGTTGAATGCAAATCTTATTGTACATTTCAAGACAAGTTTTATATCTGGTTGAAAGCTTTAGCGCTCTGTCTTTCAGACGAGTGTTCTCCATTTGCCTTCTATGTAGATCATTGATGCTAAACGTAGCGCTGACACATGTGCTATTAGATGCCAAAGAGTTGTCTACTTCCTCAGACGGGAGGACTGATGGGGGATTCAGATAGATCAGATGGGAGGACTGATGGGGTCCTCCAGATAGATCCTTGGAATTATGTCATAGGAGATACCAGGGTTGGAGCTAGTTCCATTTCAATTCAGTCAGTTCTGGGTGTAAACTGAAATTCCAATGCTTTTCAACAGTGATATTTGGAATTTCAGTTAACTTCCAGAATTGGCTGAATTGGAATGGAATTAAGCCCAACCACGACAGGAGCTTTTCTGACACCTCACCAAAGAATCCAGTCAGTGTATTGACAGTGATAGATGGATGATGATGGATGTTGCTTTATTCATGATCTCATTTTTTTATAAATGGGATTTACATCCATCAAGCAGATATCACCTGTGGTCACAATTCACATGAATACAAGTTTTATGAATGTTGTATGATGGAGAAATTTGTATCCAATATATTTCTAGCCTGGTGTCAGATCTGTTTGTGCCACACATGACAATGACCATATGAGCCGGTAACACAGTACAAACAGATCTGGGATCAGGCTACTCCTATATAGCACACCCCAGTTTGACAATATGACAAGATTCTGACTATCAAATCAATAACCCCTATGTGTGAAGAGCAACATAATCAAGTTTTATATCTTTGAAAAGCAAACAATCTTGACCAAAGAAGAATTTAAAGTCAATGTTGTTTAATAATTAGTTATTTGGTTTGACATTTCTTTACATAACAGTATTTGCATAATGTGTTTCTAGGATTTTGATTCACTAGAAAAGGGCATTTTATAGTCGATTCATTGTGATGCCATGTTCCATTTTTGTTTTGAGCGGCTTGAGAGGTCGAAGAGTATTCAGTTGTCAATTGGATCGTGTTCATAAGATTTCACCTGAAAGATGTTAAAAGTTTACTTTGGGACTTTTTAAAAATGTTATGGTTTTGTTTCTTTTAGGATAATTTTGTCTCCTGTCAAAGCATATTTTTCTTAGGCCGTGTCTACACTTGACACTTGCATGCGACTTCTGCTATCAGAATATGAAGATCGCATTGAAAAGACGGGTCTAGACGCACAAAAGTCGCTTTGTGGTCTGACTGTGTTCAGATCTAGCTGACCACTTCAGGAGGTGGTCAGGGCTGCATTGTGTGCGGATTTCTACTCAGTCTGGACGCAATCAGGCTACCGAATGCGCATTAAAGTGGGCGACGTCATCAGCACTCCTCCCATAAGTCTCCTGAAAACTTGTGTTTTGGGACTTAGAAGCACCTTTTCATTATAACGTTGGAGGAAATACGTTCCTAGCGTGTGAGGAACGTGTTTTCTGGCCTGAGAAATTCTAGCCAACAAGCTAATATTTAGAAAAACGATTTTTTTGTTTGGCTAGAGTTATGCAAACCCTTTTGCAATCCCTTTAGCGTTGCTTGCTAACTTGCTGGCTAGCTACAGAGGTTAGCTGGCTAGTTAGCAACAGTACTTAGGTACTGCCATCAGTTGTTGTGTTATTATCATATTTTGACTAATCCACCATTTGTAGAATGCATAATGGCATTTGAATATAGTGCGGGAAAAGGGAATGCAGACACACTGTGGACATGGTGGACACATTTTAAAGTGTAGATGCATGACGCGTTTCTGAATTCCATGATCAGAACTCTATGATCAGAATACTAAAGCTGCATGAACTGTCAAATCTAGACACAGCCTTAGATGGATATAAGAAAAGATTGGGCTATTTTCCCTCTGTCTGTGTTCTCAGAGCCTGTGTCAGTGACAGGTTAGTCAGCTAGGGGAGCCTGTTGCCATTGCCGGACACCATTTTGAATGTGTCCCTTATTGCTATTATTTAACGTATTTTTGGGGGGGGTTGTAATTTCCTGCTTTTGTAATGCATATTTACCATATCGTGTATTTCTTTCTCCCAAGTATTAAAACAAACAGTGTTTCTGTGTTACAAAGCACAAACCACATTATTTGATCCTCTCAAGATGGTCTCATCATTTGAATAAAAATGTTTCCTGAAAAAGTATTCCTGTGATATGTGGATGTAAGTCTGCCCAGCAAACCAAAAATGGTTCTGTGCGAAAATTCCCAGAACATGCGTTAGGTCGCAGCAAATGTTCTCATAACTCAAAAACTGTCCAGTTGTGCTGAGGATTGTAGAATGTTTGTATAAACAATTTGCCTGATGTTGCAAGGACATTCCTAGAACACATTTTGTCTGTTCTTTTGAAGGTTACCAGAATGTTTCATTAGGTTGTGGGAACAGTCTGGTGGGAACATTGTGGGGAAATCACAAAATATATGTTCCTAAAACACAAACTGTCCAGTTGTTCAGATGATTCTACAATGTTAATCTTAGGGTAAAAAAATAACATTCACCTGATGTTACAAGAACGTTCCCAGAACATATTTTGTCTGTTCTTTAAAGGTTCCCAGAATGTTTATTTAGGTTGTGGGAACATTTGGTGGATATGACAAGAGATAGGTTCCCAAATCACTAAAACTATCCAGTTGTGCTGACATTCAGATCATGTTTGTAAGGGTGCAAAAAAATTGCAAGAATGTTGACAGAACAGCTTTTGAGTTTTTTAAAGGTTCCCAGAACATTTAATTAGGTTGTGGGAACAGTGTGGATACATTACAAGAGATAGGTTCCCAAAACACAAAATATGCTCAGTTGTGATGACGTTCATACAATGTTTAAGTTAGGTTGCACAGGACATTCCCCTAATGTTGCAAGACTGTTCTTGTGATATTCATGAAGGTTGCACAGAACATTCCCACAATGTTGCATAATGTTCCACAATTTCCAAATAAGTCAGTTTTTATGACGTTCATAGCCTTATGTTTTAGGTTTAACATAATATTCCATTGATGTTCATACACAACATAAACGCAACAATTTCAAAGATTTTACTGAGTTACAATTCATATACGGAAATCAATTGAAATAAAATCATTAGGCCATAATCTATACATTTCACATCCCTCGGAATACAGATATGCATCTGTTGATCACAGATACCTTAAAAAAAAGTAGGGGTGTGGATCAGAAAACCAGTCAGTATCTGGTGTGACCACCATTTGCCTCATGCAGCGCGACACATCTCCTTTGCATAGAGTTGATCAGGCTGTTGATTGTGGCCTGTGGAATGTTATCCCACTCCTCTTCAATGGCTGAGCGAAGTTGCTTTATATTGGCTGGAACAAGCTGTCGTACACGTCGATCCAGAGCATCCCAAACATGCTCACTAGGTGATATGTCTGGTGAGTATGCAGGCCATGGAAGAACTGGGGCATTTTCAGCTTAAAGGAATTGTGTACAGATCCTTGCGACATGGGGCCGTGCATTATCATGCTGAAATATGAGGTGATGGCGGCGGATTAATGGCAAGACAATGGGCCTCAGGATCTCGTCACGGTATCGCTGTAGATTCAAATTGCCATCGATAAAATGCAATTGTGTTCGTTGTCTGTAGCTTATGCCTGCCCATACCATAACCCCACCGCCACCATGGGGCACTCTGTTCACAATGTTGACATCAGCAAACCGCTCGCCCACATAACACCATACACGCTGTCTGCCACTTGCCTGGTACAGTTGAAACTGGGATTCATCCGTGAAGAGTACACTTCTCCAGCATGCCAGTGGCCATCGAAGGTGAGAATTTGCCCACTGAAGTCGGTTACGACCCCGAACTGCAGTCAGGTCAAGACCCTGGTGAGGACGACGAGCACCCAGATGAGCTTCCCTGAGACGGTTTCTGACAGTTCGTGCAGAAATTATTTGGTTGTGCAAACCCACAGTTTCATCAGCTGTGCGGGTGGCTGGTCTCAGATGATCCCGCAGGTGAAGAAGCTGGATGTGGAGGTCCTGGGCTGGCGTGGTTACACATGGTCTGCGGTTGTGAGGCCGGTTGGACATACTGCCTAATTCTCTAAAACGACACTGAAGGCGGCTTATGGTAGAGAAATTAACATTAAATTATCTGGCAACAGCTCTGGTGGACATTGCTGCATTCAGCATGCCAATTGAACACAACCTCAAAACATCTGTGGCATTGTGTTGTGACAAAACGGCACATTTTAGAGGCCTTTTATTGTACCCACCACAAGGTGCACCTGTGTAATGATCATGCTCCCGAGTGGCGCAGCGGTCTAAGGCACTGCATCTCAGTGCTTGAGGCGTCACTACAGACCCCCCTGGTTTGATTCCAGGCTGTATCACAACCGGCCGTGATTGGGAGTCCCATAAGGCGGCGCACAATTGGCCCAGTGTCGTCCGGGTTTGGCTGGTGTAGGCTGTCATTGTGAATAAGAATTTGTTCTTAACTGACTTGCCTAGTTAAATAAAGGTAAAAAAAAAAATCAGCTTCTTGATATGCCACACCTGTCAGGTGGATGGATTATCTTGGTAAAGGAGAAATGCTCACTAACAGGGATGTAAACAAATTGGTGCACATAACCTTAGAGAAATAAGCTTTTTGTGCATATGGAACATTTCTGGGATCTTTAATTTCAACTCATTAAACATGGAACAAACACTGTTACATGTTCCGTTTATATTTTTGTTCAGTATACATTTCACTTTGTTTTGGAGGTCTTCAGAACATTTCAATAACATTTTGAAATTGTTATATTGAAGTTTTACCACAACATTCTCAGCATGCAAATGTGTTGCTCCTTAAAGCAGATTGGAATACACTCCCTCCATGTTTCTCTCCATAGTTGCTACAGTACTGCTAGCTGGTAGTGTTGGCTACATTACTGCTAGCTGGTAGTGTTGGCTACAGTACTGCTAGCTGGTAGTGTTGGCTACAGTACTGCTAGCTGGTAGTGTTGGCTAGCTAGCAATGGCTGCGGTGTTGACTTTGTTTGAAAAAACGGCGTCGCTGCGAACTAATGTATCTGACTAGCTAACCTCGATAGTTTCTCTACACTACACCTGTTATCTTTGATACATAGACAACTATGTAGCTAGCTAACATCACACTAATCAAATCGTTTCTTTGTAATGTAATTGTCTGTCATATTACCTGCGGAGCGAAGTACAGCATGACTACTCACTCCATATTTAACGGCAATTCGCATTTGAGGACTGTATTGTAGGTCCTCTACTGAGTGATATAGGCACACAGGACATCTGAACAGCATTTAATCATAAATACACAACCATATTATTTTTACTGTTTGTGCTGTATGTTGACAATCAGCACATGTGGGGTTTGAAACTGCAATGTCTGGTTCCCAAGCCAAGTCTTCTATCATCTGCGCCACCAGGGAAGCTCTCTCATAACTTATAGGTAGCTTAGTGGTTGAGAGCGTTGTGCCAGTAACCGAAAGGTCGCTGGTTCTAATCCCTGAGCCGACTAGGTGAAAAATCTGTTGATGTGCCCTTGAGCAAGGCACTTAAACCTAATCGCTCTGGATAAACGCGTCTGCTAAATAGTATATAGCCACGGCAGTATGGTCAATCAGGAACTCCATGGTGCCTTCTTAGACATAACTAACCCAGGGAAATACTGGTAACTGGGTTATTCACCATCACTTCACCCATCCTCTTTATATGCTGCGTACTTCTAGGCACATATTTACTCTGGTATCCAAGACTATGAGTGTTGATCTAGGATCACTTTTGCTTTTCAGATCATACAAAATAAGACAGGGGGGGCCATGCCCCTAATTGCTCCTGTAAGTCGCTCTGGATAAGAGCGTCTGCTAAATGACTAAAAATGTAAATGTCATGCGTCTCAAAGTAGGAATTATTATTGGGTGCATTTTTGTAAAAGTTGAACAGTACATTTCTACACTATGTTTTATTTTTTTACAGTCAGTCTAAATTCTGAATTTCTGACTGGATTTATAAATCTGGACGAATTAAAGACATCCCCTCTTTAAGTAGTGTATCTGAGCCTCAATTTTACAGTAAAAAAAAAAAAATGCAGGTAAAGACACTAACAACCTGGGGGTGAATTATTATATGGTTATTTGCATTGTGTGATAGAGATTAATTTTGTACTGTAGAAAAAGTATGATTTCAAAGGCAGAGAGACTGTAGTCAACATCACATTGAATTTCTGGTGTAAATGGAACATCTGCCACCAGCTCAATTGGTAGAGCACGGCGCTTGTAACGCGAGGGTAGTGGGTTCGATCCCCGGGACCACCCCATACGTAAAAATGTATGCGCACATGACTGTAAGTCGCTTTGGATAAAAGCGTCTGCTAAATGGCATATTGTTATTATAGTAGTTCAGGAGTACCACCTGCAGAGGGCAGCAAAGCGCTTCAGACATGTGACGTCTGCTATTACGAACCATAGAGGAGCTAGGAAACGCATAGATGTAAACAGCTAGCTCGAAATTTTAGAAAAATGCGAATAGAAAAGTGCTACTTTTGTTCGGGGCCTGTTTACCCCGGGCATGGGATGATGTTTGTACGTAATGACTGCAAGGTAGGACTATTTGGTGTTATTTGCCTTGCTTCGCGTCGACAACTTTTGTCTGCATCGCTAGCTAGGTAACGTAGTGGCTCTGGTCCAGGGCGTCGTTCGGCTGCGCTCTCGCCTTTTGGTGGTGTAAATTATTTGGTTTATTGACATGGCTCCGTAAGTCACCGGAGTAAAGATGTCTCTGTAACGCGACTGGTGCCAAACTTTTGTCGCGTTCAGAACAACTGCTGGGAACTCGGAAATCTCGGACTTCCGATCGTTCAAAACAAATGGGAACTCGGGATAAAAACGAGCTCCGACTGGGAAAAATCGATTTGAAGTTGGAATTCCAACTCGAGTCTCTTTCTAGAGCTCCGACCTGAAAATCACTGACTCGTATTTCTCTGAGCTCCCAGTTGTTTTAAACGCAGCATATGTCCCACGCACTACCGAGTTGCAAGGGCATCCGACGCATGAAAACAAAAAGCTAGTTAACTAACTACAGCGACACAGATACTGATGATAACTAACACCTTTCATCTGTGACAGCGAGCTACTAGCTAATAAAACGAGCTATACATATGTCAGGAGCATTAATATGATCAATACCGTTGTTGAACCACACTGTTGTTGTATTATTATTATGACGATGATATATACTGCTGCATAGAGGTAGCCTCGTACAACCATCCTAATATCGGGAGTTTACATTCTGTGGTTCCATGTAGGGAAACATAATGTAAATTTGCGAGTTCAGGATGGTTGCACGATGCTAGCAGCGGTTCCCAAGTAAAATAAATACATTTCAAAGCTCTCTTAATTTTGTAATTAGGTGTTCCGATTCTGCAAGTCAAAGTGCCACAAAAACTTCAAGAAGAAGCGTAACCCAAGAAAGACCAGATGGACGAAGGCATTCAGAAAAGCTTCTGGGAAGGAGTTGACAGTTGTGAGTTATTCTATTGATGTAAATTATAATCCACGGTTTCTTCTTCTTCTATAGTATATTGGCGATCACACAACAGGACCGACAGACTTTATTATTTTTCTCCATTCACCCAGCGGGTCAGACGCTGGGCGCCAACCACACCAGGAATTCAACCTGAACATCCGTCGTCACCCCTGAGATGTCTCCTTTGACTGGGGCTCTACTCCGAAGTTCAAAACACAAAACTTCGGTTGTTCGGATTCTTTTGAGGCTCATTGCAATCTTCAGAAATACAATGAATCAAACTCAGACCACTCCACATATGCATCCTTACTCAACAAACGATTCGTTATCATTCACACGTATCCTCCACTCCACTTTTAGACAATTTCCTTTTTTTTTTCTCCTGTTTTCGCTACTACTGTTGTCCATTCAGAACATTCGTCTTCACCAACTTTGCTTGAAGCGCTGCTTGGTTCCAACTCAGCATCCACTTCCTCCATCTTTTCCTCGCTGGATTTCTTCCTAGGTTCCTGCCCTTACATTTTAGTCATTTAGCAGATGCTGTTATCCAGAGCGATTTACAGTTAGTGCATACATTTTTTCATACTGGCCCCCCATGGGAATCGAACCCACAACCCTGGCGTTGCAAGCGCCATGCTCTACCAACTGAGCTACACGGGGAGGAAGTGTTTCCTGGCCACCGTCCTTCTACATCTGAATAGCTTGTTCTTTGGGATTTTAGACTGGGTGTCTGTAAAGTAGGGCCGGGACGATACCAGTGTCGCGATACTCGTTATTATCGTGGCAAGGAAACAGCCCTAATGTGGGAAACAAACATCATTATGTTGTCATCCAGAGTCACATTTACTCATTTTCCAAGCTGTAGCACACAATATTTTACATACAGCAGGTTTTTTAAGAACCAAATAGTTTGGTCTGCTCTGCTTCTTGTTGTAATTTTTTGCCGTGGAAAAAATATTGCGATGCTGGCATCGTCACAGCCCTGCTGTATAGCACTTTGTGACAACTGCTGATGTAAAAAGGGCTTTATATAAAAATAAATGTTATTGATTTAATTTGACGAGTCCCGTGTAAGTATTCATAAAGTAAATATCCTTTATGTAGCCACTAATAATCATATTATTGTTCACTGCTTCAGGACAACTCATTGGAGTTTGAGAAGCGCAGAAATATTCCAGTCAAATACAGAAGGGAGCTGTGGGGCAAGACAGGTATTTTATGATCCAGCTTTACCCTCTCACATGGCTCTTCAAGTCACATTAGTTCATCATATAATTGTTTACATTGGACTTAATTGCATTGTTAATGTGAGAGTCATTTAAATGCTGACTAGAAGAGCAACAACCTGACTTATTTTTGTTTTTCAGTGGAGGCGATGAAGAAGGTGGAAGAGATCAAACAGAAACGACAGGCAAAGTTTATCATGAACCGGCGAGTACAATGACTAGTTTTCTGTTTTTGGGATGGTAAATAACAAGCAAAGTCCTAAAAAAATGAATAAAAAAAATGTCACATGCTTCGTAAAAACAACAGGTGTAGACTAAGAGCGGAACGCTGACTTACGGGTCCTTTCCTTATGGGCAAAAGTTGTAATCTGGTCTTTTGAAGGAACTTCGGGAGTAGATTGCAAAGTCTTTGTGCCAATGTGTGTAGATTGGATACAAGGCAGCATTATTATGATATCTCACTAAATTAGCAAGTCGTTGGTGTCAATGTGGATGTATGGAAACGGTAGCTCAATGAGCTCATACCTGTTTTTCAATCTGCTCATCCTACAGGCTGAAGAAGGGCAAACAGTTGGAGAAGGAAGAGGCCATAAGCGAAGTGAAGAAGAATATTCACCTTATCAAAGCACCTCATGCAGGTGAGACACCTGACTACAATATACACAGCTATTGCCTCTTCTCTCCTCCTCTTCCCTCTGATCACCTATTCTCTGCTACATGTACTACAATAAGAAAGATGTCCGTTTGACAAGCAAACAAACGTCTCCTCGACTGACTTTGAGGGGTTGATTGCTTGCCGAGAGCACCTCTAATACATTTCCTCATGAATCTGCAGGCAAAGCCAAACCGCTGGAAGAGAAGATGGTGCAGAAGCTGGCAGAAGACGTGGAAATGGGGGATGATGGTTAATCTGTTGCTTTCGATGTGGTTGGCTTCAACAACTCATTTCTGTGTGCTGTGTTTTTTGTCTTTGAGATTTAACTGTTCCAAATGCAAGTCTTCAAACATACTGTGTATAATACAGAGGACATATGTGTTTTTAAAGACGTTGTAATAAATAAAATATAAGGAGCTGATGCGCAGAAGTAAAATTAATGTATCCTCCCAAATGAACGTTCAAAACAATATAGAAATTGATATTAAATATTAATAAAACCATGATTGGTGAAATAGGTTTCTGATGTTCTTATACAGTGCCTAGTGGAAGTCAACACACCCCTTGCACAGTCTTCACATTTTGCTGCCTTGAAATTAAATCGAAAAATGATTATATTAGATTTTTTTTTCTCCCCCCTACACAACCTACTTTTTTTCCAAATGAATAACAAATATTCACACCGTGTCTCTGATTTTCAAGCATATTTAAGTTGGGACTGAGAGTCGATCACTCATGAACACTCAACACGTCTTGGAATGACATTCTGGTGTGTCCTTGGCATTTTTTGTTGTTGTAATTGTCTCACTGAAAAATATAACTATCCTAAGGTTAGGTTTTCAGAAAACTGAGGTGGGTTTTCCTGTAGCTTTTTACCTGGACTTTGCTCAGTTCATATTTATTTTGATCCTGACAAACTCCCCAGTCCCTGCCGACGACAAGCATACCCATAACATGATGCTGCCGCCACAGTACTTGAAAAGGAGGGTTTGTGTTGTATTGGATATGACCAAAACCTGTCGTTTTTAATTCAGGCCAAAAAGGTCATGTCTTTGCAGCGTTGTCTTGCAGTGTTACTTAACGGCCTTGTTGCTAACAGAATGGATGATCTGGATTTTTTTTACAGAATGCTCCCTTCTTTTCAATTTGTCCTACAGGTCAGCAATGTGAAGTGAATGCAATGTTGTTGATCCCTTTGTATTTTCAAGTATTGTGGTGGCAGCATCATGTTGTGGGTATACTTGCAACAGGCAGGGACTAGTGTTAAAATAAATACAGAATGAAAGGAGTAAAGCCCAGGTAAAAGGTTAGAGGGGAACCTAACCCTAGGATAGAGTTTCATTTTTCTGTACTGCGTCTAAAGTCAATCTGGTGACGTCAACATGATGACAAAAGTTTTTCCTACCAATTATTTGCCTCGTTTTGAATGTCATTGTATTTCCAAGCCGCTCTAATGCACTTTTGATTCAATCTTAATCAGCGCTCATTGATGATGCAATGAGTAGAATGCTCAGTCGGGCATCAGTTCAAAATGAACGTTCAAAACAATATTGTGCCGAAACATGCAACCCATGATTGGTGAAATTGGTAAATTACATTAATTTGTCATCACTGATTCCGTCTTCACAATTTTACACTTTTATCACCCAGTGGGTAAATGGTGAGTAAATACTGACATTTTGTCTGTCATAAATGGATGTTCATCATTTACATTTATAAACTCTTATGTGTTGCTCACTAGCAAATTACATGATGATTGAGGCGGCAGGTAGCTTAGTGGTTAAGAGCGTTGTGCCAGTAACTGAAAGGTTGCTGGTTCTAATCCCTGAGCTGACTAGGTGAAAAATCTGTTGATGTGCCCTTGAGCAAGGCACTTAACCCTAGTTGCTCTGGATAAGAGTGTCTGCTAAATGACTAAAATGTCAATGATTCTATTTTTTTTTTTTACCCCCAATTGGTAGTTACAGTCTTGTCCCATCGCTGCAACTCCCCTACAGACTCGGGAGAAGCGACGGTCGAGAGCCATGCGTCCTCCGAAACACAGCCCCGCCATGCCGCACTGCTTTTTGATAAACTGCTTGCTTAACCCGGAAGCCAGCCGCACCAATGTGTCGTAGGAAACACCGTCTAGCTGGCAGGCACCTGGTCCGCCACAAGGAGTCGCTAGCGCGCGATGGGACAAGGAAAACCCGGCCGGCCAAACCCTCCCCTAACCCGGACGACGCTGGGCCAATTGTGCAACGCCTCGTGGGTCTCCTGATCACGGCCAGCTGTGACACAGCCTGGGATCGAGCCCGGGTCTGTAGTGACGCCTTAAGCACTGCAATGCAGTGCCTTAGACCACTGCACCACTCAGGAAGCCCCTTAATGGTTCTATATTCTAACTGCCCAGAGCTACCCCTCGTGGCCTATCCATTGAGCTATTTAAAAAAAAAAAACGGTTCTACCCCAAACAGTCTACATTACTTGTGTTTAGTTTTTTGAGAATAATAGGAGTGCTTTTTTTGTTAATGTAGCTCAGTTTGTACCCCACCCAGTAGGTGGCGGCAATACACCAGTTGGGATGTAGTGCGCCAATAAAACCTTGAAGAAGAAGAAGAAGAACATAAACAGTCTACATATAATCTGCTGCATCACTAGAGAAAAGGGAGGGAACGGCCAGGCATTACGGCCTTTTCGTTTTTGTGTGTCTAGTGTTGAACCTCGCTTGGTGTAAACTTAAGTTTTGTAGAAAACTTGATATTTACATAGTTCGCCATGTCCAAGGAGATCGAAGGAACAAGGCCTGCCGTCGAGGAGGCAACCCACGAGGAACAGCAGGTTAGATTTTAATTATTTTGATGCTAACAAGCTAGGGTAATGCTACACTGCGAGTAGCTTACTAGCCATGATGATTATGTCAAATCTGGCTGTCAAATCAGCAGTTTAGATGGTTAGCTAGCTAACGTTAGTGACTTAGTTTATTTCAATGTGCATGTGTTTATATCATCAATGTGCATTGAACTGTGTACATAACCATTATTTTAACTATCAAAGATGAGTGGTTAGCTAGCTAATTAGGAACACCGTGATAGCTTTCTCAATTTACGGGTAGCTAACATTTTGTCTGCCTGCGTTTATGCATGCCGTAAAGCTTTTTTTGGCCACATTGCTGCTAAACAGAAGGCTTTGTTGCCAGCTTGTAACCTAACCCCACTTACTGGATAATCAAATCAAAGGACATTCCTCTGATAGAATCATAACTAATTAAAAAACCCTATTTCTTGAGCTGCATTGTTGGTTAAGGGCTTGTAAGTAAGCATTCACGGTAGGGTCAACTACACCTGCTGTATTCGGCACATGTGACAAATACAATTTGATTTGAACTAGTAACTAAACTAATCGTGACTTGTCAACCCCGAGATTGACAAAACACCTTTTTGTTGCTGCCTGAACTGTGACATTAACATGACATTACATCATAACATGTCACCCCCAACCCCATTCATTATTTGTGTTTTTATACTGCGTATTGTGTGTTCTTCTGTCCACTCAGGAGATGGATGACACAGTCCTCAGCCCAGAGAAGGCAGAGGAGGTGAAACTAAAGGCCAGGTTCCCTCATCTTGGAACCAAGCCTGGGGGCTCTGACCTGCTCCGGAAACGGCTTCAGAAAGGGGTAATATGGCCCTTTGGTTGTGCCCTACATACACAACACTTTGGTAGCTGTAGATCAGGGTTCTTCAATTCTGGTCCTGGAGGGCCAAAACACCTCTGTTTTTCATCCTCTCCTTCTAATCAGGGGCTAATTCAGACCTGGGACACCAGGTGAGTGCAATTAACTACCAGGTAGAAATAAAAAAACAGAAGTGTTTCGGCCCTCCAGGACCGGAATTGAAGAACCCTGCTATAGATGCTTCTAGTTAGGCCGAAACATGCAAACTAGGTTATTTACACTTTACTTTCACAGCAATGCGTTTTTGTTATGGAATCATTGTCATGCTTTTTATAAACACTCATTTTCTTTGAAAGAGTCAAACAAACACAGACTTCTTTGAACACAAAACAACATCTTTGTAAAGGCTGTGATTTTTTTTAAATTTAAATTTTTTCTCTCTGCAGCAAAAGTTCTTTGACTCTGGGGACTACAACATGGCCAAGGCTAAGGTGAAGAACAAGCAGCAGCTCCCTGCGGTGACGCCGGCTGAGAAGGCAGAGATAACCGGGGACCACATCCCCACACCTCAGGACATCCCCCAGAGGAAGCCCTCCATCGTGGCCAGCAAACTGGCTGGCTGAGGGGCTGACGAAACTAGGGAAGCTTTGGAACTTTTACCTGTTCTGTTCTGGTGTTAACCATTTCATTGCTCTCTCCTCTCTTTTCTCTCGAGCCGGCCGCAATTCGTTTCCTACTACCCTTACCCCTTGGCCCTAACCCTTCTATCTTTGTTATATCTTGCCAGCGCTTCCACCATAGTACCTACACCTTACAGATTTGAATGATTAGGGCCAAAGGAAGGGGCAGAGAGTGAATTCAGATCAGCGCATGCTCGCTCCCTCATCTCTCTTTCTTCTGCACCCCTTTCTCCCATCACCACCTTCTTCTCTATATGAATTCTGAAAAATAATATTTTTGAGAATCGAGCAGAAAGACTCCTGAGAAATATTGCTGCCGGAGGATGACTGTCTTCGGTTAGTGACTGAAATTATTGGTAAAAAAAAAAAAAAAAGAGACAAATGTTTGCCAAGTCTACTTCAAAGGGGCCTGTATATCTACTGTAGTGACAGATGGAAACTGTACGTAGCCTATCACCATGTATGGGAGAGGCCAGTTCAATGTCTTAAACATGTTTTACCTTTTTATAGCTTCCATTGACATTTAAATTATGAGGTAATATTCTAGAATCCTTGATCACGCCTAGAATCCCCTCCTAGTCTGGTCCCAGATCTATTTCTGCTGTCTGGCCAACTTCTTGACCTACGGTCGTTGTCTAGACAACACAAACCGATCTGGGACGATCAGGCCTAATTGCCCTCCTTCTCCACTGTCCAAAGCTATGTTCTTTGTTTTGATGCATTGATTGAAAATAGCCCGTATCACACAGATGTCGTGTATATTATCGATCTCATCTAAACCTCTTAAATGGCCTTTTTAACAGTTATGAGCCACTGTTTTCTCTTGGGCAATATTTGCTCGCTCACTCCAGTGAGAGAATCTTTGCTTGTCTGAAATGGCTTTCTAGATAGAGTACTACGTTTTTGAGGCTCTGGTCAAAAGTAGGACGCCATTCTGATGACACAGCCTCTGTGAATCAAGCCTAGGAACGCCTGCCTGCCACTATCTGAGACTCAGGTAATTTAGGTCTAGTAGTCAAGGAACTCACTTAAATGGAATGTCGGTCTGAAGGGTGTGCATGTGCATTGACTGGGTGTAGTCACATTGTGCCATTTGTAAATAAAATAGTTTTGCACAATAGCTTTGTTTTTGACTTTTTATTTAATTTTTGGCTGATGTTTTACTTGTTTTCTGCTTTCACAGTAGCTATAATACTACAGCTGTAGTGTCTGTATATGTAGCTATAATACTACAGCTGTAGTGTCTGTATATGTAGCTATAATACTACAGCTGTAGTGTCTGTATATGTAGCTATAATACTACAGCTGTAGTGTCTATATGTAGCTATAATACTACAGCTGTAGTGTCTGTATACGTAGCTATAATACTACATCTGTAGTGTCTGAATACGTAGCTATAATACTACAGCTGTAGTGTCTGAATACGTAGCTATAATACTACAGCTGTAGTGTCTATATGTAGCTATAATACTACAGCTGTAGTGTCTGTATATGTAGCTATAATACTACAGCTGTAGTGTCTATATGTAGCTATAATACTACAGCTGTAGTGTCTATATGTAGCTATAAAACTACAGCTGTAGGGGTTTATATGTAGCTATAATACTACACTGTAGTGTCTATATGTAGCTATAATCCTACAGCTGTAGTGTCTATTATTGTAGCTATAATACTACAGCTGTAGTGTCTTATATGTAGCTATACTTACTTACAGCTTAGTGTCTATATGTAGCTATATACTACAGCTGTAGTGTCTGTATATGTAGCTATAATTTACTACAGCTGTAGTGTCTATACGTAGCTATATACTACAGCTGTAGTCGTCTTTATATGTAGCTATAATACTACAGCTTGTAGTGGTTCTATATGTAAGCTTAATAACTACAGCTGTAGTGTCATATGGTAGCCTATATACTACAGCTTGTAGTGTCTTATATGTAGCTATATTACTTACAGCTTGTAGTGTTATGTATACGTAGTATATATAATACTACAGATGTAGTTGTCTTATATGTAGCTATAATACTTACAGCTGTGTGTTCTATTATTGTAGCTATAATTACTTACAGCTTTGTAGTGTCTATACGTAGCGTTATAATACTACGCTGTAGTGTTCTGTATATGTAGCTTCAATCTACAGCTGTGTGTCTATACTGTAGCTATAATACTACAGCTGTAGTGTCTTATATGTAGCTATACTACTCAGCTGTCGTGTCTATATGTAGCTTAATACTATCAGCTGTAGTGTCTATACGTAGGCTTATTATATCAGCTTAGTGTCTATATGTAGCTATAATACTACAGCTGTAGTGTCTGTATATGTAGCTATAATACTACAGCTGTAGTGTCTATATGTAGCTATAATACTACAGCTGTAGTGTCTATATGTAGCTATAATACTACAGCTGTAGTGTCTATATGTAGCTATAATACTACAGCTGTAGTGTCTATATGTAGCTATAATACTACAGCTGTAGTGTCTTTTATGTAACTATAATACTTACAAGCTTAGTGTCTATATGTAGCTATAATACTCAGCTGTAGTGTCTGTATATGTACTATAATACTACAGCTGTAGTGTCTGTATACGTAGGCTATAATACTACAGCTTTTAGTGTCTGTAATGTAGCTATAAAACTACAGCTGTAGTGTCTTATACGTAGCTTATAATACTACAGCTGTAGTGTCTGTATATGTAGCTATAATACTTACAGCTGTAGTGTTTATATTTTAGCTATAATTTCTAAAAGCTTGTAGTGTCTGTATACGTAGCTAAATACTACAGCTGTGTGTCTGTATATGTAGCTATAATACTACAGCTGTAGTGTCTGTATACGTAGCTATAATACTACAGCTGTAGTGTCTGTATATGTAGCTATAATACTACAGCTGTAGTGTCTGTATACGTAGCTATAATACTACAGCTGTAGTGTCTGTATACGTAGCTATAATACTACAGCTGTAGTGTCTGTATACGTAGCTATAATACTACAGCTGTAGTGTCTGTATATGTAGCTATAATACTACAGCTGTAGTGTCTGTAACGTAGCTATAATACTACAGCTGTAGTGTCTGTATACGTAGCTATAATACTACAGCTGTAGTGTCTGTATACGTAGCTATAATACTACAGCTGTAGTGTCTGTATACGTAGCTATAATACTACTATGTTGACCAACACTGGCAAAGAACACAATGAATGTAAAGGAGAATATAATCGGGCCCATTAACCTTCAAATCCATTAACTTGTTAGTCTGGGTGCCGGTCTGTCACCTGGGTGCCGGTCTGTCTGCTCTCTTGCCAACTCCTTATGGAATTGTCATGCCAAATGACAGCAATGGAGTTGGCAAGAGCACAAACTGATCTGGCACCAGGTTAGCTCTATGACCTCATCTGCATTTGACAATTGATCAAAATCCAATTTTATTTGTCACATACGTGTGTTTGGCAGATGTTATTGCGGGTGTAGCGAAATGCTTGTGTTTCTAGCTCAGACAGTGCAGTAATATCTAACAAGTAATATCTTACAATTTCACAACATATATCCAATACACACAAATGGAATTAAGAATAAATGGATGCATTCTTTAATATGCATATTGATTAATCTGGTGTCCCAGATGGTTGGCTTCTTTTTCAAAACAGAACCATGAACTGTTGAAACAAAGTTTATTTCTAATAATAATACATGGGACTTATATTGTGACCCAAAGTTGCTTTACAATTACTTTTCAATTTGTAATTTTAAATGAATATTGGAATCTTCATAACCTAAAAGGGGTTATTTATTTTACCTACTTGACACATTTGTAATTCGACAAATCTGGACTATGTTTTTGATACCATCGTTAAATAATATAATAATTAATATATTATCATTGCAATGGATGTTCAAAAAGCAATTTCTTACATTTCCGCGCAGCAGGCCAGGTACTTCTATGCGTGCTTAGGCGCGTGCGCGTTCCCTCAACGTTATCAGGAAAGAGAAACCAGACACATGCTCATTGCTCACATGGAGCACTCCAAACAAAAGACAATGAAAACATTGATAAATCTCGTAAATGATGTTTAATGAAATAAAACAAAACTTGTTTCTCAAAAGTGTAGCAGGTTGTGAACTCTGCAAACAACGTTTACACTCCCGAGAATGAGAGCGGTAAATTACTGTAATTAATAGATGCATTAAAAGGAATTAATGTAACCAAATGACGGGGATTAAAGGTACATTTACTACTGGCGACATGTGTACTGGTAAATTGATCAAAAATAAAAGGGCAAACAATTCACACAATGAAACAACGAATGCCAAGAATTGGTGGGAGACAGCTGAGCCATTCTGGAGAGAGACATATTATCTTCACACATATTTTAGATGCTTTTCACTGACAGCTGCAACTCAATAATCAGCTAGGCCTATGTGTATATGTGTTACTGACCCAGTCAGACCTGGCTGGCCTTACCTACATGTTTGAGATTTGATTTGATTGATTAGGATCCCCATTAGCCAATGGCGACAGCTAGTCTTACTGGGGTCCGACACATAACGAAAAATACATTACAGACAAAATATTTTACATTTACATTTACATTTACGTCATTTAGCAGACGCTCTTATCCAGAGCGACTTACAAATAGGTGCATTCACCTTATAGCCAGTGGGATAACCACTTTACAATCTTTTTTTTAAAAAATTTTTTGAGGGGACAGCAAATGTACACTGTTATACAAGCTGTACACTCACTACTTTACATTGTAGCAAAGTGTCATTTCTTCAGTGTTGTCACATGAAAAGATATACTCAAATATTTACAAAAATGTGAGGGGTGTACTCACTTTTGTGAGATACTGTATACACACAGTTGAAGTCGGAAGTTTACATACACCTTAGCCAAATACATTCAAACTCAGTTTTTCACAATTCCTGACATTTTATCCTAGTAAAAAGTCCCTGTCTTAGGTCAGTTAGGATCACCACTTTATTTTAAGAATGTGAAATGTCCGAATAATAGTAGAGAGAATTATTTATTTCAGCTTTTATTTCTTTCATCACATTCCTTTACAATTGACAAGCATTTAAAAACATGAACATGTGGTGTGTGTGTATCCATCGGTTCCACATACATGTCAGTACATACACACAGGCGTTGTGCCGTGAAGTGTTGCTTTATTTTATTTATTTTTTAAAACCAGGTTTGCTGTTCACTTGTGCTATATAAGATGGAATGGAGTTCCATGCACCCATGGCTCTGTATAATACTGTACGTTTCCTTGAATTTGTTCTGGACCTGGGGTCTGTGAAAAGACCCCTGGTGGCATGTCTGGTGGGGTAAGTGTGTGTGTCAGTGCTGTGTGTAAGTTGACTATGCAAACAATTAGGAATTTCCAACACATTGATGTTTCTTATATAAATAAGAAGCGATGCAGTCAGTCTCTCCTCAACTCTTAGCCAAGAGAGACTGGAAAGCATAGTATTAATATTAGCCCTCTGATTATAATGAAGAGCAAGATGTGCCTCTGTTCTGGGCCAGCTGCAGCTTAACTAGGTCCTCCTTTGCAGCACTGGACCACACGACTGGACAATAATCAAGATCAGATAAAACTAGAGTCTGCAGGACTTTCTTTGTGGAGTGTGGTGTCAAAAAAGCAGAGCATCTCTTTGTTATGGACAGACCTCTCCCCATCTTTACAACCATTGAATCTATATGTTTTGGTCCATGACAGTTTACAATCTAAGGCAACACCAAGTAATTTAGTCTCCTCAACTTGTTCAACAGCCACACCAATGTGACGCCATTCATCACCGGATTCAGCTGAGGTCTAGAACTAAGGGAATTATTTGGACCAAATACAATGCTCTTTGTTTTAGAGATGTTCAGGACCAGTTTATTACTGGCCACCCATTCCAAAACTTTAAAAAAAAACTGACTGCAACTCTTTGTTAAGGTTTTTCAGTGACTTCAGTAGCTGTGGTTGCTGAAGCGTATGTTTGAATGTAATAATGTAATACTGTAATAATGTAAGCAGCCACGAGGAGGTACGCGCCACTCACCTCTCAAGGCAACAGCCACTGGACGCGGAATAGATATACCCATAATGCACAGAGACTTCACACTTGAAGAAGTATGGATATTTCTGTCGGCACGTAGCCGCTGTTTTCTCTCTCTCCGCTACTTTTTCTTTTTACATTTTTTTTTTCTTCCACTGAGTCGCAAATGAAGAGACAGAGACCAAAGTGAAGATTGGATATAAAGCTTATTGAGTGTCATGGCAGCGTCTGAACTGTACTCCAAGGTAGGCTAATAGGATCAGTGGCATGTAACGTTAAGTAGGACTGGACGATCATTTACTGATAGGAGATAACAGTTAAATGCAGGTACGCGACTTTATCAACATTGGCCTCAGTTTTGCTCTCACTTGAAGAACCACAGTTAATCTGTGTGCCCCGCGTGTAAGTAATTGTGATAGACTTTTAGCAACATGTCGACAATAACTGTGCCACAGACAGTGGTGAGTGATGACACAGTTGTGGAAAGTTACTGTTTAATGGTAACGTTACTTCGTGTAGCGTTCCTCAGCTACTTTGTGAGTTGCTAGTAACCTCAATGCTTTTGTTCCTGAGAAATGTCAATGGTGATTATTGACTAAATAAGTAAAGTTGTCATCTCATCCATAGTGATATTACATTGTATCTTCGAAGAGAATGTTCACAGATTTTTTTTTTTTTAATGGCATTGATCATTTAGATTAGACTAGAATGCAGTTGTGTAGCCAGAATAGATTCCGACCTATGCTTGTTTCCATCTGCACTCGGGTCGGATACTCTGAATTGTCCCATTATCCCAACTCTTAACACCGAGAAGATTGAACGGCTGCTAAGGACTGCTAGTTAGCGGTCGTTCAATCTTCTCGTTGAAACGAGTGGGATAATAGGATTGAGGTACATTTCCTTAATCGACACAGGAAGCCTGTGGTATTTTGAATACCAGTAGTGCAACATTTTCGTTATGTTGACATTTCTATGCGTTAACCAGTGTCCCCGTGTCCATCTACTTCCTCTGTATAATTACAACACGTCAGTATGTTGCCTAGCCATATCTATGACTCATTGCTTTTTAGTCATAGATGTAGCTATATGTGTTGTTGACACGTCCAATGCATTAACCTGTGTTCCTCTGTCCCTCAGTATGCCCGGGTCTGGCTCCCAGATGCTGTGGAGGCGTGGAAGCCAGCAGAGCTCACCAAGGACTACAATCCTGGAGACAGGGCTCTGTGTCTACAGCTGGAGGATGGAACAGTGAGAGGGGAGATAGAGATGGGTCTGGAGGGGTGGAGAGATGGGTCTGGAGGGGTGGAGAGATGGGTCTGGAGGGCTGGAGAGATGGGTCTGGAGGGCTGGAGAGATGGGTCTGGAGGGCTGGAGAGATGGGGCTGGAGAGATGGTTCTGGAGGGCTGGAGAGATGGGTCTGGAGGGCTGGAGAGATGGGTCTGGAGGGCTGGAGAGATGGGTCTGGAGGGCTGGAGAGATGGGTCTGGAGGGCTGGAGAGATGGGTCTGGAGGGGTGGAGAGATGGGTCTGGAGGGCTGGAGAGATGGGTCTGGAGGGCTGGAGAGATGGGTCTGGAGGGCTGGAGAGATGGGTCTGGAGGGCTGGAGAGATGGGGCTGGAGAGATGGTTCTGGAGGGCTGGAGAGATGGGTCTGGAGGGCTGGAGAGATGGGTCTGGAGGGCTGGAGAGATGGGTCTGGAGGGCTGGAGAGATGGGGCTGGAGAGATGGGTCTGGAGGGGTGGAGAGATGGGTCTGGAGGGGTAGAGAGATGGGTCTGGAGGGGTGGAGAGATGGGTCTGGAGGGCTGGAGAGATGGGTCTGGAGGGCTGGAGAGATGGGTCTGGAGGGCTGGAGAGATGGGTCTGGAGGGCTGGAGAGATGGGTCTGGAGGGCTGGAGAGATGGGTCTGGAGGGCTGGAGAGATGGGGCTGGAGGGCTGGAGAGATGGTTCTGGAGGGCTGGAGAGATGGGTCTGGAGGGGTAGAGAGATGGGTCTGGAGGGGTAGAGAGATGGGTCTGGAGGGCTGGAGAGATGGGTCTGGAGGGCTGGAGAGATGGGTCTGGAGGGCTGGAGAGATGGGTCTGGAGGGCTGGAGAGATGGGTCTGGAGGGTGGAGAGATGGGTCTGGAGGGGTGGAGAGATGGGTCTGGAGGGGTGGAGAGATGGGGCTGGAGAGATGGGTCTGGAGGGCTGGAGAGATGGGTCTGGAGGGTGGAGAGATGGGTCTGGAGGGGTGGAGAGATGGGTCTGGAGGGCTGGAGAGATGGGTCTGGAGGGCTGGAGAGATGGGTCTGGAGGGGTGGGGGCAAGTCCTCAGAATGTATCGTCCATGTTGTAAATAAGTTGTTTCCCTGTTTATTTATGTACTTGGTTAATACATTTACTTGAGCCGAAAACATGTTGATGAAGTTAGTTACCACCTTGGCTTGAGTAAGTGAATGCTTCACCCTATAGCTACAGCGTGTGGACACATGTTCATATGTAGCCTAAACATGTTTTATTTTAGATCAAGCTAGATACAGGGACAGAAAAGTAAGAGGCCACACCGCCATACCGATGGTGCTTTTACTCTTAAGCGTTTTGCTGCGCACAGCAGCTGTAGGTTCAAGTTGAGGCATGTACTTCAGGTATGGAAATAAGCCCAAGATATTATCTGAGTGGCTGGGCAGAAGAGAGTAACCAATGTAACTGCCTATTTTAAAGGACGCATGGAGGATTCAGTACTTAACCCTCCCGTTGTCCTAGGGTCAAAATGACCCGCCACTGTGTTGAACCAACTTTATTAATTTTTATATCTTTCTTTAAAGTCTCACTGCCTCCTTCTCACAAATGATCCCAAAAATATAAAAATTAAATAAAGCTGGTTCAACACAGTGGCGGGTCATTTTGACCCTAGGACAACGGGAGGGTTAAAGCTGAAATTCACATAGAAATGTGTGTTATAGATCTGTCATTCTCATTGAAAGCAGGTCTAAGAAGCGGTAGATCTGTTCTATGTGCTCTATTTCTATGCTTCCCGTTCTTACGTTTAGGTTTTTGCGTCTTTTACTGTCGGTTTTGTACACCAGCTTCAGACAGCTGAAAATACAATATTTTTGGTGTAGGAAAATATATATTTTACAGTGGTTTAGATGGTACAATGTTTCTGTAGACTATACTTGTTTGTTTTGTTACATAAACTGAAATTAGGCAAACGATTAGAATTTCAACACTTTCTGCGTAGTGCGCCTTTAATTAATTAGAAGGCAGACTGTATACAATTCCCACGTTGAATAAACAACCCATATCAGATGCATTGCACCATCCCACATAAGCTTGCACTAATTTCTAGTGCTTGTCCAGTGAATATATATATATATATACACGTTATTGTTATTATGGGGGGTGTTGTGTTCATCTGACTGCTGTGTTTTCTTCCAGAACGTGGAACACAAGATCGACCCTCAGACCAACAGTTTACCTCCTCTAAGGAACCCTGATATCCTGGTTGGGGAGAATGACTTGACCGCTCTCAGCTACCTCCATGAACCAGCCGTACTGCACAACCTCAAAGTTCGCTTCGTGGAGTCCAAGATGATTTACACCTACTGCGGTAAAGAGACACGCACACACACACACACACACACACACACACACACACACGCACACACTCCCAAGTCCATCTACACGTACTGTGGTACAAACTAAAGCCTTTTAACTCTGTTCTGGTGAGTCACTGTAGACTTTGGAGTCCTGTTCACAGGACTGTCAGTTCTGTTTGAGGTAATATAGATAGTGCCGATCGTATATATTGAGAAGTCTGTGTCCTGTCATTCTGACCTACCATTCAGAATGCGTCCTGCTGAACTCGCTCCATATGTCAACGGTGACAGTGGGGAGGGACAGACAGAGCTGTAGATTTATAGGGACATTTCATGTGGAAATTAGATCGTTGTCATATTGTTGTGATTTTATATCTGTGTCTGGCAAAACATTTGTTGTTAACTGCTAACAGACCTGGGTCGAATACATGGGCTCTTTGAAATTCTTGTGCGTGCTTGATTGACCATGTCACTGATTTGTTGATGCGAATTCATTCAGGCATCGTGTTGGTTGCTATCAACCCCTATGAGAGTATTCCCATCTATGACCATGACATCATCAATGCATACTCTGGACAAAACATGGGAGATATGGACCCTCACATATTCGCTGTGGCAGAGGAGGCTTACAAACAGATGGCCAGGTCTGTCAATCACTCATCTAAATGTCTTGGCCGTGCTTCCTTCCTTCCTTCCTTCCTCCCTTGACATGATTGGACAGGTGAAGTTAAGGGCTCCACCACTTGGCTTTCAGCTGTCCAGTCATGCCAGATCAGTGATTACTTCAAGGAAGGGTGAAAGCAATTTCCAAGTCACTTATCAATCATCCAAATGATCAATTTATCCAAATTATTGAAGTTTTCTTCTTCTTCTTCTTCTTCTTCTTCTTCTTCTTCTTCTTCTTCTTCTTCTTCTTCTTCTTCTTCTTCTTCTTCTTCTTCTTCTTCTTCTTCTTCTTCTTCTTCTTCTTCTTCTTCTTCTTCTTCTTCTTCTTCTTCTTCTTCTTCTTCTTCTTCTTCTTCTTCCAGAGATCAGAGGAACCAGTCCATCATAGTGAGTGGGGAGTCTGGGGCTGGTAAAACAGTCTCTGCTAAGTATGCCATGCGGTACTTTGCTACAGTCAGCGGGTCGTCCAGTGAGGCTAATGTGGAGGAGAGAGTGCTGGCCTCCAGCCCCATCATGGAGGTAAGACACCACAGGTCTTCTTTCAATTCAATAAACTTCATTGATCCTAGAGGGGAAATTATTGTTGGAAGTTCAAGGCAAATGTTGTGGAATTTGCAGATAGAAATGTCATAAACAGAGCTTACAGTATATCTATCTGAAAGTTCCACAATGTTTTGCCCTGCCGAACTTGGCCCATGTCTACTTGTATGTCTCTAGCCAACTACCCAAATGATACCCGTAGCCTGTTCTTTCTGTTTTTCCTCTAGGCCATCGGAAATGCAAAGACGACTAGAAACGACAACAGCAGTCGATTTGGGAAGTACATCGAGATTGAATTCGACAAGAACTATCGCATCATCGGGGCCAACATGAGGACGTACCTGCTGGAGAAATCTAGAGTGGTGTTTCAGGTGAGGCGCAATACATGGACAGTATTCGGTATGGTTGGAGTCCAGGTGGTGTTCTTTAGGGCAAACCGTTTTCGTGCCTACTCAACATGACCCCGTTTTTTCTGAGTTTCCCCATCTGTAAAAGGAAGTCTTCACTGTATGTTGTGCTGCTATAGCTGTGATGCCCTCATTCCTCACTCTTCCTAATGAATTACGGGGCTTTACGATTTTCTAACTAACACACATTCCTGAAGACAAAGAGGGAGTGTGGCACTTCCAGTCTGTCTTATTTTTAAAACTCTATTTGATTAAACACTTTGTCGTCTTTGCAGGCTACCGAGGAGAGGAACTACCATATCTTCTACCAACTGTGTGCCTCCTCACACCTACCCGAGTTCAAAACCCTCCAGTTAGGTAGGATTCTACGCTAAACAAAAATATAAACGCAACATGTAAAGTGTTGGTCCCATGTTTCATGAGCTGAAATAAAATATCCCAGAAATATTCCATACGCACAAAAAAAGCTTATTTCTCTTACATTTTGTGCGCAAATTTGTTTACATCACTGTTAGTGAGCATTTCTCCTTTGCCAAGATAATCCATCCACCTGACAGGTGTGGCATATCAAGAAGCTGATTAAACAGCATGATCATTACACAGGTGCACCTTGTGCGGGGGACAATAAAAGGCCACTCTAAAATGTGCAGTTTTGTCACACAACACAATGCCACAGATGTCTCAAGTTTTGAGGAATGTCCACCAGAGCTGTTGCCAGAGTATTTCATGTTCATTTCTCTACCATAAGCCACCAGAGCTTTGTTTTTAGAGAATTTGGCAGTACAGTCAACCGGCCTCACAACCGCAGACCACGTGTATGGCGTCGTGTGGGCGAGCGGTTTGCTGATGTCAACGTTGTCAGCAGAGTGCCCCATGGTGGCGGTGGGGTTATGGTATGGGCATGGTATGGGCAGGCATAAGCTATGGACAATGAACATAATTGCAGTTTATCGATAGCAATGTGAATGCACAGAGATATCGTGACGAGATCCTGAGGCCCATTGTCGTGCCATTCATCCACCGCCATCACCTCATGTTCCCGCCAATATCCAGCAACTTTGCACAGCCATTGAAGAGGAGTGGGACAACATTCCACAGGCCACAATCAACAGCCTGATCAACTCTATGCGAAGGAGATGTGTCGCGCTGCATGAGGCAAATGGTGGTCACACCAGATACTGACTGGTTTTCTGATCCATGCCCATAGCTGTTTTATAAGGTATCTGTGACCAACAGATGCATATCTGTATTCCCAGTCGTGTGAAATCCATAGATTAGGGCCTAATTAATTTATTTCAATTGACTGATTTTCTTATATGTTGCGTTTTATATTTTTGTTCAGTATGTATTATACACCAAGGCTCTCCAACCTTGTTCCTGGAGACCTGCCGTCCTGCAGGTTTTTGCTCCAACCCTGTTCCTGGAGACCTGCCGTCCTGCAGGTTTTCATTCCAGCCCTGTTCCTGGAGACCTGCCGTCATGCAGGTTTTTGCTCCAACCCTAATCCTAGCACGCCTGATTCTAATAATCAGCTGGTTGATAAACTGAATCAGATTAGTTACAACTGGGGTTGGAGCGAAAAAACCTACAGGAGGGTAGCTCTCCAGGAACAGGGTTGGAGCGAAAAACCTACAGGAGGGTAGCTCTCCAGGAACAGGGTTGGGCAACCCTGTTACACGTAAATACAGATGAGTAGGCCTCTCTGAGTGAACTAAAGCTTCTCTATAACCCTATCACTCATGCTTCCATGCAGAGTCTGCAATGCTGCTATCAAGGCAACAGAAAATGTAACCAATGTGTGCTGTTATTTCCTTACGTACGAAAGGAATATGTTTCCACAGAGAGTAGTTGGGTGGAATATCGGTAATGAAATGCATCCAAAACGTAGCCTGATCCCAGATCTGTTTTTTTGCTATCATGCTAACTCATTGCACGCTCCATGAACATGTTGAATGATTGATTCATAGGAAAGCTATGGCAGGTAGATTGACATGAGGCCATTGTCTGCAGGCAGCGCTGATGACTTCCACTGTACCAACCAGGGAGGCAGCCCTGCCATAGAGGGAGTAGACGACGCCAAAGAGATGTGCAGCACCAGGAAGGCTTTCTCGTTGTTAGGTGAGTTAGTATTAATAGCGAAATACCCCAAGCAAATACTGTACCAGCAACTGTGGTTGTGCAGAAATAAAATCGCCTTGAATCATGAATCTTCTTTGCTCACTGGAGAGTGTTCAGCAATACATTTGTCTAGCTAAATGTACTTTATATTCGAGTCTAATTCGGCACACGTTGGCCTGTAATGCTTGTTGGCCTGGTGGAGAGACAGACTTGGTTGTAGTCACTGGAGACGGCAATTAAAGGTTTTCTCTCTCTCTTTTTTGTTTCAGGAATCAATGAAACATACCAAATGAAACTTTTCCAAATCCTGGCAGCTGTGCTTCACCTTGGCAATGTGGAAGTGAAAGACAGAACTGCAGACAGCAGCACCATCCCGGTGAGTTCAAACCAGACTCTGGCTGCGTCCCAAATAGCACCCTATTCCCTATATAGTGCACTACTTTTGACCAGAGCCCACTAAGGGTCCTGTATAGGCATTGGAATAGGGTGCCATTTTAAGAAGCTATTGTACCGTCCCATCTTTTACTATTCTCGCATAGTAGGACTGTCCTGCCACATTTCCCTTGTCAGCATAGAGATATGCAGGACAATGCATCCCCGAGTGTAGCCTAAGGGGCTGTTGAAAGTACAACAATGCTGCCAATTCTATGTTGATTTTGTATGGAATGCTGGCCCTTTGATTTTTTTTTTTTAGACCTTTATATTCGGGCCGGGTTTCCCGGACACAGATTTAAGCCTGGTCCTGAGCTAAAAAGCACACTCAATGGAAAATCTTATTTGAAAGTGCTTTTTTTTTGTCCAGGACTAAGCCTAATCTGTGTCCAGGAAACCGGCCCTTAGTCCGAAACTGATTGGTGTTCATGTTATGATTGTGGTATTATATGATCATTATATTATTATATGTTGTTGTGTCCTTACAGCCTGACAATAGTCACTTGATAGTGTTCTGTGAGCTGATGGGCGTGGCCTACCAGGACATGTCCCATTGGCTGTGCCACAGGAAATTGAAGACTGCCACGGAGACCTACGTCAAGCCCCTCCCCAAAGTGCATGCGGTCACTGCACGGGACGCCCTGGCCAAACACATCTACGCTAAACTCTTCAGCTGGATCGTAGACCACATCAACGAGGCTCTGCGCTCTGCCGTCAAACACCACTCCTTCATTGGGGTTCTCGACATCTATGGGTGTGTGTGTCAGTGATGTTTTGTGGTGTTTGCATTGTGAATTTACACTGAGTGTACAAAACATTAAGGACACCTTCCTAATATTGAGTTGCACCCCCTTTTGCCCTAAGTCGAGGCATGGAATCTACAAGGTGTGGAAAGCGTTCCACAGGGATGTTGACTCCAATGTTTCCCACAGTTGTGTCAAGTTGGCTGGATGTCCTTTGGTTGGTGGAACATTCTTGATACACACGGGAGACTGTTGAGCGTGAAAAACCCAGCAGCGTTGCAGTTCTTGACACAAACCGGTGCCCTGGCACCTACTACCATACCCCGTTCAAAGGCACTTAAATGTTTTGTCATGCCAAATTCACAATCCATGTCTCAGTAGTCTCGAGGCTTAAAAATCCTTCTTTAACCTGTCTCCTCCCCTTCATCTACAGGGATCATAGCTTCCACCTGGATTCACCTGTTCAGTCTATGTCATGGAAAGAGCAGCTGTCCTTAATGTTTTGTCCACTCAGTGTATAAACGGTTTCTTGATCTTAGTCATGTTTCATTTCCTGTTTTCCCCCCAGATTTGAAACGTTTGACATCAACAGCTTTGAGCAGTTCTGTATTAACTATGCCAACGAAAAGCTCCAACAGCAGTTTAACATGGTAGGTCTCTCTCTCTCTCTCTCTCTCTCTCTCTCTCTCTCTCTCTCTCTCTCTCTCTCTCTCTCTCTCTCTCTCTCTTTGATTGAACAAGCCTGTTCAGGTCATCTTCATGAGAGGCACACCATCAATCCCAAATCAAATGGTGATAGCTTCATCTTGCCCTGTGTTATGCCAGGTCGCCATATTGCATAAAATGCTCAGACCTCCTCAAATACCTAGGGTGTAGGGGCTAGGGCTTGATTTGGGAATCAGGCTTTTAAATGTCAGCTGTTTCTCTGCCTCTGTCATTTTGTCTGTTTTTTCAAAACGTTAGGTCAAAGGTCAGCTTTTGTTCTCTCTCACTGCAGCATGTGTTCAAGCTGGAGCAGGAGGAGTACATGAAGGAGCAGATTCCCTGGACGCTGATAGACTTCTATGACAACCATCCCTGTATCAACCTCATCGAGGCCAAGATGGGTGTCCTGGACCTGCTGGACGAGGAGTGCAAAGTAACATGAAATAGATACACACACACACACACACACACTAATAATGATGGAGGTCCTAGAATGGATCCCAGTGGAAGACCAAGACGGGGGACGGGACGGGGGGACGGGACGGGGACGGGACGGGACGGACGGGGGGGGGACGGGACCGGACGGGGGGGGGGACGGGACGGGACGGGACGGGGAGTTTACTCTTAAGGCTACTCCACACATACAGCGCCTTCAGAAAGTATTCACACCCCTTGACTTATTCCACATTGTTGTTACAGCCTGAATTCAACATGGACTAAAATAAAATAAATCTCACCCATCTACACACAATATCCCATAATGACAAAGTGAAAACATGTTTTTAGAAATGTTTACTGAAAATGAAATACAAAAGTAATTGACATAAGTATTCACACCCCTGAGTCAATAAATGGTATCAGCACCTTTGGCGGCGATTACAGCTTTGAGTCGTCAATCAGCTTGCCCATCTGGGTTTGGGGACTCTCCCATTCTTCCTTGCAGATTTTCTCAAGCTCTGTTAAGTTAGATGGGGAGCGGTGGTGAACAGCAATCTTCAAGCCTTTCCACAGATTTTCAATGGGATTCAATTCTGGGCCACTCAAGGACTTTCACATTCTTGTTCTGAAGCCATTCCAGCGTTGCTTTGGCTGTATGTTTGGGGTCATTGTCCTGTTGGGACGTAAATCTTCGCCCCAGTCTAAGGTCGTTTGCACTCTGAAGCAGGTTCTCATCAAGGATTTACCTGTATTTGGCTCCGTTCATTGTTCCCTCTATCCTTACCAGTCTCCCCTATCCCTGCTGCTGAAAAGCATCCCCATGGCATAGCATGATGCTGCCACCACCATGCTTCACGCTAGGGATGGCGTTCGATGGGTGATGAGCTGTGCCAGGTTCTCTCCAGACATAGCACTCGAGTGGCTTCCGTCTGGCCATTCTCCAATAAAGCCCAGATTGGTGAAGTGCTGTAGAGACTGTTGTCCTTCTGGGAGGTTCTCCCACCTCAGCCAAGGAACTCTGTAGTTCTGTCAGAGTGGTCATTGGGTTCTTGGTCACCTCCCTGACCAAGGTCCTTCTTGCCCGGTTGTTCAGTTTGGTCGGAAGGCCAGATCTAGTCTGGGTAGTTCTATATTTTTTTAAATTTCCTAATGATGGAGACCACTGTGCTTTCGGAAAATGTCAACACTCTAGAAATTGTTTTATACCCTTCCCCAGATATATGCCTCATCACAATTCTCAGAGATCTACAGATGCTCCTTGGACTTCATGGTATAGTTTCTGCTCTGACATGCGCTGTCAACTGTGGGACCTTTATATAGACAGATGTGTTTATTTCTAAATCATGTACAAACAATTGAATTGGCCACAGGTGGATTCCAATCAAGTTGTAGCGACATCTCAAGGATGATGAAATGAAATTGGATGCACCTGAGCTCAATTTGGAGTGTCTTAGCAAAGTGGGTGTGAATATTTATGTAAATTAGATTTCTGTTTTTCATTTTCAATACATTTGCCAGAATTTCTCAAAACATGTTTTCACTTTCTCATTATGGGGTATTGTGTGTAGATGGGTGAGAACAATAAAGTATTTAATCCATTTTGAATTCAGACTGTAACAAAACAAAATGTGGAATAAGTTGAGGGATATGAATCATTTCTGAAGGCACTGTACACACAGGCACATATTTAGGATGTGAGTCAGGTTGATGTGTTACCTTCTCTCCTCCCTTCCTCCTTTTCTCTCCTCCCTTCCTCTCCTCCCTTCCTCTCCTCCCTTCCTCTCCTCTCCTCCCTCCCTCAGATGCCCAAAGGCTCTGATGACACATGGGCTCAGAAACTTTACAACACCTTCTTGAAGAAAAGTGATCTTTTTGACAAACCTCGTCTGTCCAACAAAGCCTTTATCATCCTCCACTTTGCAGACAAGGTACACAAGCATCCTGTTAAAAAAAAAAACTACTTCGTAAATACTTTTATTTTTACTCTAGTTGAGATGTCAGACCTTCTATTTATGAATACCTGTTTGCTGTCTGGCTGTAGGTTGTTGAGCTCATTGAGCAAAGTGACTGACTGACTGAAATAGCTCTCCTCATTTGAGAAGTACTAACCAAACCACTCCTGGTCTAGACTGAGGGTCAGGTTGATTATCTCATTTTATGTTTCTTCTTATCATGGCTGGACCTGGGTGGATTTCCCTACCCTCTGTTTGACCCTTTGTTCCCAGGTGGAGTATCAGTGTGACGGGTTCCTGGAGAAGAATAAGGATACTGTCAATGAGGAGCAGATTAATGTGCTCAAGCTAAGCAAGGTTCGTTTGTTTGTTTGTTTGTTTGAGGCCAAAGACTCCACCTTTCTCCAGTCGTCCTGTCTGTAAATACCTTCTGTATACCAGTGAGTCTTATGTAGAGGACCATCATAGTGCCCTGAGGTTAACTAGTCTCTCTGTGTGATGTTTGAACTTGGAGAACACACCCCAGCACAGAGCTGTAGAAACAAGTCTTATGTTTTGGAGCGTGACAGCCCATTTCATGTAATGGGAAACTGCCCCCTGGTGGTCAATAAATGTTCCTACCTGAATGATCCGTCAGGGCATCAATAATAATAATAATAATAATAATATGCCATTTAGCAGACGCTTTTATCCAAAGCGACTTACAGTCATGTGTGCATAATTTATTTTTATTTTTTTGTGCCCTTTTCATATGGTCACAACACACTGGAGAAAAAAAAAATACACAGTTGCATATAGCAGCCAAAGAACCAAAAGATTGCAAGTCAAGAGATAAATGGTCTCAAACAACCGTTTCCTGTTCCACTGTTTGAGACGTGTTTGACTCTTCTGTCCAGTTTGATCTGCTGTTGGAGCTGTTCAGCGATGAGGAGAAGACTACAGGCCCCCCTGCCAGTCGCAGTAAGATGACACGGCCTGTTCAGGCTCAGAGAGACCACAAGAAGACAGTTGGAACGCAGGTGGGACTAAAACATAAATCAGTCTTCTGATGGTTTAGATTCCGATTTGGAAGTCATGTTAAACACACGTTGCTGTGGTAAAACCTTCTCAATGTAAATCTGATGTTTTTTTAGCATGACTAGTACTTTACTACATTAGATTTGTTTTATTTGACCCCTTGACCCCTTGACCCCCCTCCTCAGTTTCGTAACTCTCTACATCTGCTGATGGAGACTCTGAATGGAACGACCCCTCACTATGTACGCTGCATCAAGCCCAACGACCTCAAATCCCCATTCACGTGAGTCTGCCTCCACGCCCCTTTAACCTAGGTATTGTTCATTTAGGCACCAAACAGAGAAAAAAAACCCGGCTGAAATAGAGAGGGACTATCTGGAGTTGTCAAAATAAGAAATGTTCATTTTTGTTTTCGGTTTCAAAACGTTTAAAAAAAGTTATGTTCCCTAATAAATATGACTCAGTTATTATCGTTTTGTGGCACCCTGCGAAAGAGAAAGTAACAACGTTGTTTCAACATATTGTGACATGGAATCTACGTGGAAAATACATTGGATTTGAGAAAAGTCATCAACGTAAACTGTTTTTCAGGATGAAATTTCAACCGCGGGATTATGTAATGGTAACCAATTTTCAACAGACAAACCTTGTATAAAATATGTTGAATTTGTACCTTTTTGAAACAACGTCAGATCTTCAACATAATGTCCACTATCAGAACAAAAACAATAGGCCGGGCAGCACCTCCTACTGGAGGGTTGATGTAACTACAGCTGCCCTTTGGTCTCCCTTCCAGGGTTTTAACCAAGCACAGCTCTGATATTTGTCACTGACTACTACCAATGTGCTATTGTGAGAACTCTTAATAACAAACTAAATTCATTGTTGCTATCGAAGTCATTCCAAAGGGTAGATTTTAACAGAGCAAATGAAATGTAACCATACTTTATCAGTCATATATCATCAATGAAACTATTTAGGCCTATATAGCATTATGGAAGTCATCAACAGCTATTGTTTTAAATTCAACCCAGGGTTAAACTAAAAATAGACAATACATATAGGCCTAGGGTTTCAAGCTTTGGTTGATTTATAATTTAATCTTCAAGTTAATAATTAATATGGTGGATTTAATGTCTCCATCTTAACCAAAAATCAAAGTTAAAGAATAGGACTAAATCAAACCAAATCAAACGTTAAATGTACTTTAAATGATGTTGATTTCATTTAGGCCTGTTCTTTAACTTGTATTTTTGGTTGAGATGGAGACGTGAATCCAACATATCAACTATTAATTTGTAGACAAACTGGAATTAAAGTCAAACTATGTCAGATACACAAAATACACTGCTCAAAAAAATAAAGGGAACACTAAAATAACACATCCTAGATCTGAATGAATGAAATAATCTTATTAAATACTTTTTTCTTTACATAGTTGAATGTGCTGACAACAAAATCACACAAAAATTATCAATGGAAATCAAATGTATCAACCCATGGAGGTCTGGATTTGGAGTCACCCTCAAAATTAAAGTGGAAAACCACACTACAGGCTGATCCAACTTTGATGTAATGTCCTTAAAACAAGTCAAAATGAGGCTCAGTAGTGTGTGTGGCCTCCACGTGCCTGTATGACCTCCCTACAACGCCTGGGCATGCTCCTGATGAGGTGGCGGATGGTCTCCTGAGGGATCTCCTCCCAGACCTGGACTAAAGCATCCGCCAACTCCTGGACAGTCTGTGGTGCAATGTGGCGTTGGTGGATGAAGCGAGACATGATGTCCCAGATGTGCTCAATTGGATTCAGGTCTGGGGAACGGGCTGGCCAGTCCATAGCATCAATGCCTTCCTCTTGCAGGAACTGCTGACACACTCCAGCCACATGAGGTCTAGCATTGTCTTGCATTAGGAGGAACCCAGGGCCAACCGCACCAGCATATGGTCTCACAAGGGGTCTGAGGATCTCATCTCGGTACCTAATGGTAGTCAGGCTACCTCTGGCGAGCACATGGAGGGCTGTGCGGCCCCCCCAAAGAAATGCCACCCCACACCATGACTGACCCACCGCCAAACCGGTCATGCTGGAGGATGTTGCAGGCAGCAGAACGTTCTCCACGGCGTCTCCAGACTCTGTCACGTCTGTCACATGTGCTCAGTGTGAACCTGCTTTCATCTGTGAAGAGCACAGGGCACCAGTGGCGAATTTGCCAATCTTGGTGTTCTCTGGCAAATGCCAAATGTCCTGCACGGTGTTGGGCTGTAAGCACAACCCCCACCTGTGGACGTCGGGCCCTCATACCACCCTCATGGAGTCTGTTTCTGACCGTTTGAGCAGACACATGCACATTTGTGGCCTGCTGGAGGTCATTTTGCAGGGCTCTGGCAGTGCTCCTCCTGCTCCTCCTTGCACAAAGGCGGAGGTAGCAGTCCTGCTGCTGGGTTGTTGCCCTCCTACGGCCTCCTCCACGTCTCCTGATGTACTGGCCTGTCTCCTGGTAGCGCCTCCATGCTCTGGACACTACGCTGACAGACACGGCAAACCTTCTTGCGACAGCTCGCATTGATGTGCCATCCTGGATGAGCTGCACTACCTGAGCCACTTGTGTGGGTTGTAGTCTCCGTCTCATGCTACCACTAGAGTGAAAGCACCGCCAGCATTCAAAAGTGACCAAAACATCAGCCAGGAAGCATAGGAACTGAGAAGTGGTCTGTGGTCACCACCTGCAAAACCAGTCCTTTATCGGGGGTGTCTTGCTAATTGCCTATAATTTCCACCTGTTGTCTATTCCATTTGCACAACAGCGTGTGAAATTTTTCTCAATCAGTGTTGGTTCCTAAGTGGACAGTTTGATTTCACAGAAGTGTGATTGACTTGGAGTTACATTGTGTTGTTTAAGTGTTCCCTTTATTTTTTTGAGCAGTGTATATATATATATATATATCCTTTAAATGTTAATATTTGGTTGCGTTGACAACCAAACACAATTCAATATCACTTCTGCAATACAGTAAATAGCCTATTAGCTTGTCGACAAGTTAACAAATAAATGTTGGATTCCAACTAAACCAAAAATAAAAGTTGAAGAATAGTATTAAGCTAAGTAGCTCAGATGAAATTAGATGAATCTCTTTTTAAATGTTGATATTTGGTTGCGTTGTCAACCAAACACAATTCAATATTACTTTTGTAATCCAGTAAATAGCAAACATGTAAGGCTATCTTACAAAACTAATGTAACCGTAGTTATTCAAACTTTAAAATGAGTAACACACCCATGGTCATATTCTGAGGTTAGCCTCCTGTAACTATAAATGTCTTGTGTAATCGTAGGAAGTGTGCATGCAAAGGTCGAGGGGTCTGTGGCGATCTTCACAATATAATAATCTGTCAGAATCTCTAACAACATCGATCACTTGCACCGTGTACTTTTAATGTAATCTCAACTGTAATCCAGGTCATTTGGTTGTGCTCCAGATGAAGCACCGCTATAACACATTAATCTGATGTATAAATAAATACAAAATATTTGACATTGTATTCCCATTTGAACATTGTTGTGCTTAAAAGCACAGTGATAACACATTTAAATGACAACTAAACCAAAAACCAGACATTGTTTTTCCATGGGAATTTGGTTGTGCTTTTAAACTGAACAAAAATATAAACGCAACATCAACAATTTCAAAGATTTTACTGAGTTACAGTTCATATAAGGAAATCGGTCAATTGAAATAAATTCATTAGGCCCTAATCTATGGATGTCACATGACTGGGCAGGGGCGGAGCCATGGGTGGGCCTGGGAGGGTATAGGGGAGCCAGCCAATCAGAATGAGTTTTTCCCCACAGAATGGTGAAGAAGCTGGATGTGGAGGTCCTGGGCTGGCGTGGTTACATGTGGTTGTGAGGCCGGTTGGAAGTACCGCCAAATTCTCTAAAATGACATTGGAGGCGGCTTATGGTAGAGAAAGTAACATTGAATTCTCTGGCAACATCTCTGGTGGATATTCCTGCAGTCAGCATGCCAATTGCACACTCCCTCAAAACTTGAGACATCTGTGGCATTGTGTTGTGTGACAAAACTGCACATTTTTAGAATGGCTTTTTATTGTCCCCAGCACAAGATGCACCTGTGTACTATCTTGGCAAAGGAGAAATGCTCACTAACAGGGATGTAAACAAATTTGTTCACAACATTTGAGAGAAATAAGCTTTTTGTGCGTATGGAAAATTTCTGGGATCTTCTATTTCAGCTCATAAAACATGGGACCAAGACTTTACATGTTGCGTTTATATTTTTGTTCAGTGTGTATATGTGTATGTCTATATATATATATATATATATATATATATATATATATATATATATATATATATATATATATATATATATATATATACAGTGCATTCGGAAAGTATTCAGACCCCTTCACTTTTTCCACATTTTGTTACGTTACAGCCTTATTCTAAAATCGATTACATTTAGATTCTTCCTCATTAATCTACACACAATACCCCATAATGACAAAGCAAAAACAGGTTTTTAGAAAATGTTGCTAATTTATTAAAAACACTAAACTGAAATATCACATTTACATAAGTATTCAGACCCTTTACTCAGTACTTTGTTGAAGCACTTAAGGCAGCGATTAGAGCCTCGAGTCTTCTTTGGTATGACGCTACAAGCTTGGCACACGTGTATTTGGGGGTTTCTCCCGTTTTTTATTTGTAATACATTTGCTAAAAATTCAAAAAACCTGTTTTTGCTTTGTCATTATGGGGTATTGTGTGTAGATTAATTAGGGGGGGGGAAACAATTTTAATCAATTTTAGAATAAGGCTGAAACGTAACAAAATGTTGAAAAAGTCAACGGGGTCTGAATACTTTCCGAAGGCACTGTGTGTATGTTTTCTTTGTAATAGGATGGACCCCATGAGGGCGGTACAGCAGTTACGGGCTTGTGGAGTCCTGGAAACCATCCGCATCTCAGCAGCAGGCTTCCCATCCAGGTACAGCAACAACATCATCCAGCCCTAACATCATCCAGCCCTAACATCATCCAGCCCTAACATCATCCAGCCCTAACATCATCCAGCCCTAGTCGATCCAGCTCTAAAAGGCACTCTCACATAACATATACACAAGCATTCAACTTTCTCTATATACAGTGGGGCAAAAAAGTATTTAGTCAGCCACCAATTGTGCAAGTTCTCCCACTTAAAAAGATGAGAGAGGCCTGTAATTTTCATCATAGGTACACGTCAACTATGACAGACAAAATGAGGGAAAAAAATCCAGAAAATCACATTGTAGGATTTTTATGAATTTATTTGCAAATTATGGTGGAAAATAAGTATTTGTTCAATAACAAAAGTTTCTCAATACTTTGTTATATACCATTTGTTGGCAATGACACAGGTCAAACGTTTTCTCTAAGTCTTCACAAGGTTTTCACACACTGTTGCTGGTATTTTGGCCCATTCCTCCATGCAGATCTCCTCTAGAGCAGTGATGTTTTGGGGCTGTCGCTGGGCAACACAGACTTTCAACTCCCTCCAAAGATTTTCTATGGGGTTGAGATCTGGAGACTGGCTAGGCCACTCCAGGACCTTGAAATGCTTCTTACGAAGCCACTCCTTCGCTGCCCGGGCGGTGTGTTTGGGATCATTGTCATGCTGAAAGACCCAGCCACGTTTCATCTTCAATGCCCTTGCTGATGGAAGGAGGTTTTCACTCAAAATCTCACGATACATGGCCCATTCATTCTTTCCTTTACACGGATCAGTCGTCCTGGTCCCTTTGCAGAAAAACAGCCCCAAAGCATGATGCTTCCACCCCCATGCTTCACAGTAGGTATGGTGTTCTTTGGATACAACTCAGCATTCTTTGTCCTCCAAACACGACGAGTTGAGATTTTACCAAAAAGTTCTATTTTGGTTTCATCTGACCATATGACATTCTCCCAATCCTCTTCTGGATCATCCAAATGCACTCTAGCAAACTTCAGACGGGCCTGGACATGTACTGGCTTAAGCAGGGGGACACGTCTGGCACTGCAGGATTTGAGTCCCTGGCGGCGTAGTGTGTTACTGATGGTAGGCTTTGTTACTTTGGTCCCAGCTCTCTGCAGGTCATTCACTAGGTCCCCCGTGTGGTTCTGGGATTTTTGTTCACCGTTCTTGTGATCATTTTGACCCCACGGGGTGAGATCTTGCGTGGAGCCCCAGATCGAGGGAGATTATCTGTGGTCTTGTATGTCTTCCATTTCCTAATAATTGCTCCCACAGTTGATTTCTTCAAACCAAGCTGCTTACCTATTGCAGATTCAGTCTTCCCAGCCTGGTGCAGGTCTACAATTTTGTTTCTGGTGTCCTTTGACAGCTCTTTGGTCTTGGCCATAGTGGAGTTTGGAGTGTGACTGTTTGAGGTTGTAGACAGGTGTCTTTTATACCGATAACAAGTTCAAACAGGTGCCCTTAATACAGGTAACGAGTGGAGGACAGAGGAGCCTCTTAAAGAAGAAGTTACAGGTCTGTGAGAGCCAGAAATCTTGCTTGTTTGTAGGTGACCAAATACTTATTTTCCACCATAATTTGCAAATAAATTCATAAAAAATCCTACAATGTGATTTTCTGGATTTTTTTTCCTCAATTTGTCTGTCATAGTTGACGTGTATCTATGATGAAAATTACAGGCCTCTCTCATCTTTTTAAGTGGGAGAACTTGCACAATTGGTGGCTGACTAAATACTTTTTTCCCCCACTGTATATACACACACACACACACACACGCCACAAAGTGTGACCACAGCGTGTGCCCGTAACAAAATAATCTGGAGCATATGTTACTGATCACACCACACCTGTGGACAGGTGGACCTACCAGGAGTTCTTCAACCGGTACCGGGTTCTGATGAAACAGAAGGACGTTCTCTCAGACAGGAAGCGGACCTGCAGGAACGTCCTGGAGAAATGGGTCCAGGTAGGAAGTGCCCGGGGTTTTTAGAGGTCAGGCCCTTAGGGTTCAGGTAGGAGGGGTTAGGTTTCAGGAAGTAGAGGTCAGGTCCTTAGGGTTCAGGTAGGAGGGGTTAGGTTTCAGGAAGTTACCTGTACGAATGACCTGGAGAAATAGGTCACAGTAGGGAAAGAGTGTACAAAATACATAAATAGATTTTACCATGGTTATTCCACACACAAACTGTCTAATTCATTTGCCTCCATCCAGTAAGTATTCATACTGGATACAAAGGTAGCAAAGATATCAAACAAACAATGGTTAAGTCTGCTAAAATACTCAACAACCCTCTCATCTACAGGACCAGGACAAATACCAGTTTGGCAAGAACAAGATCTTCTTCAGGGCGGGTCAGGTGGCCTTTCTAGAGAAGCTGCGTTCTGATAAACTGAAGGCGGCGTGCGTTCGCATCCAGAAGTCCATCAGATGCTGGCTGGCCAGGAAGAGGTACCTCCGTATGAGACGAGCTGCCATCACCATACAGAGAAACACGCGAGGCTACCAGGCCCGCTGGTGAGTGGAAAGATTACAACCTTACCCCACGGGGTTTCCCACGGGGTTTCCCACGGGCAAGGGAATATTCTGGAATGGAATTTAATTATATACGTTCCAGACAGGGAAAGCCAGGGAATGTAAATCAATTTACGTACAGTATCCGATCATTATTTGGAAATGAAATTATCAGGGGAAATGTTTTTTTTTTTTTTTTCTGTAATTTTCCACGGTGCTTTACCCACTGTGTGTGGGTTTCCATTAGTTCCCACAACCACATAGTCAAAATTGGCTATGTCGTAAAAATTAATGAAAACAAACATTTAGGGTTAGGCATAAGGTTAGCAGTGTGGTTAGGGTTAGGGTTAGGGTTAGGCATAAGGTTAGCAGTGTGGTTAGGGTTAGGGTTAGGGTTAGGCATAAGGTTAGCAGTGTGGTTAGGGTTGTAGAAATAGGCAGGTGCATGACTGTGACGACCCTTTATGTGTGTCATGAACATTCTTACCTGTAGACCTGAACAGTCATGGAATTAGTAATGTCTAAAGAGTGGGAACCCTGATCATTAATAGAAACAGGCGTCTGACGTTATCTCTGATTCTCCCCTCTCCTCTCCTCTCCTCTCCTCTCCTCTCCTCTCCTCTCCTCTCCTCTCCTCTCCCCTCTCCTCTCAGCCTGGTAGCGTTCCTGAGGAGGACCAGAGCAGCAGTTATCATCCAGAAGAACCAGCGAATGTTAGTGTCCAGGAGATGCTACCTGCAGCAGAGGTCTGCAGCCATCGCCATGCAGCGTCTGCTACGAGCCTACCAGGCCAGACAGACCTACCACAAGGTCCTTTATAGCATTGATACGCCATCCAACACACACCTGACCTGCTCCAAACTCTCATTCACATACAGTATAAGTGACGGTACTTCATTTGTCCGACTCGATCAGATGTAAATCCACTCTTAAGACATTGCCACACAACTCGTAACTCCAAACTACAATTTCCATAAACAGTTCTCTACACTAGTCAGGGGTCGTGTTCATTAGGGCACACCATATCAAAACATTTTACGACGGAAAGCGGGGGAAAATGTTTCTTATTGGTTCAGATGGTACCTCCCTGTTTCAGACAGTTTTCTTGTGTTTCGAACCCACTGAAACACGACTCGGGTCTGCGACATTGATTGCATTTATATAGCCCTTTTCCAGGTGCTTTACATAGTAAGGGGGGGAAACTCCCCTCATCCACCATTCTCTGCTTCCCCCAGCTGCTGTACGAACACAAGGTTATCACCATCCAGAGGTGGGTGAGAGGCTGGCTGGCCAGGCGGAGGTGCAGACGCTCCCTGAGGGCCGTGGTCTACCTCCAGAGCTGTGTGAGACGCATGGCGGCCAGGAGGGAGCTGAGGAAGCTAAGGGTGGAGGCCCGCTCCGTGGAACACTTCAAGAAGCTCAGTGTGGGCATGGAGAACAAGATCATGCAATTGCAGAGGAAGGTGGACGAACAGGTGAGAAAGGGCACTTCCTGTATGGACATAGTCACTTCCTGTATGGACATAGTCACTTCCTGTATGGACATAGTCACTTCCTGTATGGACATAGTCACTTCCTGTATGGACATAGTCACTTCCTGTATGGACATAGTCACTTCCTGTATGGACATAGTCACTTCCTGTATGGACATAGTCACTTCCACCTATGTGGATAGCTACAAATAGGAGTACCACTACAACTGAACGAACAAGTGAGACCAGGCGGTCAAGTTTATTTTGTGTGATGAATATTTTGGAAATCTTACTCTCTCGAGCATGGACACGCACCACTGTCTTCTTAGCTAGAAACAATACTACAACTTTGTTGGAAGTGTTTTGTCAGTAAATGTAAATATCCTTAGAAATAACTGTTTACTTCAGTATTGACCCCAGTTGAAAACAGGACATTGTTAGATGAGGTAATGCTGGTTGTATGTCACGTGTAAACCCTGAGTGTATCCCCTCCCTTCCCTCCTGCAGAACAAGGAGAACCGAGAGCTCAGTGAGAGGTTGAGGACCGTGGAGCGGTCCCGGGCAGCGGAGAGCGAGAGGCTGGGGAGAGAGGTGGAGCGACTGAGCGTGGCAGAGGAGGAGAGCAGGTTTAAAGCAGACGGGGTCCCCTCCCTCCTGGAACAGCTGTCATTCCTCCACCAGGAGCTGGAGACCACCAGGGGAGAGAAGAAGGCCATAGAGGAGGGGGCTAGAACATACAGGGAGGACACTGAGAAGGTACTGCAACTTAACTGCTGCGTTCACCTACTAACTTAGACGGAGAAGGTAGAGTTAATATGGTCGTTTAGCAAGATATTTTTCTCCAAAGCGACTTAGAAAACTGTCAACAATGACAGTGACACGTTATATTTAGAATCGAACTTACAAGCACCACGCTCTGCTGAGCCATTGAGACGAGTGTCCACTGACGCGTTTCCCTCTTCCTGCCACTAGGTGGTGTCAGAGTTGAATGAGAACAACAGCTTGTTGATGACAGCGAACGGTGATCTGAATCAGCTGATCCAGGAACAGAGCCAGCAGATAGCAGGTACAGTACAGGGTCATGTTCATGATGGCACACCGTAGCAAAACGTTTTGCAACGGAAAGCGTTAAACAAGCGTTTTCTTATTGGACAAGTCCCCTCCCCCTTTTTCTGTCTGTTGTCTTCCGTGTGTTGCCCAGTGACCACTTCCCTGTTCCCCTGTCCAGAGACCCAGGCCCATGCTAAAGACCGTAAGCAGCTGGAGAGGGATCTCAGCGAGGAGCGTGACCGCTACCAGAGTCTACTGAGTGAATACAGACAGCTAGAGGAGAGACATGCTGACCTGAAAGAAGAGATGAATCTCAGCGTGGTAACATGACTTATGGAGCGTTGTGGACCTTGAAGAAATATACTTTATTAATGCAGGGTGTTTGAATGCTGTTATGCATCTCACACTGACGTTCAAAGCAATTTATCCTATGCTAACCAACGTATGTTTAGATAGGGATTTTGACTGCCAAACCAAAATGGTTTGGTTTGGAAGTCAAGTGACACTGCCGCTTTCCTAGCTTGCTAGCCTGGATTTCAGTGGCTACACCGCTGCATGCATGAGGTCTATATGAAAATAACTTATTGGTTTGGTTCTGTTTGGGTCAGCTTAGCTACCTAGCTAACCTTTTTTATGCCATGCTGTCTAACCAGATCACCAGTAAACCAGGCCACAGGAGAACAGACTCCAACTACAGCAGCAATGAGTCCGAGGGAACTCCCAGCTCTGGGTTTGCAGAGTCCGAGGGAAGAAACAGCTCAGTGGAAACTCCCAGCTCAACACGCAGCTCCTCAGGGTTCACAGAGTCCGAGACGAGATCTCTACGAGGAGAGGTGAGGAGCTCAAATATGAACATATGGAATGTAAAAACCTCATCTTTTGAGGTTTACGTGGATGCTCACCATCCATAGCCCCATAGCTTCCACAACATCCGAGTGATGAACGAGGCTTAGGTGGTTCTAGACTTCCATAGCCCCACACGGGATGCTTTGCTCTCCCATAGAATTAGCCAAATCTTATTTTGGATCATCCAAAATAAATGTTTTTCTTGTGTTGTTGTTCAGGATGCGGTGGACATGTCAGTCCTGTTGAAGCTGCAGAGGAGAGTCACTGAGCTGGAGCAGGACAGACAGACACTGCAGAGACACCTGGATAAGAGAGAGGAGACGCAGCAAGTCCAGGCCAAAAATGCAGAGGCGCAAAGGACTGCAGGGAGAGCTGAGCTGGACCTGGAGGCTCTGAAAGTGATGACAGTTCATATATTATTACTGCACAATGACATTTTACCATGTCATTTCTTAGTTGATATCTGGTGACTTCTGTATAGGTGGGAGCTGTTCTGAAAGTGGGAGCGAGCGAGAGGAAAGCGGAGAGAAGTAGAGCGCGAGATCGGAGAGAGAGAGAGAAGAGCGAAAAATATCGATATAGAATAGAGAGACAGATAGAGAATAAAGAGAAGATAATGGGGGATATATATTAGAAAGATCGAAGGAGAGAGAAGAGAAGACGTAAAAGAGAGAGAGAGAGAAAGGAGAGAAATAATCTAAAAGAGGATAGAGAGATATGGGAGAGAGACGATAAGAATAGAAGGAGAGAGAGCAAAGAAGACATATATCGACTAACTAGAAAATAGTGAATATCTATCGCTATCGACTATTATACTATAGGGTATAGTATAGAAAAAGATAGCAAATCTCGATATATCTAGAACGGTAGACCATCTAGGAAGCCTACATTCAAGAATCTCTATAGCATCTATCTCGATCTAAGCAATCATATCTCGTAAATATCTAGCCTTATTTAGACGATGGAGAAGAGAGAGAGATAGCAAGACTAAGAAATATAGAAAAGAGAAGAGAAGAGGAAAGATAGAGAACAGGGAGGGGATAAGAAGAAAGCTCGAGATAAGGATAGAAGAGAGAAGAGCAGAAAGAGTAGAGAGAGAGAGAGAAAGGAGAGAGGAGAGGAAGAGACGCAAGAAAAAGAAGGGACCATACGAGAGAGATAGAGAGAGGAGAGAAGGCACAAGAAAGCAAATAGAGAGCGCGAGAGATGAGATAGAGCTCAGATAGCAATCGCTATACTCTTCTCCTACTAGCTCCTCTCTAGTCTCTCTCTCTCTTCTCCTCTCTCTCTCTCTCTCTCTCTCTGTCACTCTCTCTGTCTCTCTTTCTCTCTCCCCTCAAGCGCCAGGAGCTGGAGTCAGAGAACAAGAAGCTGAAGACAGACCTGACTGAGCTGCGTCAGTCTCTAGCTACGGTCTCCAACGCTAGCACTGGAGCGAGCCCCGGGGCTAAGACCACCACCAGCCCCGGGGCTAAGACCACCACCAACCCCAGGGCTAAGACCACCACCGGCAGCCCCGGGCCGGGCTCCGCTCCCTACAACGTGCTCCTGGAGCAGCTCAACTCCTCCAACGAGGAGCTGGAGGTCAGGAAGGAGGAGGTGCTGCTCCTCCGCTCGCACATGGTCCGCCAGGAGGCGCTCAAACACAACAAGGTAGGAGGAGAGGAGGACGTAGTCCCAAAGGGTACCCTATTCCCTATGTAGTGCACTGGTCCCTGGTCAAAAGTAGTGCACAACGCAGGGAAGAGGGTTTTATAGGGCTCTGGTCTAAAGTAGTGCACTATATAGGGAATAGGGTGCCATTCTCTGGTCTAAAGTAGTGCGCTATATAGGGAATAGGGTGCCATTCTCAGGTCTAAAGTAGTGCGCTATATAGGGAATAGGGTGCCATTCTCTGGTCTAAAGTAGTGCGCTATATAGGGAATAGGGTGCCATTCTCAGGTCTAAAGTAGTGCGCTATATAGGGAATAGGGTGCCATTCTCAGGTCTAAAGTAGTGCGCTATATAGGGAATAGGGTGCCATTCTCTGGTCTAAAGTAGTGCACTATATAGGGAATAGGGTGCCATTTGGGATGCATCCCTACTATCAGCGAGTTTGAGGGGATCCAGTTTGAGACTGCCACACAGAATCGCTAATGTTGATCACGTAATGAGTAGTTATTTGGGATGGGAGGGGATGTGTAGATCAGTGATTCTGCGCTGTCCGACTGCAAATTAACTAACATTCTGATTTACAAATAAGTAGCACTGTTTTGAACGTGTTTTTCTCTACACTGGCAGTACTGACACCCTTTCCTTTTGGTAGGAAGCTTATGGAGAGATGCATAAGATGATTCATCTTGGTGAAACTCCACCCAAAGAGACTGATGGGTAAACACTCACCTCACACTCACCTTCAACTCACCCCACCCCTTCTGGATTCCTTTACATTGATTTTACATTTACATGTACGTCATTTAGCAGACGCTCTTATCCAGAGCGACTTACAAATTGGTGCATTCACCTTATAGCCAGTGGGAAAACCACTTTACAATATATATATTTTTTTCTTTCTTTGGGGTGGGGTAAGGCGGGGTAGAAGGATTACTTTATCCTATCCCAGGTATTCCTTAAAGAGGTGGGGTTTCAAGTGTCTCCGGAAGGTGGTGAGTGACTCCGCTGTCCTGGCGTTGTGAGGGAGCTTGTTCCACCATTGGGGTGCCAGAGCAGCGAACAGTTTTGACTGGGCTGAGCGGGAACTGTGCTTCCGCAGAGGTAGGGGGGCCAGCAGGCCAGAGGTGGATGAACGCAATGCCCTCGTTTGGGTGTAGGGACTGATCAGAGCCTGAAGGTACGGAGGTGCCGTTCCCCTCACAGCTCCGTAGGCAAGCACCATGGTCTTGTAGCAGATGCGAGCTTCAACTGGAAGCCAGTGGAGTGTGCAGAGGAGTGGGGTGACGTGAGAGAACTTGGGAAGGTTGAACACCAGACGGGCTGCGGCATTCTGGATGAGTTGTAGGGGTTTAATGGCACAGGCAGGGAGCCCAGCCAACAGCGAGTTGCAGTAATCCAGACGGGAGATGACAAGTGCCTGGATTAGGACCTGTGCCGCTTCCTGTGTAAGGCAGGGTCGTACTCTCCGAATGTTGTAGAGCATGAACCTACAGGATCGGGTCACCGCCTTGATGTTAGCGGAGAACGACAGGGTGTTGTCCAGGGTCACGCCAAGGCTCTTTGCACTCTGGGAGGAGGACACAACGGAGTTGTCAACCGTGATGGCGAGATCATGGAACGGGCAGTCCTTCCCTGGGAGGAAGAGCAGCTCCGTCTTGCCGAGGTTCAGCTTGAGGTGGTGATCCGTCATCCACACTGATATGTCTGCCAGACATGCAGAGATGCGATTCGCCACCTGGTTATCAGAGCGGGGAAAGGAGAAGATTAGTTGTGTGTCGTCTGCGTAGCAATGATAGGAGAGGCCATGTGAGGATATGACAGAGCCAAGTGACTTGGTGTATAGCGAGAGTAGGAGAGGGCCTAGAACTGAGCCCTGGGGGACACCAGTGGTGAGAGCACGTGGTGCGGAGACAGATTCTCGCCACGCCACTTGGTAGGAGCGACCTGTCAGGTAGGACGCAATCCAATAGTGAGCCGCGCCGGAGATGCCCAGCTCGGAGAGGGTGGAGAGGAGGATCTGATGGTTCACAGTATCAAAGGCAGCAGACAGGTCTAGAAGGACATGAGCAGAGGAGAGAGAGTTAGCTTTAGCAGTGTGGAGAGCCTCTGTGACACAGAGAAGAGCAGTCTCAGTTGAATGACCAGTCTTGAAACCTGACTGGTTTGGATCAAGAAGGTCATTCTGAGAGAGATAGCAAGAGAGTTGGCTAAAGACGGCATGCTCAAGAGTTTTGGAGAGAAAAGAAAGAAGGGATACTGGTCTGTAGTTGTTGACATCGGAGGGATCGAGTGTAGGTTTTTTGAGATGGGGTGCAACTCTTGCTCTCTTGAAGACGGAAGGGACATAGCCAGCGGTCAAGGATGAGTTGATGAGCGAGGTGAGGTAAGGGAGAAGGTCACCGGAGATGGTCTGGAGAAGAGAGGAGGGGATAGGGTCAAGCGGGCAGGTTGTTGGGCGGCCGGCCGTCACAAGTCGCAAGATTTCATCTGTAGAGAGAGGGGAGAAAGAAGTCAAAGCATAGGGTAGGGCAGTGTGAGCAGGACCAGCAGTGTCATTTGACTTAACAAACGAGGATCGGATGTCGTCAACCTTCTTTTCAAAATGGTTGATGAAGTCATCCACAGAGAGGGAGGAGGTGGGGAGGAGGAGTAGGATTCAGCAGGGAGGAGAAGGTGGCAAAGAGCTTCCTAGGGTTAGAGGCAGATGCTTGGAATTTAGAGTGGTTGATTGACTGCTTACATTGGTTTACCTTGTTTTAAGTTAGTTTACTTGATATTGGTTTACTGTTTCCTCTGTGTTTGTCAGATCCACTCCTGACTACCACAAGTTGAACGAGGATGGAGAGCTGTGGCTGGCTTATGAAGGGTTAAAGGAGACCAACAGGTGAGCTGAGGGATAGCAAGAGGAATGTGTTCAAGGTTTTCAAGGCAATGCAAAGGAACTAGATGAGAAAAAACTCTGATGAAGAATATGTCTCTCTCTCTATCACTCTCTGTCTCTCTCTGTCTCCCTCTCTCTCGGTCTCTGTCTCTCTCCTTGTCTCTCTGTCTCTGTCTCTCTCGCTCTCTCTCCTTGTCTCTCTGTTGCTCTTTCTCTCTCTCTCTATATATATATATGTCTCTTTATCTCTCTGTCTGTTTCTCTCTCTCTCTCTCTCTCTCTCTATCTCTCTCAATTCAATTCAATTTCAATTTAAGGGCTTTATTGACATGGGAAACGTATGTTAACGTTGCCAAAGCAAGTGAAGTAGATAGTAAACAAAAGTGAAATAAACAATAAATATTAACAGTAAACATTACACTCAGAAGTTCCAAAAGAATAAAGACATTTCAAATGTCATATTATGTCTATATACAGTGTTGTAACAATGTGCCAATAGTTAAAGTTCAAAAGGGAAAATAAATAAACATAAATATGGGTTGTATTTACAATGGTGTTTGTTGTTCACTGGTTGCCCTTTTCTTGTGGCAACAGGTCACAAATATTGCTGCTGTGATGGTACACTGTGGTATTTCACCCAGTAGACATGGGAATTTATCAAAATTGAGTTTGTTTTTGAATTCTTTGTGGGTCTGTGTAATCTGAGGGAAATATGTGTCTCTAATATGGTCATACATTTGGCAGGAGGTTAGGAAGTGCAGCTCAGTTTCCACTTCATTTTGTGGGCAGTGTGCACATAGCCTGTCTTCTCTTGAGAGCCAGGTCTGCCTACGGTGGCCTTTCTCAATAGCAAGGCTATGCTCACTGAGTCTGTACATAGTCAAAGCTTTCCTTAATTTTGGGTCAGTCACAGTGGTCAGGTATTCTGCCACTGTGTACACTCTGTTTAGGGCCAAATATCATTCTAGTTTGCTCAGTTTTTTTGTTAATTCTTTCCAATGTGTCAAGTAATTCTCTTTTTGTTTTCTGATGATTTTGGTTGGGTCTAATTGTGTTGCTGTTGTTGTCCTCTCTCTCTCTCTCTCTCTCTCTCTCTCTCTCTGTCTCTTTGTCTCTCTCTCTGTCTCTCTCTCTGTCTCTCTCTCTCTCTCTCTCTCTGTCTCTCTCTCTGTCTCTGTCTCTGTCTGTTGCTCTCACTCTCCTACACCCATTATTATGTTTCTCCTCCCAGACTCTTGGTGTCTCAGCTGCAGGTGCAGGACAGGAGGCATGAGGAGGAGATGGAGGAGCTGAGAGAGGAGGTGCTCAGGGTGAGGGAGGAGAACAGGCAGCAGCAACAGTTCCTCTCCCAGAGCCTTCTGCTCCCCCAGGAGGCCCGCCTCGAGGCCAGCATGCACCACGAGATCACACGCCTTACCAGCGACAACCTGGTAGGTACCAGCCAGGGCTGTGTTCAGCAGGGCACAACATTGTGGAACGTTCAGATGTAAATATGTTCTGTAGGACTCTCTGACACGTTAATAAGGAATAAGGTCAGGTCTATTGAGGACTTCCATCTTCCAGGACCTGATGGAGCAGCAGGGGAAGCAGGACAAGATGATCCGCAAACTCAAAAAACAGCTCAAAGTCTACGCCAAGAGGGTGGAAGAATACGAAGGTACACACACACAGACACACACACACACAAACACAAACACACACACACATACAGACACAGTTTAATGCGTTTGGCAGATCATTAATATAATCTATAAATAATAGAGATCCAAGAATCGATCCCTGTGGAACATTATGATCTCCAGAGTTTACTTCTTTGAAGTTTTACTGCATGTGTCCATTAGTTGATTATCACGTATAATATACTGATTCATTTCTACAATATTAAAAGTTATTATGTTTTTTTTTTCAAAACTGTATTGGACGTCACCGGTACTTCTCTCTCTCCTGGTCGTTGGTCTCAGTAGAAAGCGGTCAGATGGAGAAGGTGACTCCAGGTCCAGGGCCTTGCTCTCCTGGTCGTATCACCCGGAAGGAGAGGGACTTCCAAGGCATGCTGGAGTACCGGAGAGGGGATGAGAGCAAACTGCTGAAGAGTCTGGTTGTGGGTAGGTACTGCATGTTTCCCTGTCATTTTGCAGCAAATACCTCTTTTTACATATTTACCTATTGGGTTGTGTTTGGTACACCGATAGTGGAAAAAGTAAATATTCGTAACATGTAAAAGGCATAAATTGATTGATTTGATATATCTGTCTTTGTCGGAGCTGAAGCCTCGAGGTGTGGCTGTTAACCGTGCTGTGTTAAGGCGGCAGGTGAAAAATCTGTCAATGTGCCCTTGAGCAAGGCACTTAACCCTAATTGCTCATGTAAGTCTCTCTGGATAAGAGCGTCTGCTAAATGACTAATATGTTTGTTTTTTAATTATGTTGACTTTGTTACATTTACATTTACATTTTAGTCATTTAGCAGACGCTCTTATCCAGAGCGACTTACAGGAGCAATTAGGGTTAAGTGCCTTGCTCAAGGGCACATTTACGTCATTTAGCAGACGCTCTTATCCAGAGCGACTCACAAATTGGTGCGTTCACCCTATAGCCAGTGGGATAACCACTTTACAAATTTTTTTTGGGGGGGGGGGTGTAGAAGGATTACTTTATCCTATCCCAGGTATTCCTTAAAGAGGTGGGGTTTCAAATGTCTCCGGAAGGTGGTGAGTGACTCCGCTGTCCTGGCGTCGTGAGGGAGCTTGTTCCACCATTGGGGTGCCAGAGCAGCGAACAGTTTTGACTGGGCTGAGCGGGGAACTATGCTTCCGCAGAGGAAGGGGAGCCAGCAGGCCAGAGGTGGATGAACGCAATGCCCTCGTTTGGGTGTAGGGACTGATCAGAGCCCGAAGGTACGGAGGTGCCGTTCCCCTCACTGCTCCATAGGCAAGCACCATGGTCTTGTAGCGGATGCGAGCTTCAACTGGAAGCCAGTGGAGTGTGCGGAGGAGGGGGGTGACGTGAGAGAACTTGGGAAGGTTGAACACCAGACGGGCTGCGGCATTCTGGATGAGTTGTAGGGGTTTAATGGCACAGGCAGGGAGGCCAGCCAACAGCGAGTTGCAGTAGTCCAGACGGGAGATGACAAGTGCCTGGATTAGGACCTGTGCCGCTTCCTGTGTAAGGCAGGGTCGTACTCTCCGAATGTTGTAGAGCATTGTTGTGATAACTGTGTTGTGACTGTGTTAATCCTCAGAGCTGAAGCCTCGCGGTGTGGCGGTTAACTTCCTCCCTGGTCTGCCGGCCTACATCCTGTTTATGTGTCTGAGACATGCTGACTACTCTAATGATGACCAGAGAGTCAGTATCCTGCTCAACTCTACCATCAACAGCATCAAGGGAGTCCTCAAGGTACAGCGTTAGCATCAAGGGAGTCCTCAAGGTACAGCGTTAGCATCAAGGGAGTCCTCAAGGTACAGCGTTAGCATCAAGGGAGTCCTCAAGGTACAGCGTTAGCATCAAGGGAGTCCTCAAGGTACAGCGTTATCATCAAGGGGGTCCTCAAGGTAAAGCGTTAGCATCAAGGGAGTCCTCAAGGTAAAGCGTTAGCATCAAGGGAGTCCTCAAGGTAAAGCGTCAAGGGAGTCCTCAAGGTACAGCGTTAGCATCAAGGGAGTCCTCAAGGTACAGCGTTAGCATCAAGGGAGTCCTCAAGGTAAAGCATCATGGGAGTCCTCAAGGTAAAGCGTTAGCGTCAAGGGGGTCCTCAAGGTAAAGCATCATGGGAGTCCTCAAGGTAAAGCGTTAGCATCAAGGGAGTCCTCAAGGTAAAGCGTTAGCATCAAGGGGGTCCTCAAGGTAAAGCGTTAGCATCAAGGGAGTCCTCAAGGTAAAGCGTTAGCATCAAGGGAGTCCTCAAGGTACAGCGTTAGCATCAAGGGGGTCCTCAAGGTAAAGCATCATGGGAGTCCTCAAGGTAAAGCGTTAGCGTCAAGGGAGTCCTCAAGGTACAGCGTTAGCATCAAGGGGGTCCTCAAGGTAAAGCGTTAGCATCAAGGGAGTCCTCAAGGTACAGCGTTAGCATCAAGGGAGTCCTCAAGGTAAAGCATCAAGGGAGTCCTCAAGGTACAGCGTTAGCATCAAGGGAGTCCTCAAGGTACAGGGTTAGCATCAAGGGAGTCCTCAAGGTAAAGCATCAAGGGAGTCCTCAAGGTAAAGCGTCAAGGGAGTCCTCAAGGTAAAGCGTTAGCATCAAGGGAGTCCTCAAGGTAAAGCATCAAGGGAGTCCTCAAGGTACAGCGTTAGCATCAAGGGAGTCCTCAAGGTAAAGTGTTAGCATCAAGGGGGTCCTCAAGGTAAAGCGTTAGCATCAAGGGAGTCCTCAAGGTAAAGCGTTAGCATCAAGGGAGTCCTCAAGGTAAAGCGTTAGCATCAAGGGAGTCCTCAAGGTAAAGCGTTAGCATCAAGGGAGTCCTCAAGGTACAGCGTTAGCATCAAGGGGGTCCTCAAGGTACAGCGTTAGCATCAAGGGGGTCCTCAAGGTAAAGCGTTAGCATCAAGGGAGTCCTCAAGGTACAGCGTTAGCATCAAGGGAGTCCTCAAGGTAAAGCGTTGCCTTGTTTTAGTATACTGTAGGTCTCTCTGTGCTTTATCAGTTTGTAGATTTGTATTTTGATAGGCCTATACTATTGTATGCTAATGGGTTTCAGTTTGTGTTGACTGCTAATGAGGGCGGCGGGTAGCCTAGCGGTTAGAGGGTTGGGCAAGTAACAAAAAGGTCGCTGGTTCGAATACCCGAGCCGTCAAGTTGGAAATCTGTCCATGTGCCCTTGAGCAAGGCACTTAACCCTAATTTGCTCCAGGGGCGCCGTGCTACTATGGCTGACCCCTGTAAAAACAACACATTTCACTGCACCTATCCAGTGTATGTGACAATAAAACATCTCATTAAATGTGAGCTTGAACATGACATCACATACTGAGGATGCCAAGTCAAGTTCAGTTGACCCATTGTAAAGTCCCGCCCTTCCTCTTTTTTCTTCTTCTTTTTTTTCCAGAGGCGAGGAGATGACTTTGAGACTGTGTCTTTCTGGCTGGCCAACACCTGTCGGTTCCTACAATGCCTAAAGCAATACAGTGGAGAGGAGGTATGTTGGAGAGGATTAGTCTCTCACCACAGTTTTTTGCTCAACTGATTTGAACACTTTTAGTCCACAGCTACCAAGCACATGTAAATGACATCACAACTGTTTGCTTAGCGAGTACCGCTTCCTCCTGAGTCGGCTCCAACCCAGAACCTCTCCCACCCCCCCCCGAAGCATCTTATCCAGTTGCGCCACTGAAAACCTAGCTATTCCGTAGCGCAAATGGAGACACTTCAAGACTGTGGAATGAGTTTCACAGATGCCCATCTGCTACACACACAAGATTTAGTGGCAGGTTCTGTGATTCGGATGGAAACACTAACCCCTGTGTTAACTGCTTTACAAACCCTAACAGCGGTTTGACCTCTGTTCATAACCATCTCCTCTCTATAGGCATTTGTGAAGAACAACACCCCGCAGCAGAATGAGCACTGCCTGTGTAACTTTGACCTGTCAGAGTACCGTCAGGTCCTCAGTGACCTGGCCATCCAGAACTACCAGCAACTGGTCAGATGCATGGAGGAGACCCTGCAGCCTATGATAGGTGATATTTAGCAGACGCTCTTATGCAGAGCCACGTACAATCAGTGTATTCAACTAAAGGAAGGAAATTAACCACATACTATGATCGGAGTATGATGATCATGATAATTGCAAGTAAAACCTTCAAATTAGCAATGCTAGTAAGAATTAGCAACGCTAGTAAGAATTAGCAACGCTAGTAAGAATTAGCAACGCTAGTAAGAATTAGCAACGCTAGTAAGAATTAGCAACGCTAGTAAGAATTAGCAATGCTAGTAAGAATTAGCAATGCTAGTAAGAATTAGCAATGCTAGTAAGAATTAGCAATGCTAGTAAGAATGAACAATTCTAGTAAGAATTAGCAATGCTAGTAAGAATGAACAATTCTAGTAAGAATGAACAATGCTAGTAAGAATTAGCAATGCTAGTAAGAATTAGCAATGCTAGTAAGAATTAGCAACGCTAGTAAGAATTAGCAATGCTAGTAAGAGTTAGCAATGCTAGTAAGAGTAAAGGCAAAACAAGTACGGTAGTGACGCTTTCAACCCCCATGCTTCTGAAATAACCATGCAAGGAAGAGTAGCACTACTCACACAGTCCAAATGAGAAACAACAACAAAACAACTTAACAAACAAGTGACATTTTATTGTACCAACAATATCACAGTTCCAGGTATGCTGGAGCATGAGAACTTCCAGGGTGTCCTGGGGTCCAAACCCACGGGCCTACGAAAGAGGACGTCCAGTTTCCCGGGAGAGGCTGTTTACACGGTGGACAGCATCCTACAGCAACTCAGTCTCTTCCACGCCACCCTGTCTCAGCATGACGTTGACCCCGAGCTCATCAAACAGGTGTGTGTGTGTGTTGAGGCGTAAACTTCAAAGAAGTAAACTCTTGAGATAAATCTAGATGTGGTGTTCCATAGGGATCGATTCTTGGACCTCTGTTATTTTAAGTTGATATGCTATATGCTATATGCTATCTCCCAGGGGGTGAGGCAGCAGTTCTACATCATCTGTTCTGTCACTCTCAACAACCTGCTGCTGAGGAAGGACATGTGCTCCTGGAGTAAAGGACTGCAGATCAGGTACAGCCCTTTCACGCAAAAAAAAATATTGATATATAAGCTACAGAGTACAGGCCCCAAGAATGACACCTGGGAAAACCCTCATTGTACACTTGTGGTTTTTCGAAAAACAAATTTAAGATATTAAGATTGACTTGTTAAAGGACTGACTATTTGTTCTGATAAGATGATTGAGCGTCGACGAATGTATTGTGGCTGATTTTGAAACAGTAATACCTGTTTGTTACAAAGTGGCTGTCTGTCTGTACTGTGGTTTTTTTGATAACTGTAAAAAGGGCTTTTATAAATACATTGGATTGATTGGTTTCTCTCTAGGCACAAGTGACAGCTGGAGGAGAGTTGAGCTGTCAGATTGTGGAGCTAAAGAGATGGGTTAGGGTTAGGAGTTTGTCCTCAAACTGGGTGGTGGTGGGGGGTGTGTTTCTCACTCTAGGTATAACGTGTGGCAGCTGGAGGAGTGGCTGGAGGAGAAGGGGCTGTCCGACTGTGGCGCTAAAGAGATGCTGGAGCCTCTGATTCAGGCTGCTCAGTTGCTACAGGTCAAGAAGAAGACGGAGGAGGACGCCCAGGCTATCTGCACCATGTGCTCTGCCCTCACCACAGCGCAGGTAGGAGCTATCACTAGAGGATACATAGCCTGGTTCCAGATCAGTTTGCGCTGGCTTTCCAACTCCAGATAGACTGGAGTTGGATACACAGTAGTAGTAACTGCCAATATTTCTTCTTCATTCTGAGCCATGTGATCTCGTCTATTGATCATCTCACGATTCTGTTCAATTCTGTTTTCTCTTGTCAGATTGTGAAAGTGCTAAACTTGTACACCCCAGTGATTGAATTTGAGGAACGGGTTTCAATATCATTCATTGCAACCATACGGGTAAGGAGTTTGTCTGCTTGTCTCTGTGTATACTTTGCTCGCTCTCCTTATATATTGTCACCGTGTCATTGAGTTGTTCTCTCTTTGTCACCCTCAGGCCCTGTTGAAAGGCCGTGTTGAGTCCCCGCTGCTTCTTATGGACACCAAGAAGATATTGTCTGTGACGTTTCCCTTCACCCACTCTCCCCTGGCTCTGGAGACCATTCAGATCCCTAGCAGTCTGAATCTAGGATTCCTCACGCGGGTCTGACCCCCGACCCCTGACCCTTCCCCACTGGCATTAAAAGTGCATGCTTCCTTCCTCCCTTCCTTGAAGTCATCTCTGATTACACATAGTTGGACAGGTTTGATTACTTCAAGGAAGGGAGGAAGACATTTGAACGGCGCCCAGGAATTCTCCCCTTGGGCCTGAGGGCTGAGGGAACTATATGATTAACCAAAGATGCCTGACCATTCCTGTTTTACAATGCCTTTAAAAGTCAAGTCAGTTTTCATCATTTTGTCCTGACCACTTAGAATAGAAACAAAGAACATTGGAGACACTTTGTAATAATATGATGTATTGGCGAGAGATTAGATGTTTACAAATTATATTATAATAAATAATGAATCTTTTAGCAATATTCAGCAATATTTACAATATACTCAGTGTTTCCCCTATATGTATTTAGCAGCGGCACGCTGCCAAAACGTGGAATAATTTTCAGGACGGTAAAAACGTTTTCAGTGTGGAAAAAAACGTTTTCAGTATGAACTTAAACCATATATAAAGTATGTAGAAAAGATAATGGTGTAAAATATTTTTAAATACGATCATCTTTGAGAACGAACAATCACCAAGATAAGAACTAGACAGTCAGGGAAATTCCAAAAAATGTCATGGCATGGGGCCCACATTGATTTAGTTATAATGTTTGAGTCGTTCAGATAGCTTAAGAACAAGGCATAAGCCATGGCAAAATGTTTACAATTGCAGGAAATTCATTTTTAAACTCAAAATGTTATCTCTGCCCCATGACAAAATGTGTAGAATTGCAGGAAATATCTTTAAAACAGAAACATTTCTCTGCAGCCAAGAGGAGTGTCACTAAAACACTGCTGCTGGGAAAAAATCCTGATACTGTTTATTTGTTAATGTATGCACAGGGAAATGGCACTGTCTTATATATTATATGCATTAAGGAATAATAAATAGTTTGACACAACTATACTGAACAAAAATATAAACGCAACAAGTTCAACGATTTTACTGAGTTACAGTTCATATAAGGAAATCAGTCAATTGAAATAAATTCATTAGGCCCTTAGCTATGGATTTCACATGACTGGGAAGACAGATATGCATACCTTTTAAAATAAGGCTATGGGCGTGGATCAGAAAACCAGTCCGTATCTGGTGTGACCACCATTTGCCTCATGCAGCACGTCACATCTCCTTCGCATAGAGTTGATCAGGCTGTTGATTGTGGCCTGTGGAATGTTGTCCCACTCCTCTTCAATGGCTGTGCGAAGTTGCTGGATATTGGCGGGAACTGGAACACGCTGTCGTAAAAGTCGATCCAGAGCATCCCAAACATGCTCAATGGGTGGCATGTCTGGTGAGTATGCAGGCCATGGAAGAACTGGGACATTTTCAGCTTCCAGGAATTGTGTACAGATCCTTGTGACATGGGGCTGTGCATTATCATGCTGAAACATGAGGTGATGGCGGCGGGTGAATGGCACGACAATGGGCCTCAGGATCTCGTCACGGTATTGCTGTGCATTGAAATTGCCATCAATAAAATAGAATTTTGTTCGTTGTCCCTATGCCTGCCCATACCATAACTCCACCGCCACCATGGGGTGAAAAATGTATGCACTCACTAACTGTAAGTCGCTCTGGATAAGAGCGTCTGCTAAATTACTAAAATGTAAATGGGACACTGTTTACAACGTTGACATCAGCAAACCGCTCGCCCACACGACACCATACAAGTGGTCTGTTGTGAGGCTAGTTGGATGTACTGCCAAATTCTCTAAAAAGACGGAGGTGGCTTATGGTAGAGAAATTAACATTCAATTCTCTGGCAACAGCTCTGGTGGACATTCCTGCAGTCAGCATGCCAATTGCACGGTCTCTCAAAACTTGAGACATCTGTGGCATTGTGTTGTGTGGCAAAACATTTTAGTGGCCTTTTATTGCCCCCAGCACAAGGTGCACTTGTGTAATAATGATGCTGTTTAATCAGCTTCTTGATATGCCACACCTGTCAGGTGAATGGATTATCTTGGCAAAGGGAAAAACGCTCACTGACAGGGATGTAAACAAATTTGTGCACAAAATTCGAATGAAACAAGCTTTTTGTGCTTATGGAACATTTCTGGGATCTTTTATTTCAGCTCATGAAACATGGGACCAACATTTCACATGTTGCGTTTATATTTCTGTTGGAGGGTAACGGCCTTGCACTGAGAGCTGGGGTCAGGGCAGTACTACTGCTTTTTATTAACCAAAGTAAATGTATTTCCATGAGGGTTTGTACCGTATATATTTGGCAGCCAAAGTCAGTTGGTTTGGCTGATACTGACCTATGTAATGTAGGGTTAATGCTTATTGCCTTTGTAGTGCTTGTTGCTTTCCCATATATCACAGTAAATATGAATATCATAAGCACCACTCCTATTGTACACTGTGTGCTGGACACAGCAGCCAAAGAACCTTGTTGTTGACTCACCCTACTGTGTGCCATTGCTTCCATAGAGATTAAGTGACCATCTAGTTTCCTAAATGTATAAACCTGAATATCTCCTCAAATGCTTTACAGTCGTTTTTAATATTGTTTTATGACTGTAAGAATGTCTCATGAATAATTCCGTGAGTTCCATGAGATGTTTGTTTGTTTGCTTTGTTGTGACCAGGATGTCGGTGTTTATTTGTTATTGTGCACCTAAAGGCTTTAGGTAAATAAAAGATGGTGAGGTATTTGAAAGGGAAAAAATGTTTGAGTGGGTTTTGAATAGGCGATCATAGTGTGAACTGAGAAATGAATTTATTTACATTAAAATATGGCCAGCTTCCATATAATGCCACGTGGATTAAATATCACACAACTGCTGGGAAAAAGGTGAGCGACATATATAGACTACATTTTTGCTTCTGTATCCCATTGTATTCCTTGAGTAAACGCAAGGTGCATACCATAGAATCACCCTCACAACTAAAAGCCTGCTGAGGTATGTATCCTGTTTCTATTGTTGTCTGACTCTGTTCAAATGAACACACCCCTAATGTCAAGCTGCTGTCACAAGACTGATGGGCGGGACGATGAAGGCAAAGTCCACTGCACAGGTAAGACGAACGCCTGGGGAAGTTGTCGACACGGTGGTTTACACGCCAGTGACGGTATGGATGTTGTCGGCTGAACGCGCGGATTGTTGAGCTTTACTACCATGGCTTTGTCGGAACTTTACACGAAGGTGAGCAAATAATGGAAGAGAAAAGTGATACATGTTTTTAACTTATTCGATCTTCATACGGAATCTCAATCGCTTTGTTATAACACCTGCTGAAAACGTTGACGGATTTTTTTTATGACTAACATATGGTGCAAATTGTCCACCTGAATACAGTTTGGGAAATGATTATGCAAATGAGTTTCCAACTTTCCTTATAGGCTATTACCATATTGCTGTGCTATAACTAATGACATAGACCACAATAATAAAGTCACGTATCTGTACAATTTTGAAACTGTTGATATACCAAAAAGTAAATAGTGGCATTCACTCATCTCCATTCATCATTAGAAAGTAGGCTATAATTAATTGGCATGCTCATTCAGTACAACAGAGTGTGGATACCGGATGCAGAGCATGTCTGGAAGTCCGCAGAGATCCTGAGCGACTTCAAACCTGGAGATGAAACTTTACAACTGCAGCTTGAGGATGGCACTGTAAGTAATGAACACAGAGACTGTGAACCGGGGGTAACAAAAAAGAAAGAAAGAAATTATAAAAATATATATAAAACAGAAAATTATAAAAAGAAAAAAGAAAAAATACATTGTAAAGTGGTTATCCCACTGGCTATAAGGTGAATGCACCAATTTGTAAGTCGCTCTGGATAAGAGCGTCTGCTAAATGACGTAAATGTCTGCAACCTTTTCTAGCATGAGAAACTTTTTTTTTAAATTACATGTTACTAATAACTTTCAAATAGGAATTCTTCTCTTCTCCTCTCCCAGGTTCTTAGTACAAGAGAAAGTAGTGCACTATATTTTCTGTCGATATACCTGGTAAAATAATTATTCATAAACAACTAATCTGTGATCCAGATTTGTTTTTAACTCTCAAAATTACAGTTGTTCAAAGAAAAACAACAAATTGGATGTTCTGAGTCCATGTCATTGCATAAATCACATCTGAAGATCTTTTTTTTTTTTTTTTTGGTCTGGAAGAAAACTAACACATTTGGATTTTGTGTGTGTAATTCCCCTTTAATTGCGCATCTCGCGAGTGAGGAATGTGTCATCTAATGCTGGGCACGACACTTCTAAGATCTTAACAACTCGGATGTGCTCACATTTCCCGATTTCCTTGTCCCAAATCTTTCATAACGTCCATCCTCAACCCCAGGACGTGGGTGCTCACGTTACACGATGATTCCCTAGTTACACGACGATTCCCCTGCGTTTGTCGGGGGAAAAAATGCCGACATTGTGTCGGCGAGATGCGTTATAAGTGTGCACTTTTATGTGCAGAAACATTTCAAAAAGAGACGGCGGCCCAGGATATGGACCCGCAGACGTGAACAAGATGAACTTATATTGTGAATTGGCCGTAAGAACGTTTAATATTGAAAAGGCAGCCGCATTCTCTCCACAGTTTCACCTATTTCTACAAATGATCTTCTTAATATCTGATTTTAAACCAAACCTTAACCACGCTGCTAATCATTTTTTGGGTCTCACATGCTGAGTGCTGATTGGCTATTGGCAGTAGTCCTTGTCCAATCGCGTCGTAGCGCATATACAAGCTGCACCGCCAAAGTTGTCCGAAAGTTATCAGGACGTCCGACAGGGGTCTGGAGAAGCGAACAGTCATCACCAGTGCGTCATTTTGACCCGCTCAAACTACGCGAGTCCCGACATACTGATCCTAGCCCAAGTTCACAGGATTTCACCCCGATCATGAACATTCGTCTGAGACGGCAAAAACGTGGCAAATACCTAGCGAAATCGTGTAGCGTATGCCTGGCATAACGATGTGACGGTCTAGCGATGGTTTTGTACTACTGCTCATTTCGTGGCAAAGTTTGCAAATAACAAATAGTAGATACAAATAATATACATACTCATGATATACTTCTGCCAGGTAAACCTACTTTGCGGTTAACATTTCATTGAGAAGGTTTTGGGGAAAGTATTTCTGTCAACTCACAAGATGGGCAATATTGCTGGAAATGAATTGCCAGCTATAGTGTTAGGTTAGGCTTTTTTTAAGCCAATAGTGGCTAACCAGGAGTGGGGTAATGTCAAATTTGCGTTGATTAGATAGTAACTGGGAGATTGCGGTGTCTGATTTGGTTTATGGCAGTTTGTGGTGGAACACGTGAAAATTGCATGTACTTTCAGAATTGTTTGGTGAGCTTCTCATTGGTGGGCTGCAAGCTACTGGTAGCTCGCGGTCGACCTGTTGGAGACCCCATGCTATGAACTACAAACCACAATACTCTGCGCTGGACTGGATGTGTAGTTTCAGTTTGAATGACGACATACGCTTGCATACACTTGAATGACAGCAAACACCTGCAGCAGGTAGCCTAGTGGTTAAGAGTGTTGGGCTAATAACCGAAAGGTTGCTGGTTCGAATCTCCGAGATGACTAGGTGAAAAATCTGTCGATGTGCCCTTGAGTAAAGCACTAAACCCTAATTGCTCCTGTAAGTCGCTCTGGGTCTGCTAAATGACTAAAATGTTAAATAGTGTATTTATTGGGAGAATCTTTCATTTATCTCTAGCTCAGTACTTTCACTCATCAATTTGTCAATGGCAAGAATAGGACATGTAAAACAAGAATAGGACATGTAAAACAAGAATAGGACATGTAAAACATACAGCATACTTTTAATGCTGAGATGCTGTATTGCTTCTTAGTCCAGGACTATGCTTACTGTACTCTGTGTCCGGGAAACTGGCCATAGAGGCTTTAGATCACCAACATCACACTGTTTTTCCCCTGTAGGAGACGCTTTACCCCCTGGACACATCCAGTCCTCAGCTCCCTCACCTCCGCAACCCTGATATCCTGGTTGGGGAGAATGACTTGACAGCTCTCAGCTACCTCCATGAACCAGCCGTACTGCACAACCTCAAAGTGCGCTTCGTGGAGTCCAAGATCATCTACACCTACTGCGGTACTAAAGAAAAATGCTTCCCCAGCTGTCTAATGGGGACGTCTTTGTTTTACTGTTTAGTTTATCTGCTGTCTTTACTGCATGTAGAGATGGAACAGGAAAAGTTCATGTCTGGGTGATGAGTTGTTGCTTTGTGTTTGTATAAAATGTAGGAGATGAGATATTATATTCGGAGGGCAATATATCTATTCAATTATTTTCTATTCTATATTAGGAGCATACTATGTGAAAGCAAATAGGGTAACTCTGACTGTACTGAATGCCCTGATGGCTTCCTTCACTCCCTTTCAGGAATCATCCTGGTGGCTGTTAATCCATACAAGCAGCTTCACATCTATGGCGATGCAGTCATCCATGCGTACTCTGGACAGAACATGGGAGATATGGACCCTCACATATTCGCTGTGGCAGAGGAGGCTTACAAACTGATGGCCAGGTAAAAAATGAGACCCGACTGTTTCGGGGACTGGTTTAGTGGTAGTGATGCCTTCCCCGGACCACAGTATGCTCCTGGAGGCATGCTCCTGGAGGCATGCTCCTGGAGGCATGTTCCTGGAGGCCCCCTACTAACTTCCTATTCTATAGCATTTAATTTACAAACAGTACAGGAATGAAATCATCAACACGTATTGGATCATATCTTTACCAATGCTGCAGAAATTTGTTTGAAAGCAGTATCCAAATCCCATCGGATGTAGTGATCACAATATAGTAGCCATATCTAGGAAAACCAAAGTTCCAAAGGCTGGGCCTAATATTGTGTATAAGAGGTCATACAATACGTTTTGTAGTGATTCCTATGTTGTTGATGTAAAGAATATTTGTTGGTCCGTGGTGTGTAATGACGAGCAACCAGACGCTGCACTTGACACATTTATGAAATTGCTTATGCCAGTTACTAATAAGCATGCACCCATTAAGAAAATGACTGTAAAAATTGTTAAATCCCAGTGGATTGATGAGGAATTGAAAAATTGTATGGTTGAGAGGGATGAGGCAAAAGTAATGGCAAATAGGTCTGGCTGTACAACCGATTGGCAAACATACTGCAAATTGAGAAATCATGTGACTAAACTGAATAAAAAGAAGAAGAAACTACAATATGAAACAAAGATAAATGACATAAAGAATGATAGTAAAAAGTTTTGGAGCACCTTAAATGACATTTTGGGCAAAAAGGCAAACTCAGCTCCATCATTCGTTGAATCAGATGGCTCATTCATCACAAAACCCACTGATATTGCCAACTACTTTTAATGATTTTTTAATTGCCAAGATTAGCAAACTTAGGCATGACATAACAGCAACAAATGCTGACACTACACATCCAAGTATATCTGACCAAATGATGAAAGACAAACATTGTAATTTTGAATTCCGTAAAGTAAGTGTGGAAGAGGCGATACAATTATTGTTGTCTATCAACAATGACAAGCCAACGGGGTCTGACAAGATTACTGAGGATAATAGCGGACAATATTGCCACTCCTATTTGCCATATCTTCAATTTAAGCCTACTAGAAAGTGTGTATGCCCTCAGGCCTGGAGGGAAGCAAAAGTCATTCCCATACCTAAGAATAGTAAAGCCCCCTTAACTGGCTCAAATAGCCGACCAATCAGCCTGTTACCAACCCTTAGGAAAAAATGATGTTTGACCAGACAAGAGGTCTCTTCACAGTCCCCAAGTCCAGAACAGACTATGGGAGGCGCACAGTACTACATAGAGCCATGACTACATGGAACTCTATTCCACATCAAGTAACTCAAGCCAGAACTAAAATTAGATTAAAAAAAAAAAACATTAAAAAATACACCTTGGCAGCAACTAATTGGGATCCATAATAAATACAAATCTGTTTTCCCATCGTACATTTGAACCCTTTGGGCCGATCTGTCCATATAACTTCTCCTTGAAATGAGATCAACTGTCAAATGTTCAACAAATGAGAAGCTAAGAGTGTGAAATATACAGGATTCCCACTCAGATATTTCCTTTCTCAGGAACAATAAGAACCAGTCTATCATAGTGAGTGGTGAGTCTGGAGCGGGAAAGACTGTGTCTGCTAGATACGCCATGAGGTACTTCGCTATGGTCAGCAAGTCAGGCAGCAACACGCACGTGGAAGACAAAGTTCTGGCATCCAACCCAATAACTGAGGTATGTTTTTTAAATCCATGTGTCCTAGCAGTGAATACATGTTACATGTAGCATCACGATATATGTGAATGAGTAATCTTATGTAATCTGTTCCATCTATGGGTTTGATCATCTGTGATAAAGAAAAGCCCCACAGTGTGATAGACGTGATCATCTGTAAATAAAGAAAGCCCCACAGTGTGATAGACGTGATAATCTGTAAATAAGGAAAGCCCCACAGTGTGATAGACGTGATAATCTGTAAATAAAGAAAGCCCCACAGTGTGATAGACGTGATAATCTGTGATAAAGAAAAGCCCACAGTGTGATAGACGTGATAATCTGTGATAAAGAAAAGCCCACAGTGTGATAGACGTGATAATCTGTAAATAAAGAAAGCCCCACAGTGTGATAGACGTGATAATCTGTAAATAAAGAAAGCCCCACAGTGTGATAGACGTGATAATCTGTAAATAAGGAAAGCCCCACAGTGTGATAGACGTGATAATCTGTAAATAAAGAAAGCCCCACAGTGTGATAGACGTGATAATCTGTGATAAAGAAAAGCCCACAGTGTGATAGACGTGATAATCTGTGATAAAGAAAAGCCCACAGTGTGATAGACGTGATAATCTGTAAATAAAGAAAGCCCCACAGTGTGATAGACGTGATAATCTGTAAATAAGGAAAGCCCCACAGTGTGATAGACGTGATAATCTGTAAATAAAGAAAGCCCCACAGTGTGATAGACGTGATAATCTGTGATAAAGAAAAGCCCACAGTGTGATAGACGTGATAATCTGTGATAAAGAAAAGCCCACAGTGTGATAGACGTGATAATCTGTAAATAAAGAAAGCCCCACAGTGTGATAGACGTGATAATCTGTGATAAAGAAAAGCCCACAGTGTGATAGATGTGATAATCTGACGGATCATGTCCAGTGTGTCACAGAGTTCCAGGCACAGATTGGCCTCACCAGCCACCGTACTTCTGATACGTCTTAATCTACAATGAGTTTTGATTATCATCAACTATGATGGACAAACTTGTAATCTGAGTTTTTTTTGTCAGGCTATAGGAAATGCCAAGACGACCAGGAACGACAACAGCAGTCGCTTTGGGAAGTACACAGAGATCAGCTTCGACAGGAGATATCAGATCATCGGGGCCAACATGAGGACGTATCTCCTGGAGAAATCTAGAGTGGTTTCCCAGGTCATACATCGCATACTTTATTCTCTGATTATATGTGGTGTATAACGTAGCATAGCAACTGTATAGTTGAGTCATGTTAAACATTTGGAAGGCTTCAGTGAATCACTGCTAGCCCGGTTCCAGATCTGTTTGTGTTGCCTTGCCAACTCTTTGCCATGACAACGGCCATATGAGTTGGCAAGACAACACAAACAGATCTTAATCATTGCATGCCTTTAGACAGTAATGCTATCTCTTTCTCTTCAGTCAGAGAGTGAGAGAAACTACCACATCTTCTACCAGATGTGTGCCTGTGCAGACCAGCCTGAGTTCAAGAGCCTGAGACTGTGTGAGTGACTGGAGTAGGAGTGGAATTTATTTAACCTGTAATCCTTCAGGTTTGTCTCATTGAGATAAAAAAAAAGTATATTAAGCAAGAGAGACCTGTTAAGCACCGGGGCTTGGCAGTTCTGCTACTGTATTAACTGTAGATGATAGATGGACGATACGGCCTCTAGACGGACGATACGGTCTCTAGACGGACGATACGGCCGATACGGCCTCTAGACGGACGATACGGCCTCTAGATGGACGATACGGCCTCTAGATGGATGATACGGCCTCTAGATGGACGATACGGCCTCTAGACGGACGATACTGCCTCTAGACGGACGATACGGCCTCTAGACGGACGATACGGCCTCTAGATGGACGATACGGCCTCTAGACGGACGATACGGCCTCTAGACGGACGATACGGCCTCTAGATGGATGATACGGCCTCTAGATGGACGATACGGCCTCTAGACGGATGATACGGCCTCTAGGTGGACGATACGGCCTCTAGATGGAAGATACGGCCTCTAGACGGACGATACTGCCTCTAGACGGACGATACGGCCTCTAGACGGACGATACGGCCTCTAGACGGACGATACGGCCTCTAGATGGATGATACGGCCTCTAGAAGGACGATACGGCCTCTAGACGGATGATACGGCCTCTAGGTGGACGATACGGCCTCTAGATGGAAGATACGGCCTCTAGACGGACGATACGGCCTCTAGACGGACGATACGGCCTCTAGACGGACGATACGGCCTCTAGACGGACGATACGGCCTCTAGACGGACGATACGGCCTCTAGACGGACGATACGGCCTCTAGATGGACGATACGGCCTCTAGACGGACGATACTGCCTCTAGACGGACGATACGGCCTCTAGACGGACGATACGGCCTCTAGATGGACGATACGGCCTCTAGACGGACGATACGGCCTCTAGATGGATGATACGGCCTCTAGATGGACGATACGGCCTCTAGACGGATGATACGGCCTCTAGGTGGACGATACGGCCTCTAGATGGAAGATACGGCCTCTAGATGGACGATACGGCCTCTAGACGGACGATACGGCCTCTAGACGGACGATACGGCCTCTAGGTGGACGATACGGCCTCTAGGTGGACGATACGGCCTCTAGGTGGACGATACGGCCTCTAGACGGACGATACGGCCTCTAGGTGGACGATACGGCCTCTAGGTGGACGATACAGGGTACAAGGTCAAGGTTTACTCAAACAATGACAAAGAGAATTAACAAAGATAGAGTACATGACACGAAGCAAAACAATCACACACAACATCCTACAGAACAGTCCAGGGCTAAATAGGGGTGGTGATGAGATGATGAGGTGCAGGTGCGCTGGAGGTGATTGGGGTGCGTTGGGTTTCCGTTCCGGTGTTGCCGAGGTGGTGCGCTCAGACGACCGGTGGCTCAGTAGACCGGCGAATCAGAGCGCCGGAGGGGAGCAACGGGAGGAGACGTGACACTCTGACTAGGCCATGAAGATCGTCATCTCAATTATTATTTATTTATTTGTATTTTACCGTTATTTAACAAGATGAGTCAGTATTTACACTGACATCCTAAAATAAATGGAGCAAATAATGTAGGCTACTGTTTTTTTTAATGGGTTAGTTCAATAACATGCTAATTAAAGTGTGTCTGTGTGCTTGTCCCGCTCCAGTGAGGGCAGATGAGTTCCGGTACACCAATATGGGTGGGGAGACTTGTATCGAGGGCGTGGACGACAGGAAGGACATGGAGGAGACACGCAGGACCTTTTCTCTGTTGGGTGAGAGGCGTCACTCTGTTCATCACTCTTTAGGTCAACATACTGCTTAGATCAACATGAACTGTTATCAGACGTTTGTTTGTTTGACCATGCATTTGTAGATGGCGCCTATATTTTAGAAGATGTTGCTTGCAGTGATCATGGTCGTGGTTGTTTACTTAGTTTAGTTGAATGCACCATCGAGAGCATCCTGACTGGTTGCATCACCGCCTGGTATGGCAACTGCTCGGCCTCCGACCGCAAGGCACTACAGAGGGTAGTGCGTACGGCCCAGTACATCACTGGGGCCAAGCTTCCTGCCATCCAGGACCTCTATACCAGGCGGTGTCAGAGGAAGGCCCTAAAAATTGTCAAAGACTCCAGCCACCCTAGTCATAGACTGTTCTCTCTGATACCGCACGGCAAGCGGTACCGGAGCGCCAAGTCTAGGTCCAAGAGGCTTCTAAACAGCTTCTACCCCCAAGCCATAAGACTCCTGAACATCTAATCAAACCCAGACTATTTGCATATGAAGTCCTTATGTAAGTACGTCTGCAGGATGCAGTGTTATCCCCCTGACTGTCCTGTGTCCTCCCTGTAGGGTTAACGGAGGACTTCCAGGCTGATGTGTTCAAGGTGCTGGCTGGGATTCTACATCTGGGAAATGTAGAGATCAGAAACGTTGGATCGGACAAATCATCAGTTAGTGTAAGTGTAACATTGGAAATCACAACCAGGTGCGAACTCACAAGCCTTCGCACTATAACACAACACACTCAAAATACACTTTCAGTACCATGGGCCCAGAAAAGCCAAGGTGTGTTCTGGGTTCGAGGGTGACAGTACTTCTAAGTCTCAGGAAAGCAGGAGCGATGCACTATGTATAGTTATAGTTTTGTCTTTACCCTCCCTCCAGTCCAGTGATCCCCACATGGCAGCCTTTTGCGACCTTCTCGGGGTCAGTCCTGACGGTGTTACCCGTTGGCTGTGCCACCGCCGCTTCGTCATGGTAACAGAGACTGTGGTGAAGCCGGTAACCAGAAAGCGGGCGGTGAATGCCAGAGATGCCCTCGCCAAGCAGATCTATTCGCATCTGTTTGACTGTGTCATCCATAAGATCAACGCAGCCCTGCAGGTCCCAGGGAAACAGCACTCCTTCATAGGAGTACTGGATATCTATGGGTAATTTGAATACGTTACATTACATTTGTGTAGTTTTTGCAGACGCTCTTATCCACAACGACAATTAAGGTACATTCAACTAAAGTGAGCTAAAACGATATAATATCACGATAATTTAAAACCTTCTTCAAAAATACATTGGTGTCAGTTATATTAACTGTAGGTTAGTTGTATTGTATAGTGTATAAATCATAATCTGTTCTTTTCACCCCATTTTGGCAACTTTTTCCTATTTTTCTTCAGCTTTGAAACATTTGACATCAACAGTTTTGAACAGTTTTGCATCAACTATGCCAATGAGAAACTGCAACAACAGTTCAACTTGGTATGTACTCTCTCTAGCTACGCCCACCTGAGATCTGGCATTGGGTTCTGGGATTACGGAGTCTGCAATGTCCCCTTATTCAAATTGTGGTGAAAGCCAATGCTCTTGTTTCACTGAAAGGTTGTAACAACCAACCAAAACCATAATTTTTCTGCTGTTTTCCTATATCAGCATGTGTTTAAACTGGAGCAGGAGGAGTACATGAAGGAGGATATTCCTTGGACTCTGATAGATTTCTATGACAACCAGCCGGTCATTGACCTGATTGAAGCCAAGATGGGCATCCTGGACCTGCTGGATGAAGAATGCCTGGTGAGACCAACGATCAAATCAAATCAAATTGTATTTGTCACATGCGCTGAATGCAACAGGTGTAGACGTTACAGTGAAATGCTTACTCACAAGCCCTTAACCAACAACGCAGTTTTTAAGAAAAATAAGTGTTAAGTAAACAATAGATAAGTAAAAAAATAAAATCAGGTAAATAACAGTAAATGTATACAACAATGATGTGTGTTATTTTTGTATGACAGGACAGTGGGAAGTATAAAAAGGGATAATGAACGAGGGAGCTCTGCGTTCTATGGAAAATAATGAACGACGTGGAAGGTGTGTTTCATGACGTGCTAGTGGAGTGGAACTGACCTTCCACGGAGTTGCATTATTTTCCAGAGAACGCGTAGAGCCCCGAGCTGATTATCCCTTTTTATACCATGGCTATAATTTAACACATTTGCCTCCTAGAAATGTGTTAAACTTTGTTATGATGCGTTTCTAGGGTATCAAGTAATTCATGATGCAAGGAGATAGTTAACACTTAGATGGGGAGTTCATTTAATATTGAATATGGTACCATGGTTCGCTATACCAATAGACATAGCCCTGCCTCTGGCTGAACACAGAATAAATATCATCTTATAGCACTCTGTTACACGTTTCTTCAACACATCTGGTACCCATCAGTGGGCATTCCCTTCTATGATGTTATTATCCTTTTACCCCAAGTCAGTATATCCTGTCCATCAATCATTCTAAGATCAACATCAGTAATCTCCTTTGACATAATGGAAGACTCTGTGGCACCAAGTCACTTATCTACTAACTCTAACCTGGTTCACACATCATATCAAACAATTTTTTATTTTTTATTTTTGGTCATTTAGCAGACGCTCTTATCCAGAGCGACTTACAGGAGCAATTAGGGTTAAGTGCCTTGCTCAAGGGCACATCGACAGATTTTTCACCTAGTCGGCTCGGGGATTAGAACCAGCAACCTTTCGATTACTGGCACAACGCTCTTAACCACTAAGCTACCTGCCGCCCACTGAGGTAGCTAGCAAGTTTACTAGAATAGCTACAGTAGTTGCCGTGGTAACCAAACAGACTTGCTAGTTTAGCTAACCAAACCATCAGTCCTAGCTTGCCATTTATGAAAATAGAATTAAACAATGCCAAAAATGTTTTCAATTCGACTTTTGCTTTCAAAAGCAGCTCAAACGTAGGACACGTAAGAATTAACTATAGCCGTTGAATTCTACCGTGCAAATATACTGTGCGTTTATAGGGAAATAATGCATGCTCTAGAATGCCCTTCAAGCCAGTCAGAAACAAGTATTCAACAATGCCATGGTATAATGGATGATATACAGTGGAGGGAGGGATCGAGAGAGGCTTCAACACCCGTCGCCATGGGCTACATGTATTCCAGAGTCAGCACACTACCACTAGCCTGACTGTGGCATATTGTTGTGTATTTCTAATACTGTATGTTACATTTGTAAATCTCTCTCTCTCTCTCTCTCTCCAGTTCCCCCAGGGTACAGATCAGAACTGGCTTCAGAAGCTGTATAACTACTTGGCTGACAACCCTCTGTTTGAGAAGCCCAGGATGTCTAACGAGGCCTTCATCATACAACACTTTGCTGACAAGGTGCAATCACACTCGGTCACACTCAATGGAACTTAGCAGGGTTGGACTGAATTCCATTTCAATTCAGTCATTTCAGGAAGCAATTGGAATGTCAGTTTACTTCCTGAAGTGACTACATTTCAATGGAATTCAACCCCATGCTCATTTTACACCAATCAATTGTTTTTATAGTTATTTTTTCATTCATTTGTAAAGGAAATATATTTTCTGTGTAATACGTGATTTTAACATTCTGTTCACACCCGTTCACCAATACATACCTCAAATCTGTTTCTTTGCTTTGAAATCTGTCTTGTGCCATTACAGGTAGAATATCAGTGCTGGGGCTTCCTGGAGAAGAACAGAGACACACTGTATGAAGAGCTGGTAGACACCATGAGAACCAGTAAGGTATGGTCTGACCTTTCCTTCTCATAGTGTTTCTTAACATGTTATTACATGCTTATTACAATTTTTATTAGTATTTATTTAACCGTTATTTTGAAAGGGAAGATATATTGAGACCTAGGTCTCTCTTCCAAATGGGCCCGGTATAATACAATATAAAATGCACATTAAACAGAAAAATAAATAAATAAATATTTATTATGCGTTAGAATACAAAATCACAGTTATGGTAAGCACAACTAAAACATCACAAATCACCCAGAAAAACAGTTACATTCATCCACAAATAAATCCCCAATCAACACTTTTTAAATTGCCCAAATTTTGTTCCAGCAATCCAGCAATACGGTGCATTAAAACTAAAAGCAGATTTACCCAGCTCGGTGGAGACCCTATGAACCTCGAGGTAACAAATCCTGTGAACGGGTTCTGCAACTCGGGTGTCTATACAGCAAAGTTCGATCTACCTTAACCCTTAATTTTTTTGAAGGGAGCATGATTATCCACAATAGTATTGAAGACCTTTGCAAAGAGGCTCAAAGCTAAATCAGGTTCAGGGATAGCTGAAATACAATCAAGGTCACTAAAATAAAGATCATGTAAAAAAAAAAAGCCTGTTCACTGAAGTTTTAAAAGTTCCTCTTTGTGACACGAGGCTTAGATGTTTGTATTCTCACGTCTCTACCACAAACAACTGGACAACGGTCACTAATGTCTTGGGCGAAGACACCAGTAGAAACATATTTCTCTGGTGTATTCATTAAAATGAGATCAATCGGAGATGACTTTGAAGGGTCTCTAGGGTTGGGCCGTGTAGGATTAGTCACCGGCTGGGTTAGGTTTAGATGATTACACATATTTTTTTAGATTGTCTGAAGCCTGCATTTCCCAATCATAATTTAGGTCACCCAGGATAATATCTTCTGATTTAGTAAAAGAAGACAACAAACGAGTTAACTCCTCGAGTGCACAGAGGTTAGCCGAGGGAGGACTGTAGACCTCTATAACAGTTATGGATAAATTTTTCCCCAGAAAAAGGCTTAAAGATAGTATCTAAAAAAAAAAATAATTGGCAAGAGAAATGGATTTCAATAAATTATTTTTTATAAGGGCGGCAGGTAGCTTAGTGGTTAAGAGCGTAGTGCCAGTAACTGAAAGGTCGCTGGTTCTAATCCCCGAGCCGACTAGGTGAAAAATCTGTCGATGTGCCCTTGAGCAAGGCAGTTAACCCTAATTGCTCCTGTAAGTCGCTCTGGATAAGAGCGTCTGCTAAAAATGACTAAAAATAAATAAAAATAAAAATAAGAACGGCCACTCCACCACATCTACCCTGTCTGTCAGATCTGAACACATGATAACCCTCAATATTAATATCAGAGTCCAGAATGTCCCGAGAGATCCAAAGTTTCAGTCAATACCAGAATGTCCGGATTCATCTGCATTGGCCCAGATCTTGATATAATGTAATCCACTGTAGGAAGTGAGCTCCTAATGTTCAGATGCATCAACCCAAGACTTTATAAAGTCACATGGAGTCTCCAACTCAAACAAGCTACGTTCAATAGGCGGTTGCAGGCCCTGTCTGATGGTTTATATTGATATAGTTGGTATGGCTATAAGATTGCTTAGAACTGCACCATTTGTTCCCTATTTGGAATAGAGGAAGGGGAAGAAATTGGAATTACTTTTACAAGGTTAGCGCCACAGGGCCTGAGGCCGTAGCCAATGTCAATATGAGGAACTCTGAATAACCAGTGATGACTTACATGGGCTTTGGTTGCTGTAGTGCAACCGCCCAAGCCCTCTACATGATTTGAAAAATGATTGGGTATGGAATTCACATTTTAGCTAAAAGCACTGGGTGGTGAGCAGACCACAGTGGGTTACTCTTTTGAGCTAACAATAGCAAGTCTAAGAGTGGAGTTCAAATGAATACATTACAACTGACAACACCCCTGGCAGTATAGACAACAGTACGACGATAACGCGTAGAGAGGATGGGAGGTATTACCTGAGCGGGGCTTGGTCTGTCTCTGGATCAATATCTTAACGCATGCCTTGAAATATGAAGAGGGGGTCCAGGCTCCTAGATGGTTTGGGTGGAGTCCATCATCCCTGTAGAGCATATTTTGTTTCCAAAAGGTGTCGAAATTGTCAATAAAAGTTATGCCAACAGAGTGGAAGTCGTTTCTTAGCTGCGACTCGGCACGGGACCAGATATAATCGGCTGCTTTTCAGAGCCTTTCAGGGTGTTGATCAGCTCAGTAAAAGCCTGTTTCGTTAGCTTTGATTTACCCTTTTTTGATGTAATTTGATTCCCACACGCAGTACGACAGCAGCAGCCCTTGGCTGCTGATGTAGGACGGACGGAAGAAATCCTTTGATATCCTTCACCGTAGCACAGGGTCTTTGCTCCAGGAACCAAAATGTGCCTATTTCATGTGTCTTACATGTTATTTCATGTCTATTACATGTTATTACATGTTATTACATGTTATTACATGCCTATTACATGCCTATTACATGCCTATTACATGTCTATTACATGTTATTACATGCCTATTTCATGTCTATTACATGTTATTACATGCCTATTACATGTCTATTACATGTTGTTACATGCCTATTACATGTTTAATTTGTGCTTATTATGCTCTTATTACATGTTATTACATGTATACTTAAAATAAAGTTACACTCTCTACATACTAGTCTTATTACATGTTTTAAACATACCTTGTTTGACCAATACTGGACTGTTACGTATGACTCATTCTATTCCCTAACACGATCAGTTTCCTCTCCTGGCCAACTTCTTCCTGGAGGAGGAGCCAGGCGGTGTGGGCAGTAAAGGCATTAAAGTGAGGCCCGCCCGGCCTGGGGTGAAACCAGCCAATAAGAATCACAGGACCACCGTGGGAGAGAAGGTAGGTGACCAACCATGTTTACATCGCTTAGAAAACCGGAATTACTATACTTACCATTAAAACAACATTATGTGTACGGGCTATTTTGAAATAGTCAAATGAAAGTCATTAATACGTAAAAATGTATGCGCACATGACTGTAAGTCGCTTTGGATAAAAGCTTCTGCTAAATGGCATATTATTATTATTATTATTATTATTATTATTATTGTTAATTCATCCACCTTTGCAATGGTATATGTAATAGAGCTTGTACCTTGTGTGACTGTCTGCATCCTCTGTATGTTTGTGACAGTTCCGCAGTTCTCTGTACCTGCTGATGGAGACTCTGAACGCCACCACCCCTCACTACGTGCGCTGCATCAAGCCCAACGAGGAAAAGATACCATTCGAGTAAGTAGGACCACACAGTACGTACTTAATGCTCTTCGTCCCGGATGGGACTTAAGGCCACAACAATCTTCTGCTACTGTAGTCTGAGTTGTCATTGTGCCCTGTCCCATGAGGGACCAATCTCTTCCAGCTCTGTACAGTAATGTATTTATAGTTAATATTGCAGTACAGTGTGTGTAAAATGGGGCTTGAAATCTGTGGCCAGACTCCAGTACTCTGTGTCTTCAAAAGGTTCATTCTGAAGTCTTAACTTTGTGTGTTGGGGTGTTTCTCAATATTGTCATCTTGATAACCCTGAGTGTGTCTTGGGGTGTTTCTCAATATTGTCATCTTGATAACCCTGAGTGTGTCTTGGGGTGTTTCTCAATTATGTCATCTTGATAACCCTGAGTGTGTCTTGGGGTGTTTCTCAATTATGTCATCTTGATAACCCTGAGTGTGTCTTGGGGTGTTTCTCAATTATGTCATCTTGATAACCCTGAGTGTGTCTTGGGATGTTTCTCAATTATGTCATCTTGATAACCCTGAGTGTGTCTTGGGGTGTTTCTCAATTTCTCAGGTATTACTCCAAGCAGCTGAGGACCTGGATATTATGAACCCTGAGTGTGTCATTGTGTCTTGTCAGGTATGACTCCAAGCGGGTGGTACAGCAGCTGAGGGCGTGTGGAGTCCTGGAGACCATTCACATCAGCGCTCAGAGCTACCCGTCCAGGTGATGCTGACCAGCATCCACACCTCCATACGTATACAACAATAACACTGCGGTGAACTCCACTGGGCCAGTTTCCCGGATACAGATTAATCAGTCACTGGACTTAAAAAGTATTCTCTTTAGAGACTATTTTGTTGAAAGTGCTTTTCAGTCCAGCACTTTATCTGTTTTTCTGGTTTAACCGTCCTTACAAGCTCAACCTTGTATTCACTTAACTGTGTTTTGATTGTCAGGTGGACGTACATAGAGTTCTACAGCCGATACAGTGTACTGATGAGCCAACAGGAGCTGCGCCTCGACGACAAGAAACAGACCTGTAGGACAGTGTTGCAGAGGCTGATTCAGGTGAGGGCTGAACATTATGCAGGAGATATGAGTCAACCTCCCCATTCTCTGCTTACTTTTCTATAGCACTGTTCTGACTTGAGATCTGTGCTCTTAACTGAGAATATTTGTTGCAAGTCTCCTGTTGACATCGATTTTTAATGATTTTTTTTTAGGGTAAAGTCAGTTGTGCGTGTGCTTAAAACACAACTCTGAACTGCCTCCTTGGTGAACCTGAGGATGTTGATGCGTATAGCCATCTGTTGTCACCCACTTTCCCTCCAGGACTCCAACCAGTACAAGTTTGGACGGACCAAGATCTTCTTCCGAGCGGGTCAGGTGGCGTACCTGGAGAAGCTGCGATTGGACCGTCTCCGAGGGGCGTGTGTGACCATCCAGAAGCATGTGAGGGGGTGGAGCCACAGGAGGAAGTTCCTTCGTATGAGGGACGCGGCCATCGTCCTCCAACAGTACGTCCGCGGACAGAGACAGATACGGTGAGTGTCGTGAATTCACAACCACTGGAGAGGGCAGTAGAGAGAGAGAGAGAGAGAGAGAGGGCAGTAGAGGGAGAGAGAGAGAGAGGGCAGTAGAGGGAGAGAGAGAGAGAGAGAAGAGAGAGAGAGAGATAGAGAGAGAGAGGGGCAGTAGAGATATAGAGAGAGTCGAGCGAGGTAGAGATATGAGAGAGTCTATAGCAGATGCCAGCTATATCTATTCTGCTATAGAGAGCTCTCTCGAGCTCTCTACTAGCGCCATCCCTCGTCTCTCTCTCTCTCTTCCTCGTCTCTATCTCCTCTCTCCTCTCTTCTCTCTCGCCTCTCTCGCTCTCTCCTCTACTCCTCCTCTCAGCTCCTTCGTCTCAGCTCAAATTTTGAGATCAGTATTAGAATGATCTTTGTCTCTCTAGTAAATCAGTGACGGCTGCAGCGTTGAAGCAAGGCTGGGCTGCTGTGGTCATTCAGAGGTACTGGAGAGGTTATCTGACCAGACAGATCTACAGGATGGTCCGTTCCTCCTCTATCACCATCCAAGCCTTCACTAGAGGCTGGATCGCCAGGAAACGCTACAAAAAGGTATTGCGCTGTGCCCTACCTGAAAAGATTTGATTTGGCTGTAGCTATCAACACATTGATGAACTACCGACCGAGACAGCATGGGAATCTCACTAGATGTCAGTACTCAGTGTGCACGTCTGTTTATGAAATGTGTGTGTGTGTGTGTGTAAACTCTCTCAGATGGTGGAAGTGCAGAAAGCCCTAATCTTACAGAAGTATGCCCGGGCATGGCTGGCGAGGAGACGCTTCCAGACCCTGCGGCGCCTCGTACACAACGTGCAGCTGTCCTACAGGTGCCAGCAACTCAGGAAGAAGCTGGAGGATCAGGTTAGAAAGTCCCCAAAAACAACAGTACAACACTGACCTCTGACCTGTCTTTGGAAGCGGTATGGGTTATTGAGATGGAGTCTCTTTTGGAAGCGGTATGGGTTATTGAGATGGAGTCTCTTTTGGAAGCGGTATGGGTTATTGAGATGGAGTCTCTTTTGGAAGCGGTATGGGTTATTGAGATGGAGTCTCTTTTGGATGCGGTGGGGTTATTGAGATAGGGTCTCTTTTGGATGCGGTGGGGTTATTGAGATGGAGTCTCTTTTGGAAGCGGTATGGGTTATTGAGATGAGGTCTCTTTTGGAAGCGGTATGGGTTATTGAGATGGAGTCTCTTTTGGAAGCGGTATGGGTTATTGAGATGGAGTCTCTTTTGGATGCGGTGGGGTTATTGAGATGGAGTCTTGATCTTGTGTTGGTGTAACAAAGAACGTGTACCGTAATCTCACTAAAGAGCTAGCTTGAACTGTCACAGATGGAGCCATCCAACTGGTACATTTTGGAATAGTTCAATCGGTTTGCACGTTGTCAAGTGGGCGGTCACGTGTGTTTGGCGAGGTAGAGGACCCTGGTTCAAGCCCAGACAGAGGCATGTTCAGGGAGGCAGCGCTAAATGCTAAGCTAACACACTGATTCCGGTTATACTGGCCTTGAGACCAGAATCTTGTTCTGGTCTCGATACAATGGGTCTGTCTGAGTCTGGGACCAATTTCCTGGTCTGGGTCTTGGTCTCAGCTCATGATCTCAGACTAGACCATAATCTTTGTAGTCACTCAACTCGTGTGGTCAAGAAACACACAGTTTATTTGTTGATGCACTGTGTGTCCTTCCAGGGCAAAGAGAACCGCGGGCTGCTGGAGAGGCTGACAAGTCTGGCCGGTTCTCACGCCCAAGGTCTAGACAAGCTGCACAGTCTGGAGGCCCAGCTGGGGAAATCGGCCACTGAGAAGGCTTCGCTAGAGGAGCGAGAGAAGAAGAGCAAGGAGGACGCCACCAAGACGATCGCCCAGCTTCAACAGGAAAAAGACCGGTTCATTGTGGAAAAGCAGGACTTAGAAAAGAAGCTTGCAGATTCAGCATCAGAGATGAAAGGTAAGAGAGAGGAAATGATGGCTGGGATGGTTCTGTTCTCTTTTTTTTAAAGGTGGTCTGTAGTCTCTCCCGAGTGGCGCAGTGGTCTAAGGCGCTGCATCCTGGGTAGGGGAGGTATTGGCCGGCAGGGATGTAGCTCAGTTGGTAGAGCATGGCGTTTGCAACGCCAGGGTTGTGGATTCGTTTCCTACGGCGGGCCAGTATGAAAAAAAAAAATTATATATATATATATATATATATAATGTATGCACTCACTAACTGTAAGTCGCTCTGGATAAGAGCGTCTGCTAAATGACTAAAATGTCAAATGTAGTTCAGGATTGCACTGGCATATATGATCCTGGTCCACCGAGCTGGATGAGACTGCTGCTATGGATTAGGATTGGGTGATATTTCGATAGTATCGGATATCGAAGATAATTAACAGCCATCGTCGATGGTGACGACATCGTGATGTGACAGACGATGTATAGCCTATTTCAACTTGACTGGCACCGCGCAGTAAAGAGCTTCAATAAATATGTTATAAAGAATTTACTGAATGCAAGAGCAGCGCAAAATGTAAGAAAATGTTTGTTTGGATGATCTTGGCCGTATAACGGACACTAATTATTTTAAAAGCCTAATTTTGTATTTCTTTCTCTCCCTTTTGATATGACTTGAGTTTTTCTGCCTGCTGGCTTTCTCCTGCCACGCTACTTCATGATCAAACAACACATTTATCAGACAGTTTTAAAGTTGTTTTGAATAACCCGGGACACAATAGGCCGACGGTGATAATGAGGTAGAACAACCAATAGGGCGACGGCGATAATGAGGTAGAACAACCAATAGGCCGACGGCGGTAATGAGGTAGAACAACCAATAGGCCGACGGCGATAATGAGGTAGAACAACCAATAGCAAGATAGAACAAGTGAACTAGCAGTTTGAACAAACCTTACAGTTGAGCAAAGCTTAGTCTATTATAAAAGATGCATGCATCCCTCCTCCTTGCCGTTGTGAACCAAAAGGCTAAAAGCCAAATCCTACTAATTTAAAATAGCCTATCAAAAGCATTAAGACAAGCTAAAGTTATGAAGAGTATTTCCCAAATAGGCTATTCTAATAAAGTGTTTGATGTCCTAAAGTTGCAGCTTTCAAATGGGAACAATTGTGAAAGTCACAGTCTATAGGCGATTTCTCTATCGCAGCTTTTATTTTGAATGACAAATATTACAGGCAACAAGAAGTGAAATTGAGCAAACAATAACAAGATGGAAAAATCGAATGAGAAGTAAAAAGAAAGCGTCAAAGAAACGATGTGTAGAGTAGGCCTATTTCCATAGCCTATTATTAGAAATGTAGGCTACAACCTACCTATAACTATAGAAGCCTTGACCTCCAAAATTTGAATAATTATCCAGTTCTGGGGACAGCAGAGTTGTGTGCTCTGCAGCCGGGGCCTTGATGATTTACAACCCCGTCACACGACGCACAGCCAGGGAGGCTTCTTGACTGTCACTGCATCGTCACACACACACACACACACACACACACACACACACACACACACACACACACACACACACACACACACACACACACACACACACACCTCTTTCGTGCCACAGCTCCAACAGAGAGGAATGGGTTGTTCTGATGCCTTTCGTCCCTCCTGTAGCATGCGAGCTCGCGCTGTCCTTTTTTAGCAGTCTTTTTGTTTTTTATTTCTTGCCAATAGTGGGGGCGATACCATCTTTATAGCACGATGTCTTATGGGTACTTAATCGCGATTGGACAGAGGTTGACATCGCCCAACCCTACAAGTATGGATCCAGAAGACCGACCATCCAGTTATACAGTCATTTATACTGTGATTCACTTCTTTCATTTCCAGACCGCTTTGATCAAATCAAGACAACTCTGAAAGAAGATCTGGAACGGGAAGAAAGATTGAGAAAGTAAGAGTTGCTTCATCATGTACATATACCTGTACACAGCCATTCTGAAATTAGCCCACCCAACTACCTCATCCCCATATTGTTATTTATTTTGCTAATTTGCACCCCAGTATCTCTATTTGCACATCAACTTTTGCACATCTATCATTCCAGTGTTAATACGAAATTGTAACTATTTTGCACTATGGCCTATTTATTGCCTTACCTCCATAACTTACTACATTCTCACACACTGTATATATATTTTCTGTTGTATTTTTGACTTTATGTTTTGTTTTACCCCATATGTAACTATGTGTTGTTGTTTTTATCGCACTGATTTGCTTTATCTTGGCCAGGTCGCAGTTGTAAATGAGAACTTGTTCTCAACTGGCTTACCTGGTTAAATAAAGGTGTATTTTTTATTTTTTTTTATAGTAATACTTCTGAGCTGAGCTAAACCAAGCCAAGCTGTACTGGGCTGGCCTGGTTACTCATCCACCATAGTAGCAGGAACAGTTCTGGACAGAACAATGTGAAGGGAGTATCTGAGCCAGTCCAGTATGGTTCAGGTCCAGTCCAGTATGGTCCAGTCCAGTGTGGTTCAGGTCCAGTACAGTGTGGTTCAGGTCCAGTATGGTTCAGGTCCAGTCCAGTGTGGTTCAGGTCCGGTCCAGTCCAGTAGGGTTCAGGTCCAGTCCAGTATGGTTCAGGTCCAGTACAGTGTGGTTCCGGTCCAGTCCAGTAGGGTTCCGGTCCAGTCCAGTATGGTTCAGGTCCAGTACAGTGTGGTTCAGGTCCAGTCCAGTGTGGTTCAGGTCCAGTACAGTGTGGTTCAGGTCCAGTACAGTGTGGTTCAGGTCCAGTCCAGTATGGTTCAGGTCCAGTCCAGTGTGGTTCAGGTCCGGTCCAGTGTGGTTCAGGTCAGGTCCAGTGTGGTTCAGGTCCAGTCCAGTGTGGTTCAGGTCCAGTCCAGTGTGGTTCAGGTCCAGTCCAGTATGGTTCAGGTCCAGTCCAGTATGGTTCAGGTCCAGTCCAGTATGGTTCAGGTCCAGTCCAGTGTGGTTCAGGTCCAGTAGGGTTCAGGTCCAGTCCAGTGTGGTTCAGGTCCAGTACAGTAGGGTTCAGGTCCAGTCCAGTAGGGTTCAGGTCCAGTCCAGTAGGGTTCAGGTCCAGTACAGTGTGGTTCCGGTCCAGTCCAGTGTGGTTCAGGTCCAGTCCAGTAGGGTTCAGGTCCAGTACAGTGTGGTTCAGGTCCAGTCCAGTGTGGTTCAGGTCCAGTCCAGTGTGGTTCAGGTCCAGTCCAGTGTGGTTCAGGTCAGTATGGTTCAGGTCCAGTAGAGTATGGTTCAGGTCCAGTCCAGTATGGTTCAGGTCCAGTCCAGTATGGTTCAGGTCCAGTCCAGTGTGGTTCAGGTCCAGTCCAGTAGGGTTCAGGTCCGGTCCAGTCCAGTATGGTTCAGGTCCAGTCCAGTATGGTTCAGGTCGGAACAATATTGTGAAAAGGACATGAGATTGATCTAGTTTAGTTCCTCAGGATTGCAGAGAACAACCTTGAGCTGCAGAAGGAGGACCATGAGAAGGAGGTGGAGGTTCTGAGGGAGGAGAACAGGAGGCTGAAGGAGGAGAGAGTCCGCCTGCAGAGACAGTTAGAGGAGGAGGCGCAGGTCAACACTGAACTACAGGACCAGGTCATACAGCTCACCAAGCACGTCAAGGTGAGGGTTCATAGGTCATACAGCTCACCAAGCACGTCAAGGTGAGGGTTCATAGGTCATACAGCTCACCAAGCACGTCAAGGTGAGGGTTCATAGGTCATACAGCTCACCAAGCACGTCAAGGTGAGGGTTCATAGGTCATACAGCTCACCAAGCACGTCAAGGTGAGGGTTCATAGGTCATACAGCTCACCAAGCACGTCAAGGTGAGGGTTCATAGGTCATACAGCTCACCAAGCACGTCAAGGTGAGGGTTCATAGGTCATACAGCTCACCAAGCACGTCAAGGTGAGGGTTCATAGGTCATACAGCTCACCAAGCACGTCAAGGTGAGGGTTCATAGGTCATACAGCTCACCAAGCACGTCAAGGTGAGGGTTCATAGGTCATACAGCTCACCAAGCACGTCAAGGTGAGGGTTCATAGGTCATACAGCTCACCAAGCACGTCAAGGTGAGGGTTCATAGGTCATACAACTCACCAAGCACGTCAAGGTGAGGGTTCATAGGTCATACAGCTCACCAAGCACGTCAAGGTGAGGGTTCATAGGTCATACAGCTCACCAAGCACGTCAAGGTGAGGGTTCAAAGGTCATACAGCTCATCAAGCACGTCAAGGTGAGGGTTCATGGGTGAAGGATAACTTGACTGATGGATTAATGGATTGATTGGTTGGTTGGTTGGTTAGTTCATTGATTGATTATCCTCTTCCAAGGTTATACCTGAGTTACGGAAGGATCTTCATAACCTCCAAACCCAGAGAGATGATCTGGACCGGAGAATGAAGGAGCAGTCAGAACAAGCCAAAGGTACAGTAGGTCTGCTGTCCGGTTAATTTACACTACTGTACCCCGCCAAGCCAAGCCGAACTGTACTGGCCTGGTTACCCAGCCACCATAGTTGCTGGATCAGTGGAAAGGACAAAGGACAATGTGAAAATAAAATATAAGAGCCAGTACAGTATGGTTCAGGTCCAGTATGCTTCAGGTCCAGTGTGCTTCAGGTCCAGTGTGCTTCAGGTCCAGTGTGCTTCAGGTCAGGTCCAGTGTGGTTCAGGTCAGGTCCAGTACGGTTCAGGTCCAGTACAGTATTTTTCAGGTCCAGTATGGGTCAGGTCCAGTACAGTGTGGTTCAGGTCCAGTGTGGTTCAGGTCAGGTCCGGTCCAGTGTGGTTCAGGTCAGGTACAGTATGGTTCAGGTCCAGTACAGTGTGGTCCAGTATGGTTCAGGTCCAGTACAGTGTGGTCCAGTCCAGTGTGGTTCAGGTCAGGTCCAGTATGGTTCAGGTCAGGTCCGGTCCAGTGTGGTTCAGGTCAGGTACAGTATGGTTCATGTCAGGTCCAGTATGGTTCATGTCAGGTCCAGTGTGGTCCAGTATGGTTCAGGTCCAGTACAGTGTGGTCCAGTCCAGTGTGGTTCAGGTCAGGTCCAGTATGGTTCAGGTCAGGTCCGGTCCAGTGTGGTTCAGGTCAGGTACAGTATGGTTCATGTCAGGTCCAGTGTGGTCCAGTATGGTTCAGGTCCAGTACAGTGTGGTCCAGTCCAGTGTGGTTCAGGTCAGGTCCAGTATGGTTCAGGTCCAGTACAGTGTGGTCCAGTCCAGTGTGGTTCAGGTCAGGTCCAGTGTGGTTCAGGTCCAGTACAGTGTGGTTCAGGTCCAGTACAGTGTGGTCCAGTCCAGTGTGGTTCAGGTCCAGTCCAGTGTGGTTCAGTTCAGGTCCAGTGTGGTTCAGGTCAGGTTCAGTATGGTTCAGGTCAGGTTCAGTATGGTTCAGGTCCGGTCCAGTGTGGTTCAGGTCAGGTACAGTATGGTTCATGTCAGGTCCAGTGTGGTCCAGTATGGTTCAGGTCCAGTACAATGTGGTCCAGTCCAGTCTGGTTCAGGTCCAGTCCAGTGTGGTTCAGGTCCAGTCCAGTATGGTTCAGGCCAGTCCAGTGTGGGTCAGGTTCAGTATGGTTCAGGTCCAGTCCAGTGTGGTTCAGGTCCAGTCCAGTATGGTTCAGGTCCAGTCCAGTATGGTTCAGGTCAGGTCCAGTATGGTTCAGGTCCAGTACAGTGTGGTTCAGGTCAGGTCCAGTATTGTTCAGGTCCAGTACAGTATGGTTCAGGTCCAGTCCAGTATGGTTCAGGTCAGGTCCAGTATGGTTCAGGTCCAGTCCAGTGTGGTTCAGGTCAGGTCCAGTATGGTTCAGGTCCAGTCCAGTGTGGTTCAGGTCAGGTCCAGTATTGTTCAGGTCCAGTACAGTGTGGTTCAGGTCTGCACGATAGTGTGAAAAGGATGAAGGGCTATCCAGAGGATTTTGTTGTCAGGCCATGATCGTTGTGACTGATCGTTGTGACTCTTTTCCTATAGCTAAGATGAGTGTGATTACAAGACAGCTTCTTGGTGGCATGGTGGAAGAGGAGGTCATTTCCAGGTAGTGTAATTTCTATACATATGTAGCTATATAATTCTATACAAATTTGGGACAAGATAGGTTAAATACAGTTTACACATGTTTTTGTTAAAAGGTTGACCTCCGACGGGCCAGACCAGATATATGAAGTTGGGGATCTGTTGACTGCTTTCGACGGGCTGCAGAAAGCTACCAGGTCTGAGATGTTTGCATTTTCATCCACTCTGGATCTCTACATTTAACCTGATCCCAGATCTGTTTGTGCTGTCTTGACAACTCCTACTGTATGGTCACTGTCATGAGCTCAGATGGTAACAGCGTGGTGCTAGCAATCCCAAGGTTGTGGGTTCAATTCCCCACAGGGATCACATGTACTAAAAACGTATGCACTCACTGCACTGGAGGTCTCTGTGGGTAAAAGCATCCTGCTATGTGACATAACACTAGTACCGTTATTGTAAGGATCCACGTGGCTGTTCCGCCCCAATGTGAGGAATAAACCTTTATTCACTCTGGCCACGATTGTTAGAAAATATAAATCTCTATTCACACTGTGATCCATTTGAAATCCATGGCTAGTGAATAAGGTCTGTTGTTCCCTGTGTGTGCCGGCAGAGTTCTGGAGAACCACCAGAGGGAACAGAAGGAAGGTTATGACAGCCAAGTGGAGGGGCTGGCGTTCAAGGTGGAACACCTGCAGAAAGAAAACAATCAGCTGCAGAAACTGTTCCGGGAGAAAACGTCCGTCAACGACGCCATTGGTCAGGAGGTGGCCAGGCTCAACCAGGAAAACATGGTCATACCTGAGCTCAGGCAGCAGGTGTCAGAGCTACAAAGACATAAACAGGAAGTGGAAGTCCAACTGGAGGAGCAGTCCAGAGAGATGACCGGTAGACACAGTACACCACACCATCACTTAGGCCTATAGGTTTGGGTGGGGTCAGTTCCATTTGTTATCCCGGTCAACTCAGGAAGTAATTCCAATCATTTATCTCCTTTTTTTTTTCTTTTTTTTTTTGTATTAGAAAAAATTGAGGAGATTTCAAAAAAGCTTCAGATGAATGTTGAAGAGGAAGGCTCCCAACGCAGGTACGGTGGTATATACTCAAGCCCTGAAATCATATAACAATATGCCATCGTCTGCAGATCAATCAATCAGTCACATTTTATTTATTTATAAAGCCCCTTTTACAGTGCATACATTTACAGTATGTGTGTATATATATGATCTGATCCCAACGGGAATTTAACCCACAACCACTATCTCGACATGCTAGCACTACACTCTTACCAACTGAAGCACACAATCAAGCCCTCATTACTATTCTGATCTAAACACCTGCCACCTAACCTCTGTTTGTGTTCAGGCTGTTGAAACAGCATGAGGAGGTGGAGAGGGAGAAGGAGGAGGTGGAGAGGAGGGTGGAGGAGCTGGAGGAGGTGATCAGGAGACAGAAGAACACAGAGAGCGAGGCCAAGACCAGATTCAGTCAGGAGGCATCACGACTCACTGCAGAGAACATGGTGTGTGTGGGGTGGGGTGGGGTGGGGTGGGGAGGGGGAATGTGTGTGTAATTCACTTCTTATGATATTTCAATCTTATTCCAGGACTTTGAAGAACAGCTCGACATGAAGGATAGATTGATAAGGAAGCTACAAAATCAAATCAAGAGTCTTCAAACATCCGAGAAAGGTAACATGATTATGCACTGACAAAGTAAACTTCTGGTGACATTCTATCACATTTGATATTCAGCACATTTCCTGTTTTTTTTGGTTTCTTCATCAGCCAATCAAACGCCAGCGCCCACTATTCCCAAAGAATACCTTGGAATGTTGGAGTACAAGAGGGAGGATGAACCCAAACTCATTCAATACATCATTCTGGGTACTGAACACTTCACCGTCGTTGTTGACACTGTTTTTATAGTGTCACTTGACCACACAGGTCTACATGGCCTGAGGAAAATAGAGCAGAGGGAACCTGAGAGGATGAACAACTAGCTCTCACTATGAAAGTGTGACAGACCGAAACGGCGAGGGACTACCTTTGTCCAATAAGGAATGCCCTTTTTTTTTTGTTGTTGTTGCAAAAAGCTTTTCCGTTGTGTGCCCTACTGAACGCCACCCTGCTCTGTCTTTCTGTCAGACCTGAAACCCAGGGGGGTAGTGGTCAACATGATCCCCGGCATGGCCGCTCAGCTTCTCTTCATGTGTGTCCGCCACGCTGACTACCTCAACGACGGAGCCAAGCTCAAGTCTCTCATGAACGGCATCATCAGCGGGGTCAAGAAGGTCATCACGGTAAGCCGAGTCAGTGCTCTAGTCTGTTTCCTGTTCTGCACTTTATTGTTCTTCATACGACTCTGAAAACACAGAACCAGGCCACTGTAAGCTCTTCTTCTTCTGTCCCCGGTGGGTGAAATTGAATGACCTGGTTTACATTTAAAAATGCGGATGTTCTCAGGATTGAGTTGGTTTGTGTTGTCATTGGTTACCTGTCTCAGGATCACCAAGCAGACTTTGAGTTGCTGTCGTTCTGGCTCTCCAACATGTACCACATGCTCAACTGCCTGAAACAGTACAGTGGAGAAGAGGTAGGATTGTCCTCCAGCGTTTCACACAGCACACCATCAAGTGGTTCAGGGGGTTCTATCCACAGATAATGTACCAGTCCATATTTTGTTTCATAGGGGGGGGGGGCTACATTGCATAGTAATACTCAAACTAAAGATCTGTAACTGATGTTATTCTATCCCACATTCTGTCGTAGGAGTTTATGAAACAGAACACTCCGCGTCAGAATAAGAACTGCTTGCAGAACTTTGACTTGTCTGAACACAGGCAGATCTTCAGTGACCTGGCCATCCGTATCTATCACCAGTTTATATCTGTTATGGAGAAGGCTCTTCTGCCCATGATCGGTAGGTTACTCTTATACGATAACATGGATACAACATCAATATGATACATAACGTTGATGGTCACTTTTTCCATGAAATATTTGTAGAAATCCAAGAAAGGATTTACATTCTCAAGATGGTTAATAAAGTGCAATAAAGGTTTTCATTCATTCACACGTGCATTCAGTACCTGTTCTACGTAAGGTGTGTGTCTGCATTCAGTACCTGTTCTACGTAAGGTGTGTGTCTGCATTCAGTACCTGTTCTACGTAAGGTGTGTGTCTGCATTCAGTACCTGTTCTACGTAAGGTGTGTGTCTGCATTCAGTACCTGTTCTACGTAAGGTGTGTCTCTGCATTCAGTACCTGTTCTACGTAAGGTGTGTGTCTGCATTCAGTACCTGTTCTACGTAAGGTGTGTCTCTGCATTCAGTACCTGTTCTACGTAAGGTGTGTGTCTGCATTCAGTACCTGTTCTACGTAAGGTGTGTGTCTGCATTCAGTACCTGTTCTACGTAAGGTGTGTCTCTGCATTCAGTACCTGTTCTACGTAAGGTGTGTCTCTGCATTCAGTACCTGTTCTACGTAAGGTGTGTGTCTGCATTCAGTACCTGTTCTACGTAAGGTGTGTGTCTCTGTTTCCTCCAGTTCCTGGTATGCTGGAGCATGAGAGCCTCCAGGGTATCTCTAGTATGAAGCCTACCGGTTTCCGTAAGCGTTCCAACAGTATCTACGAGGACCAGGAGGTCTACACCATCTCCTCTCTCCTCCAGCAACTCAGTCTTTACCACAGCACTATGAGTCAACACGGCATGGAGGAGGGGCTGGTCAGACAGGTAGGGGGGGGGGGGGGGGGGGGGGTGCGGGGGGGGGGGTCGCTCACTCAGGGCCTGGTCAGACAGGTAGGGGGGGGGGGGGTCGCTCACTCAGGGGCTGGTCAGACAGGTAGGGAGGGGGGGGGGGGGGGGGGGGGGGGGGGGGCTGGTACAGACAGGTAGGGAGGAGGGGCTGGTCAGGACAGGTAGGGAGGAGGGGGGGGGGTTGCTCACTCAGGGGCTGGTCAGACAGGTAGGGAGGAGGGGGGGGGGTGGGTCAGACAGGTGGGGGGGGGGGGGGTCGCTCACTCAGGGGGATGGTCAGACAAGTAGGGGGGGGGGGGGGGGGGGGTTGCTCACTCAGGGGCTGGTCAGAAGGTGGGGGGGGGGGGGGGGGGTTGCTCACTTCAGGGGCTGGTCAGACAGGTAGGGGGGGGGGGGGTGGTTGCTCACTCAGGGGCTGATCAGACAGGTGGGGGGGGGGGGGGGGTTGCTCACTCAGGGGCTGGTCAGACAGGTAGGGGGGGGGGGGGGGGGGGGGGGTTGCTCACTCAGGGGCTGGTCAGACAGGTAGGGGGGGGGGGGTGGTTGCTCACTCAGGGGCTGGTCAGACAGGTAGGGGGGGGGGGTGGTTGCTCACTCAGGGGCTGGTCAGACAGGTAGGGGGGGGGTGGTTGCTCACTCAGGGGCTGGTCAGACAGGTAGGGGGGGGGGGTGGTTGCTCACTCAGGGGCTGATCAGACCGGTGGGGGGGGGGGGGGGTTGTAGGGGAAAGGTGTAAACTCCCTCTTGGGATCAATTGTGGGGTGACACAGGTATCGATTCTTGGACCTCTATGATTTTTAGGTTCTATTAAATGCATCTAACTGTGTGTTTGTGTCTGATCCTGTGTTGTCCAACAGGCTGTGAAACAGATCTTCTTCCTGGTGGGTGCGGCCACACTCAACAACATCCTGCTACGCAAAGACATGTGCTCCTGTAGGAAGGGCATGCAGATCAGGTAGGGGACAGAGTGTGTGTGTGTGTGTGAGCCATGCATGCATTTGTGCGAGTGTGTAGTGAACAAGAAGCACGGGAGGAAGACATGGAAAGCTAAATCCTCCCCAGCAAACAGTGAAAGTTCCTACAATGTATGTTAAACGTAACAGCATGTTTCAGTTACCTGTCTGTATGTTAGGTAACGCAACAACATGTTTCAGTTACCGGTCTGTGTGTTTTCCAGGTGCTTCGAAACCAGCGACCTTTCGGTTACTGGCCCAACGCTCTTAACCGCTAGGCTACCTGTTTTTTTTTCAGGTGTAACATCAGTTACCTGGAGGAGTGGCTGAAGGAGAAGGACCTATTGCAGGGTACCAGTGCCATGGAAACTCTGAAGCCTCTGTCTCAGGCTGCCTGGCTGCTGCAGGTCAACAAGACCACCGATGACGACGCCAAGGAAATCATAGAACAATGCTCTGAACTCAACACTGTACAGGTACTGAATGATGTCATACAGGCTTACCCAACTGCCGGCCTGCGGGGGGTTTTATTTAGCCGCCGAAGTTTTCGAAAGCAAAAATAAATAATAATACATATTTATTTTCCTTTTTTTTTTTGTTGGACATAAAACTGTGTAAAAGCACCAGGAAATCAGCTCCAAGTGTTTTTTATTTTTATTTTGTTAAATCTGTTCCCATGTATTCCCACACATAATAGAGATATATATATATATATATATATATACACTGCTCAAAAAAATAAAGGGAACACTAAAATAACACATCCTAGATCTGAATGAATGAAATAATCTTATTAAATACTTTTTTTCTTTACATAGTTGAATGTGCTGACAACAAAATCACACAAAGATTATCAATGGAAATCAAATGTATCAACCCATGGAGGTCTGGATTTGGAGTCACCCTCAAAATTAAAGTGGAAAACCACACTACAGGCTGATCCAACTTTGATGGAATGTCCTTAAAACAAGTCAAAATGAGGCTCAGTAGTGTGTGTGGCCTCCACGTGCCTGTATGATCTCCCTACAACGCCTGGGCATGCTCCTGATGAGGTGGCGGATGGTCTCCTGAGGGATCTCCTCCCAGACCTGGACTAAAGCATCCGCCAACTCCTGGACAGTCTGTGGTGCAACGTGGCGTTGGTGGATGGAGCGAGACATGATGTCCCAGATGTGCTCAATTGGATTCAGGTCTGGGGAACGGGCGGGCCAGTCCATAGCATCAATGCCTTCCTCTTGCAGGAACTGCTGACACACTCCAGCCACATGAGGTCTAGCATTGTCTTGCATTAGGAGGAACCCAGGGCCAACCGCACCAGCATATGGTCTCACAAGGGGTCTGAGGATCTCATCTCGGTACCTAATGGCAGTCAGGCTACCTCTGGCGAGCACATGGAGGGCTGTGCGGCCCCCCCAAAGAAATGCCACCCCACACCATGACTGACCCACCGCCAAACCGGTCATGCTGGAGGATGTTGCAGGCAGCAGAACGTTCTCCACGGCGTCTCCAGACTCTGTCACGTCTGTCACGTGCTCAGTGTGAACCTGCTTTCATCTGTGAAGAGCACAGGGCGCCAGTGGCGAATTTGCCAATCTTGGTGTTCTCTGGCAAATGCCAAACGTCCTGCACGGTGTTGGGCTGTAAGCACAAACCCCACGTGTGGACGTCGGGCCCTCATACCACCCTCATGGAGTCTGTTTCTCACCGTTTGAGCAGACACATGCACATTTGTGGCCTGCTGGAGGTCATTTTGCAGGGCTCTGGCAGTGCTCCTCCTGCTCCTCCTTGCACAAAGGCGGAGGTAGCAGTCCTGCTGCTGGGTTGTTGCCCTCCTACGGCCTCCTACGGCCTCCTCCACGTCTCCTGATGTACTGGCCTGTCTCCTGGTAGCGCCTCCATGCTCTGGACACTACGCTGACAGACACAGCAAACCTTCTTGTCACAGCTCGCATTGATGTGCCATCCTGGATGAGCTGCACTACCTGAGCCACTTGTGTGGGTTGTAGACTCCGTCTCATGCTACCACTAGAGTGAAAGCACCGCCAGCATTCAAAAGTGACCAAAACATCAGCCAGGAAGCATAGGAACTGAGAAGTGGTCTGTGGTCACCACCTGCAAAACCAGTCCTTTATTGGGGGTGTCTTGCTAATTGCCTATAATTTCCACCTGTTGTCTATTCCATTTGCACAACAGCATGTGAAATTTATTGTCAATCAGTGTTGCTTCCTAAGTGGACAGTTTGATTTCACAGAAGTGTGATTGACTTGGAGTTACATTGTGTTGTTTAAGTGTTCCCTTTATATTTTTGAGCAGTGTATATATATATATATATATATATATATATATATATATATATATATATATATATATATATATATATATATATATGATCGTATACAAATGTAAGCAAGGTTTGAAATGATGACGTTTTAGTCAAATATTATATCTGTTTGGACTTCTTGCGGTCAATTTGCAGTCTGCAAATAATTTGTAATTATGTTCCGGCCCCCCCGACCGTCCGATCAAGAAAGGAAAATCGGCCCGTGGCTAAATCTAGTTGGTGATTCTTGCTGTACTACATTACCCATAATGCTTTGACAAGAAGAAAACAAAAATGTTGTACCATATCCTCACCAACACGGGCAGTACTGTAGATTTACACTGTTTTTGTGAATATTACTGACAGGATGTTGTTCATTATCCTGCTTTAGATAGTCAAGATTCTGAACTCTTACACGCCCATTGATGATTTTGAGAAAAGGGTGGCACCGTCGTTTGTCCGCAAAGTTCAGGTAAGGTATAATTGTGCGTCCCGATCTCGATCAAGTGTGACAAAGATCATGTGTACCTGAAATTTATTATGAAATCCTTTCCATCACAGCAGTTCCACTATATGGAAATTCTAGACAATCTAAAATATTTCCATGAACTAAATGTAGGAAATGTAATTGATTTCCCTTGTCGCCAGGGGTTGCTCCAGGACCGTGAGGGAGGATCTTCCCAGCTGATGCTGGACACCCAGTATCATTTCCAGGTTACCTTCCCCTTCACCCCGTCCTCTCAGGCTCTGGAGCTACACCAGCTACCATCCAGCCTCAGACTGGGCTTCCTCACCAGGATCTAACCTCTGACCTCTGACCTCTGACTCATTCACCCCGTCCTCTCAGTCCCTGGAGCTACCATCCAGCCTCAGACTGGGCTTCCTCACCAGGATCTAACCCCTGCCCTCGGGGGGGGGGGAGAGGCGGTAGCCTTGAGTTTAGAGAAGCGGTCCAGTAACCTAAAGGTTGCTGGTTTGAATCCCAGGGATGACGAGGAAAAGCTGGCAGGAGTGAGGTGCCAGTGTCTCGGGTGTCACCGACTGCCATTGAGTCCAAACGGCCACCGACTGCCATTGTAGCCAAACAGCCTTTTAAAATGATTTAGTGTTTTCATTGACACTTGTAATAGAGTTTGATATAAATATTACGCTGACGCCTGATTTAATGTGTGACGTAAATGCAGATGCTGTTGCAGAGCTAAAGCATGGTAGTATAGTGAGAAACCTTACTTCTCAGCTAGATGAGATGAGAAATGCAGTTCTGCAGAAAACAGTTTTAAGTTCAATATCAAACTGCTGTTTTTTTTTAATATAGTAAATTCAAATGTGTCCACTCGATATTATGGAGTAACATGCACAGTACATCATATATGCTTTTTGTTTTGTTTTGAATATATCTATTTTTAAATCATACTGTAGAAGTATCTTGTATCTTAAATAATATACTGAACAAAAATATAAATGCAACAATTTCAAAGATTTTACTGAGTTACAGTTCATATAAGGAAATCAGTCAATTTAATAAATTCATTAGGCCCTAATCTATGGATTTCACATGACTGGGCATACAGATATGCACCTGTTTGTCACAAAAGATAGGGGTTGTCGATCAGAAAACCAGTCAGTATCTGGTGTGACCACCATTTGCCTCATGCTGCGTGACACATCTCCTTCGCATAGAGTTGATCAGGCTGTTGATTGTGGCCTGTGGAATGTTGTCCCACTCCTCTTCAATGGCTGTGTGAAGTTGCTGGATATTGGCGGGAACTGGAACACGCTGTCGTACACGTCGATCCAGAGCATCCCAAACATGCTCAATGGGTGACATGTGTGGTGAGTATGCAGGCCATGGAAGAACTGGGGCATTTTCAGCTTCCAGGAATTGTTTACAGATCCTTGTGATATGGGGCCGTGCATTATCATGCTGAAACATGAGGTGATGGCGGCGGATAAATGGTATGACAATGGGCCTCAGGATCTTGTCACGGTATCTCTGTGCATTCAAATTGCCATCGATAAAATGCAATTGTTTTCATTATCCGTAGCTTATGCCTGCCCATACCATAACCAACATAGGGCACTCTGTTCACAACGTTGACATCAGCAAACCGCTCGCCCACACAACGCCATACACGCTGTCTGCCATCTGCCGGGTACAGTTGAAACCGGGATTCATCCGTGAAGAGCACACTTCTCCAGCGTGCCAGTGGCCATCGAAGGTGAGCATTTGCCCTCTGAAGTCTGTTATGAGGCCGAACTGCAGTCAGGTCAAGACCCTGGTGAGGAGGATGAGCAGGCAGATGAGCTTCCCTGAGACGGTTTCTGAGAGTTTGTGCAGAAATTATTTGGTTGTGCAAACCCACAGTTTCATCAGCAGTCCGGGTGGCTGGTCTCAGACAATCCCGCAGGTGAAAAAGACGGATGTGGAGGTCCTGGGCTGGCCTGGTTACACGTGGTCTGTGGTTGTGAGGCTGGTTGGACATACTGCCAAATTCTCTAAAATGACGGCTTATGGTAGAGAAATGAACATTAAATTCCTGCAGTCAGCATGCCAATTGCACACTCCCTCAAAACTTGAGACATCTGTGGTATTGTGTTGTGTGACAAAACTGCACATTTTAGAGTGGCCTTTTATTGTCCCCAGCACAATTTCACCTGTGTAATGAGCATGCTGTTTAATCAGCTTCTTGATATGCCACACCTGTCAGATGGATGGATTATCTTGGCAAAGGAGAAATGCTCACTAACAGGGATGTAAACAAATTTGTGCACACAATTTGAGAGACATAAGTGCGTATGGAACATTTCTGGTATCTTTTGATTCAGCTCATGAAACATGGGACCAACACTTTACACGTTGTGTTGTTTTATTTTTGTTCAGAATGGATTCATACCCCTTGACTTATTCCACATTTTGTTGTATTACAGCCTGAATTCAAAATGGATTAAATTGATTGTTTTTCTCACCCATCTACACAAAACCCCATAATGACAAAGTAAAAACATGTTTTTTGACATTTCTGCACATTTATTAAAAATGAAATACAGAAATATTGAATTGACATAAGTATTCACACCCCTGAGTCAATACTTTCTAGAATCACCTTTGGCAGCGTTTACAGCTGTGAGTCTTTATGGGTAAGTCTCTAAGAGCTTTGCACACCTGGATTGTGCAACATTTGCCCATTATTCTTTTCAAAATTATTCCAGCTCTGACAAATTGGTTGTTGATCATTGCTAGAAAGGCATTTTCAGGTCTTGCCATAGATTTTCAAGAAGATTTAAGTCTAAACTGTAACTCGGCCACTCAGGAACATTCACTGTCTTCTTGGTAAGCAACTCCAGTGTAGATTTGGCCTTGTGTTTTAGGTTTTTGTCCTTTTGAAAGGTGAATTCATCTCCCAGTGTCTGGTGGAAAGCAGACTGATCCAGGTTTTCCTCTAGGATTTTGCCTGTGCTTAGCTCCATTCCGTTTATTTTTTTGTCCTGAAAAACTCCCCAGTCCTTAACCGATTACAAGCATACCCATAACATGATGCAGCCACCACTATGCTTGAAAATACGGAGAGTGGTACTCAGTAATGTGTTGTATTGGATTTGCCCCAAACATAACACTTTGTATTCAGGACAAAAAGTTAATTGCTTTGCCACATTTTTTGCAGTATTATTTTAGTGCCTTGTTGCAAACAGGATGAATGTTTTGAAATATTTGTATTATGTACAGGCTTCCTTTTCACTCAGTCAATTAGATTAGTATTGTGGAGTAACTACAATGTTGTTGATCCATCATCAGTTTCTCCTATAACAGCCATTGAACCCTGTAACTGTTTTAAAGTCACCATTGGCCTCATGGCGAAATCCCTGAGCGGTTTCCTACTTCCCCGACAACTGAGTTAGGAAGGACGCCTGTATCTTTGTAGTGACTGGGTGTATTGATATAACATCAAAAGTTAAATTAATAACTTCACCATGCTCAAAGGGATATTCAATATCTGCTTTATTTTTACCGGTCTATGCAACGTATTATGTTACTTGTTTAGCAAATATTTACTCCTGAACTTATTTAGGCATACCATAACAAAAGGTTGAATACTAATTGACTCAAGACATTTCAGCTTTTCATTTTTAATTAAAATGTAAACATTTGAAAAACATGATTCCACTTTGACATTATGGGGTATTGTGTGTAGGCCCGTGACGACAAATCTAAATGTAATCCATTTTAAATTCAGGTTGTAACAACAAAATGTGGGGGGAAAAAGTCAAGGCTTGTGAATATTTTCTGAAGGCACTGTGCCTAAAATGAATTACATGTGAATAAAATGTTCTATTAGTTGATAATGTTTCTGTTTGTAATGATTTCTTACACATTTATACAGCATACGCTTTAGACCTGCATGATAGCATCAGTGTTGACCATGTCTAGAATGTTCTATTATGGTTGAGGGAAAAACCTCTCTCTCTTTTTGCGTCATGCACAACAACATTAGTGGTAATGGAAGTTACACAACATTTTTTTTATCATCGCTATTGCGCAGTTGAGGATGTAGCCTACATGGTGCGGGTGCCAGCCTCCCCTCCTCTCTAGAACACTGGGAGAGCATCTTTTATATGACGTCATGACAGCTGCATCAGCTGTGAGCCCGTGTGCTTTTCGCTTGCAAATATATATATTTTTTGCTACCCGCAGCTTCTCTGACAACGGGAATATATATGAGATTTTCCACAAACCCTGAAATGGCTACACAGGAGGTACAACCGAATGAGACTCTCACTAACCTAAAAGCGGAATCGGACACGTTGAAAACGAAGCTGGAGGACGAAAGAGCGAAGCTGCACGATGTCGAACGTGAGTGGTGCTGAAAATGAGAGACGGAAGGAAAGTGAAGGCCCCCGAATCAAAACATCATATGCCTTCCGAATAGGATTGCATGAAACATTTATACACGACCATATTATAATATATATATGCATATATATAGGCCTATATTGTGAATTTGTCATATTGCTATTATTAGGCTACAGTGCATTGAATCGGTCATTTGAAGAAAGTAGGTAATTCTTCATTAATTTGTAAATGGTTATAATATTTAAAGCCACTTGCTCGACCATGTATTATTTTTTCCCCACTCGGATTTGTTCAAATGACAAGCTGCATTTCCATCTGCAATTAGACATATAGCCTTTGGTTGAATTTACTCCACCATTTGCGATTTATTTTCACACTCAAAAGCACAGTTGTATTATAGCCGAGATGGCGCTTAGTTTGTCGACCTTGTTGAGATCAGAGAGACGGATTTTAACATCTCTAACCGGTTACTGCGGTTTAATATTAATCGCCAACCCGATGGGATATATTAACGCTAGAACACATTAAGACAGTGCTCAGCTCATGGTATGATAACCTCATTAACTAACGTCTGATATTTGTCCCTATAACAACAGTACACTAACGTTGGATATTGCTTGGTCTCTATAACTAACCACTCTAACGTTAGATTGATCCCCTAAACAAATCAAATCAAATCCAAATGTATTTGCCACATGCGCCGAATACAGCAGGTGTAGACATTACAGTGAAATGCTTACTTACAAGCCCTTAACCAACAATGCCGTTAAAAAAAAAAAGAACAATGTAAAAGAAAAAAGTGTTAATGAAAGAAAAATAGAAAATAAAAGCAAATAGCTAAAGAGCAGCAGTAAAATAAAATAACAGTAGGGAGGCTATATACAGGGGGGTACCGGTACAGAGTCAATGGGAAATAACAGTAGGGAGGCTATATACAGGGGGGTACTGGTACAGAGTCAATGGGAAATAACAGTAGGGAGGCTATATACAGGGGGGTACCAGGACAGAGTCAATGGGAAATAACAGTAGGGAGGCTATATACAGGGGGTACCGGTACAGAGTCAATGGGAAATAACAGTAGGGAGGCTATATACAGGGGGTACCGGTACAGAGTCAATGGAAAATAACAGTAGGGAGGCTATATACAGGGGGTACCGGTACAGAGTCAATGGGAAATAACAGTAGGGAGGCTATATACAGGGGGTACCGGTACAGAGTCAATGGGAAATAACAGTAGGGAGGCTATATACAGGGGGTACCGGTACAGAGTCAATGGGAAATAACAGTAGGGAGGCTATATACAGGGGGTACTGGTACAGAGTCAATGGGAAATAACAGTAGGGAGGCTATATACAGGGGGTACTGGTACAGAGTCAATGGGAAATAACAGTAGGGAGGCTATATACAGGGGGGTACCGGTACAGAGTCAATGTGCCGGGGGCACCGGCTAGTCGAGGTAATTGAGGTAATATGTACATGTGGGTAGAGTTAAAGTGACTATGCATAAATAGTAAACAGAGTAGCAGCAGCATAGAAGAGGGGGATGGGGTGGGGTGGGGGGGGGGGCAGTGCAAATAGTCTGGGTAGCCATGATTAGCTTTTCAGGAGTCTTATGGCTTGGGGGTAGAAGCTGTTAAGTAGCCTTTTGGACCTAGACTTGGCTCTCCGGGACCTCTTGCTGTGCGGTAGCAGAGAGAACAGTCTATGACTAGGGTGGCTGGAGTCTTTGACAATTTTTAGGGCCTTCCTCTGACACTGCCTGGTATAGAGGTCCTGGATGGCAGGAAGCTTGGCCCCAGTGATGTACTGGGCCGTACGCACTACCCTCTGTAGTGCCTTGCGGTCGGAGGCCGAGCAGTTGCCATACCAGGCGGTGATGCAACCAGTCAGGATGCTCTCGATGGTGCAGCTGTATAACTTTTTGAGGATCTGAGGACCCATGCCAAATATTTTCAGTCTCCTGAGGGGGAATAGGTTTTGTCGTGCCCCCTTCACAACTGTCTTGGTGTGTGTGGACCATGATAGTTCGTTGGTGATGTGGACACCAAGGAACTTGAAGCTCTCAACCTGTTCCACTACAGCCCCGTCGATGAGAATGGGGGCGTGCTCAGTCATTTGCACTAATGTCTGATATTGGTCCACAACTAACCACTTTTAACATTGGATCTTGGTCCATACTCTCTACAACAGTACACCAGGTGGCGGAGAAGGTGGATGGACTGGGCCAGTTTATCATGAAGACCCGGCGGACTCTGAAGGGACATGGCAACAAAGTTCTCTGCATGGACTGGTGTAAGGACAAGAGGAGGATTGTCAGCTCCTCACAGGTGAGTATTGGATTATTGGGCAGGTTTCTGAAGTCCCTAAAAGATGCGTTCATGCAGTCACCACTCTAAATATATGGACGGTCGCTGTCCATGGTAGGCCCACTAAGTGTACATTCTGAACCTTGTTTGAGGCCAGTAGGTCACATGACCAAGGAGCTATTGAAATTTTACATTTGGAAAAATTCATGTAAAATCACCTGAGATTAAAAGGGACAAACAAAAGGGTGTGCAATATAGAAGGGTAGTCAGTGGACATTCTGAACCTTGTTTGAGGCCAGTAGGTCACATGACCAAAGAGCTATTGAAATTTGAATGTAAAAAAAGTTTGCACTTTGTTTACGCTCCCTAACTAATTCAACTAGGAATAGGGAATGCTTGACTTCTTTCTTATGTCATTCTCATTGGCACCAAAAGTTTTAATAGTGTTGATAGGGGACAGAATGCGGTCAGACCATCATATAATTGGCATATACATTACTCTTACTGAATTTCCACGTGGGCGAGGATATTGGAAATGTAATCAAAGCCTATTGGATAATAACTTGTTTTTAACTAGGACAGAGGAATTTATAACTGAATTGTTCCATCATAACATAGGTACAGTAAATCCCCTTATTGTATGGGACACTTTTAAAGGTGCCTTTAGAGGCCATGCAAATACTCATTTTGAAAACAAAAGCAATTTAGGTCAAAAGAGTCCATACTAACAAAGGAAATAGAAGGTCTAACAGAACAGATATATAGCAATAAAAACTGTAACATAGAGGCTCAGAATAAATTAGAGAAAAAATAAAAATAAATTGAGAAACTTATTCAAGAAAGATCAAGTGTAATATATTATAAAAATAAAGCAAACTGGATGGAATATGGGGAAAAATGCACCAAATTCTTTTTTAATCTTTAACATAGAAATGCTACCAAAAAGAATTTACTGAAACTGGTTACAAATGACAGTCAACCATGATTCACCTAATTATATTTTGAAGGAGGAAGCAAAGTACTTTAAGGATATGTTTTCGTTTCAGTCGCCTCCATCTCCTCTATCTGAAGCTAATTGTATGGATTTTTTTTCTATTGATAATGTAAAATTAACAGCCATACAGAAAGACTCATGTGAAGGTGAAATTACAGAGGAGGAACTTCTGGACGCAATTAAAGACTTTAAGTCCGGGAAAACTCCAGGGTTGGATGGTCGGCAATTTTTTATTTATTATTGCCATTGAGATATTAAAATCAGATCCAACAATAATATCAAGGGATTAGAAATCCAGGGCTTAAAAACAAAGGTGTCATTGTACGCTGATGATTCATGTTTTCTTTTAAATCCACAACTTGAATCCCTCCACAGCCTCGTAGTGGATCTAGATACATTTTCTAACCTCTCTGGATTACAACCAAATGATGATAAATGTACTATATTGCGTATTGGATCACTAAAAAATAAAACATTTACATTACCGTGTAGTTTACCAATAAAATGGTCTGATGGTGATGTGGATATACTCGGAATACATATCCCAAATGAAATGATCTCACTCCAATAAATATTAATAGAAAGTTAGAAAAAATAGATAAGATCTTGCTACCATGGAAAGGTAAATACCTGTCTATTTGTGGAAAAATCACCCTGATTAACTCTTTAGTATTATCCCAGTTTACCTATTTGCTTATGGTCTTGCCTACACCTAGAGAACAGTTTTTTTAATTATATGAGAAAAAAATATTCCATTTTATTTGGAATGGCAAGCCAGACAAAATTAAACGGGCCTATTTATATAATGAATATGAATTCGGAGGACAGAAATTATTAAATATTAAAGCATTAGACCTATCACTAAAAGCTTCGGTCATACAAAAGTTATACTTAAATCCGAATTGGTTCTCTAGCAAATTAGTACAATTGTCTCACCCCATGTTCAAGAATGGCCTTTTTCCCTTTATTCAGATTACAACCTTTCACTTTCAGTTATTTGAAAAGGAAATCATCTCCCAAATATCACTATTTCTAAAACAAGCCAAAGAAAGTTGGTTGCAATTTCAATTTAGTCCTCCAGAAACGACAGAACAAATAATGCAACAAATATTGTGGTTAAACTGAAATATACTAATTGATTTAAAAAAACATTATTTTTTGAAGAAGAAAAAAAAAAAAAAAAGGTATAATCTTTGTAAATGATATCATAGGTAGAACTGGTGGAGTTATGTCGCACATGCAGCTAACAAAAACATATGGAAATGTCTGCTCTACCCAAAATTACAACCAAATAATTGCAGCATTACCGCAAAAATGGAAGAGGAAAGTGGAAGGGGGAAAATGTAATGAACTTGTCTGTCGGCCCTGCATTAAAGACCATAATTGTACAGTTGAGAAATATATGGCAAGTAGAAATCCAATATGGATGGTGTTAAGAGATAGATGGGAGGGGTTGAATGGAGCTGAAGGTTGGGACTAATAACAACAAGATAACTAATGTAAAACATACTGTGTCCATAATACGTATATAGTTTATAGGTTGAGAGCTTTTGTGAAAAAGAGCACAGTTTGGGGGATATGGCATGTAGAGGCAAACCGGATGGACATCATGAAAATGATCAGAGAGGGTAGAGGAAGTTCAGGAGCAAAAACAAACAAAATATAATTATTGTAAAATTGACTGTTTCCATAAAATGTATATAGTATGTATAAGCTGGAAGTAGAGGCCTAATCATTGTTGTTATCTTATCCAGAGCGACTTACAGTTAGAGTCTGCTAAATGACAAAACATGTAAATGTAAAAAAAATGTTTGAAAGCGCGAATATCCAACCTGAAACAGTCTTTAACTCTGTAAAGATGTACTATTATATTGACAAGATAGTCGAGTGACCGCTCTAACAATGGAAATACATGTCTTCAAAGATGGAAGGCAGGCGGGAGGAGGCGAGATCAGGTGGGACCATTCTAGCCAATGAGAGGGCAGATATGCGCATGAACAACAGGCACAGCTCTGATATAACGTTTTTTTTTTTCAAAGTTGCTGAAATGCCACGTGCGTCCACTTATATAAGTGCCTTCGTAATAACCTAACCATTAAGAAACTTCTATTCAATCAAATAAGCCTCACATAGCAAATTAGCAATTCAAGTTTTTGTTGACCAAATCCGACACTCTCTCATTGACCTCCATACAACAATTCCTCAATTTGTGATCAAATTTTCGTGGACAGATTTTGTGCGGAGTAAACCCTCTCGCTTTGCCTCTTCGTCTCTTATTGTAAGCACATCATAGCTGAATTAGAGGTTTGGAAAGGTCCTAAAACGGATGTGTCCATTCAGTAACCACCGCTGAGATACTGACTTTCTGTTTAAAATAATATGGACTGCTTTCAGTGGTTATAACATTTGTGGCATTTTGTTGGAAATGTAGAGAATCTTAGGCCTGTGTGCCACTTCTAATGTTTTTTCCTAATCTAACTTATTTTCAGGATGGAAAAGTAATTGTATGGGATGCCTTCACGACTAACAAGGTAGGGAATCTTTTTTTCTCTGTCCAGAAAGGCTATAGAGTTGACAAATGCTTGGAGAAATAGAGAGACTTCTGTAGTTATTTGATCTGATTTTGGATGAACGAGAACATTTGTGCATCCCAAATAGCACCCTATTCCCTACAAGGTGCACAACCTTTGACCTGTGCCCTTTTGACCTGTGACATTGCCAGTGCTCCCTTTGAAGCACTGGCAAAGGGAGCACCCCCCCCCCCCCCCCCCCCCCCCCCCACCCCCCACCCCCCACCCAGAAATCTGATATGTCGTCTCTGAATATATTGATCATTTTCAACCAAGACTCATCAATCTCACCGAAGAAAACATCAGAGCGAGTGAAACAGCGCCCCTCTGTCTTAGCATTTGTAGCCCAAGTATCTGATGCTGTCTGGTCAAAAAGAGTATGACATGTCATACTCTTTTTGGCCAGACAGCATCAGATACATGGGCTACAGATACTAAGACAGAGGGGCGCTGTTTCAATCGCTCGGATGCCCTTTCAGGTTAAATAAATTCAGCCTCTTGCCAATTGAAGGAAAATTATGAAACACGGATATACTCGAATGAGAAATAATTGTATACGTTTGTTTCTTTTTTTATTGTTAACATATTTTGGGAAGCCTGGCTTCCCTTGGATGAATACACACCACTTTGTAGGCTGGATGTCATTACCCTAATGGTGTTTGTAATAGATGTCCCTTTGCATTCAAATGGCGGGTGTACAGTGCACTGTTCGGTGGCTGGAATTATTTTGGAGCAGACTTTTTTTGAATTGATTTGTTTGACAATCAGATGAAAACGTCACGACTGGTTGTGTTCGTGACACGTTTAAAAAGGTCACACATTTTACAGTTAAATTACGTCTTTACTCGACAGCCGATAGGAAATGTTGTGCGGGTGCAAACGTGTGGACACATGAGGAGGTGTTGTTTAAAAAAAACATAGAGACCCTGAACGTCACGGTGTAATTCACACTCTGGCACTTTACTGCTGTATGCTAATGCCCTTAGATAAGATCCTGACCTTGAACGCAAACACTGTAACACCTTTTGGAATTGATTTATGATTGATTTGAACGGGGAAATGTACCAAACCTGAGCTGAAGCATTTCATGCGTTGAACCATCAAGAATTACAGTATATTGAAAAAAATCCACCTTGCATCGATTAAGGTAAAAAAATGTTTATCCCCCCCCCGCCCCCAACCCCCCTACTAAACTGGGTCTGTGCCCCACCTTGGCCACCCCATTCAAAATGGCCACCCCATTCAAAATGTTCTGGACACGCCACTGCTATGGAACTTAGTCAAAAGTAGTGCACTATTTTTTTTTTATATATATATTTTTGTTACCTTTTGAGTCCCATTGAAACCAAGGTCTCTTTTGCATCACACAATTACACAACATTTACACAGTCATGGTACTATATAGGGAATAGGCGGCAGGTAGCTTAGTGGTTAAGAGCGTTGTGCCAGTAACCGAAAGGTCGCTGGTTCTAATCCCCGAGCCGACTAGGTGAAAAATCTGTCGATGTGCCCTTAAGCAAGGCACTTAACCCTAATTGCTTCTGTAAGTCGCTCTGGATAAGAGCGTCTGCTAAATGACTAAAATGTAAATGTAAAATGGAATAGGGTGAAATTCGGGACATAGTCATGGTACTATATAGGGAATAGGGTGAAATTCGGGACACAGTCATTGATTTTCATAGCAAGTTCTATTCTTGCCTTTCCATAGGAAGAGCCAATAGTTTCTCTCGGCCAAATCCTTTGGCAGATTTAAATTCTGTTGTTGTGGTTGCTTATTTTCGCAAGCAGGGAGTTTCCCCGATGAGTTGATGATGTCATGTTGTTGAGTTTCACTTGTGTATTTTGAGATTGATTACATTGCAGTTGAACTGTACAGAACTGTGCTGTGCAGAATCACTGATGAAATCACCTTGCGTCCCAAATAACTACTCATTATCTGATCAAGATTGGACATTCTGCGCCTCGTCGCCTTGCTGAAACTGATCCCCTCAAAAACGCTGATTGTCTTCTAGGAGCATGCAGTGACCATGACGACGCTGATTGTACCTTTATAACATGGTCTCCTCTAGGAGCATGCAGTGACCATGACGACGCTGATTGTACCTTTATAACATGGTGTCTTCTAGGAGCATGCAGTGACCATGCCGTGCACCTGGGTGATGGCCTGTGCCTACGCTCCTTCTGGATGTGCAGTGGCCTGTGGGTAAGTTCCCCAGCTCCACCCGGACGCTCCATTTCCCCACTGTGCCACTGCGCTTCTGCTGTGCTACTGTGAAGCATTGTAAATTTAAAATGGATTGTATTTCAGTGGTCTGGACAACAAGTGCTCAGTGTACCCTCTGTCCTTGGACAAGAATGAGAACCTGGCAGCGAAAAAGAAGTCTGTCGCCATGCACACCAACTACTTATCCGCCTGTAGCTTCACCAACTCAGACATGCAGGTTAGAGAAGACACCTTTTCATCTTCTTCTGATGTAATGATTATTTGTCGTACATTTGTATATTTTGTTGTTGAATTACTTGATTGTTGCAAATTCAGTTTAAAAGAAAAACCTACAGATATGCCGAATCTTGATTTGAGCCAGTTTCACTCATCGGGAAAATAATCCTGCAGCAACAGGAAATGTGAATTGTTATGTGGATTATAATTCATGGATTTTTTTTAGTAGGGGTTGATATATTTTTTGTTAGGGCAAATCAAGTCTGACATTTTAAAGTGGAAATTACAAACTTGGGAAACCTTTTTAAACCTCAAATACACTACAAGTTTGCATTTCCTGCAGGGCAGGAACATTTCTGCAACAGGATGATCAAATTAGGATATGGCATCTGAATTTCTTCTACTTTCCTATGGCAGATGAGTAATGGGAAATCACTGCCTGTCATACTGTGCTGCACTCTATGCCCGACCTGGAAATAACTTCCATTCTTGTTTAATAATTCACAACTATCAAATGTTCCCCGATTGGATGTGGTTAGTCACATGCTTTAGTCTCGGCCAAGACAGCTCTATTTATAGGGCAGTGTCAGAGAATTTGGAATTCTGAATCTGAACAGCCAACGGTATTAGAATGACTTCCTTCTGACCTGTGTGGTTGTACTTTGCTCTCTGTGGGCTGGTTTCCCTGATATATTCAATATATAATATTTTTTTGTCCTGAAATGAGTCTAATATAGGTCTGGGAAACCGGTCCCATATGTACATTATGGGGTGAATCCTAACCTTTACCTTAAGTCACATTTTCACTTAGTCTCCCATTTGACATTCAATGAATACTAAGTGGCGGTTAGTATTCACCTCCTGTATGGAACCCCTTCGCGTTCCAGATCCTGACATCGAGCGGAGACGGAACCTGCGCATTATGGGATGTGGAGAGTGGTCAGCTGTTGCAGAGTTTCCATGGACACGCCGCCGATGTCCTCTGTCTGGACCTGGCTCCTTCTGAGACAGGCAACACCTTCGTCTCTGGGGTGAGGGGAGCACTGGTAGTATCGTCTCTGGGGTGAGGGGAGGACTGGTAGTATCGTCTCTGGGGTGAGGGGAGCACTGGTAGTATCGTCTCTGGGGTGAGGGGAGGACTGGTAGTATCGTCTCTGGGGTGAGGGGAGGACTGGTAGTATCGTCTCTGGGGTGAGGGGAGGACTGGTAGTATTTCACTGGGGTGAGGGGAGGACTGGTAGTATTTCACTGGGGTGAGGGGAGGACTGGTAGTATTTCACTGGGGTGAGGGGAGGACTGGTAGTATTTCACTGGGGTGAGGGGAGGACTGGTAGTATTTCACTGGGGTGAGGGGAGGACTGGTAGTATTTCACTGGGGTGAGGGGAGGACTGGTAGTATTTCTCTGGGGTGAGGGGAGGACTGGTAGTATTTCACTGGGGTGAGGGGAGGACTGGTAGTATTTCACTGGGGTGAGGGGAGACTGGTAGTATTTCACTGGGGTGAGGGGAGCACTGGTAGTATTTCACTGGGGTGAGGGGAGGACTGGTAGTATTTCACTGGGGTGAGGGGAGGACTGGTAGTATTTCACTGGGGTGAGGGGAGGACTGGTAGTATTTCACTGTATTGTCCCACAGTGGAGAAATGGTAAATAAACAGTCTGACTCCTCTTCTAAACCTCCCTCCGATTTTCCAGTCTTTTATCTTTACTTTCCTTTTGTATTTTTTCCGATTTTATTCAGAGAGAGAGTTTTGAAATGATAAGGGGAAACAGGTGAAAAGGCAACATAGTGTGGAAATCGTGACAGCCTTGAGATTACAACCCCCCGCCTCTAGGGGCATGTGTGGTCCAGACTGCAAAGAAACTAACTGTGTTGCATTTGACCTAATGTGGATATTTTCATTTAACCTTTTATTTAACCAGAAAAGGTAAACCCTATTTTGGGTTAAACCTTTCAAAAAGTCAGCAATAATTCATGAATTCATAATCTTTCTTCTGTGTTTCTAATGCAGGGCTGTGACAAGAAGGCCAACGTATGGGACATGCGCTCAGGCCAGTGCATCCAGTCCTTCGAAACCCACGAATCAGACATCAACAGCGTCAGGTGAGGTCACAAGATATTAATTTATTCAAAGGGACTTAGAGACCTGTCAACGCTGACAATGACATACGGTATATACCCCTGTATTAATATTAAGTGAGCCCAGGGACTGCAGTTGAAAAACTAGCTGACACTGTCCCTGTAAAACTAAGCTTAATAAAGTAAAGTCCTTGCATGGTTTCTTATATAACCTGGCGTTTCTCTCCTTCTTGGCATCAGGTACTATATAACCTGCTGTTTCTCCTCCATCAGGTACTATATAACCTGGTGTTTCTCTCCATCAGGTACTATATAACCTGCTGTTTCTCCTCCATCAGGTACTATATAACCTGGTGTTTCTCCTCCATCAGGTACTATATAACCTGCTGTTTCTCTCCATCAGGTACTATATAACCTGGTGTTTCTCTCCATCAGGTGCTATATAACCTGCTGTTTCTCTCCATCAGGTACTATATAACCTGGTGTTTCTCCTCCATCAGGTACTATATAACCTGCTGTTTCTCCTCCATCAGGTACTATATAACCTGGTGTTTCTCTCCATCAGGTACTATATAACCTGCTGTTTCTCCTCATCAGGTACTATATAACCTGCTGTTTCTCTCCATCAGGTACTATATAACCTGCTGTTTCTCCTCCATCAGGTACTATATAACCTGGTGTTTCTCCTCCATCAGGTACTATATAACCTGGTGTTTCTCTCCATCAGGTACTATATAACCTGCTGTTTCCTCCATCAGTACTATATAACCTGCTGTTTCTCCTCCATCAGGTACTATATAACCTGCTGTTTCTCTCCATCAGGTACTATATAACCTGTGTTTCTCTCCATCAGGTACTATATAACCTGCTGTTTCTCCTCCATCAGGTACTATATAACCTGGTGTTTCTCTCCATCAGGTACTATATAACCTGGTGTTTCTCTCCATCAGGTACTATATAACCTGCTGTTTCTCTCCATCAGGTACTATATAACCTGCTGTTTCTTCTCCATCAGTACATATAACCTGGTGTTTTCTCCAATCAGGTACTATAAACCCTTTGCTGTTTCTCCCCATCAGGTACTATATAACTGGTTTTCTCTCCATCGGGTTTACTATATAACCTGCTGTTTCTCTCCACAGGTACTATATAACCTGCTGTTTCTCCCATCAGGTACATAAAAACCGGGGTGTTTCTCTCCATCAGGTACATATAACCTGCTGTTTCTCTCCATCAGGTACTATAACCTGCTGTTTCTCCTCCATCAGGTACTATATAAACCTGCTGTTTCTCTCCGTGGGTACTATATAACCTGCTGTTTCTCATCCATCAGGTACTATAAAACCCTGGTGTTTTTTCCTCCACGGGTACTATATAACCGCTGTTTCTCTCCATCAGGTACTATTATAACCTGTGTTTCTCTCATCAGGTACTATATTCTGGGTTTCTTCCTCCATCAGTACTATATAACCTGGTGTTTCTCCTCCATCAGGTACTATATAACTGGTGGTTTCCTCCATCAGGTACTATATAACCTGTGGTTTTTTCCATCAGGTATATATAACCTGGTGTTTCTCTCCATCAGGTACTATATACCTGCTGTTTCTCCTCCATCAGGTATATATAACCTGGTTTTTCTCTCCATCAGGTACATAAAAACCCTGGTGTTTCTCCTCCTCAGGTACTATATAACCTGGTGTTTCTCCCATCAGGTACTATATAACCTGCTGTTTCTCTCCATCAGGTTTATATAACCTGGTGTTTTCCCTCCATCGGTTTACATATAACCTGGTGTTTCTCTCCATCAGGTACTATAACCTGGTGTTTCTCTCCATCAGGTACTATATAACCTGCTGTTTCTCTCCATCGGGTACTATATAACGGGGTGTTTCTCTCCATCAGTACTATAAACCTGCTGTTTCTCCTCCATCAGGTACTATAAACCTGCTGTTCTTCCAATCAGGTACTATATAACCTGGTGTTTCTCTCCATCAGGTACTATATAACCTGGTGTTTCTCCTCCATCAGGTACTATATAACCTGGTGTTTCTCTCCATCAGGTATATATAACCTGTGTTTCTCCATCAGGTACTATATAACCTGGGTTTCTCCTCCATCAGGTCTATATAAACTGGTGTTTCTCCTCCATCAGGTCTATATAACCTGGTGTTTCTCTCCATAGGTTACTATATAACTGGTGTTTCTTCCATCAGGTACTATTAACCTGGTGTTTCTCCCCCATGGTACTATTAACCTGGTGTTTCTCCCATCAGGTACTATATAACCTGTTTTTTGGTTTCTCTCCATCAGGTACTATAAACCTGCTGTTTCTCCTCCATCAGGTACTATTAACCGGTGTTTCTCCTCCATCAGGTACTATAAAACCCTGCTGTTTCTCCCCATCAGGTACTATATAACCTGGTGTTTCTCTCCATCAGGTACTATATAACCTGGTTTTTCTCTCCATCAGGTACTAAAATAACCTGCTGTTTCTCTCCATCAGGTACTATATAACCTGCTGTTTCTCTCCATCAGGTACTATATAACCTGGTGTTTCTCTCCATCAGGACTATATAACCTGGTGTTTCTCCTTTCCCATCAGGTACTATATAACCTGGTGTTTCTCTCCATCAGGTACTATAAAAACCTGGTGTTTCTCTCATCATGTACTATATAACCTGGTGTTTTCCCCATCGGGTTTACTATATAACCGCTATTTCTCCTCCATCAGGTAATATATAACCTGGTGTTTCTCCTCCATCAGGTACTATATAACCTGCTGTTTCTCTCCATCAGGTCTATTAACCTGGTGTTTCTCTCCATCAGGTACTATATAACCTGCTGTTTCCCTCCATCAGGTACTATAAAACCCTGCTGTTTCCCCTCCATCGGTACTATATAACCTGGTGTTTCTCCTCCATCGGGTACTATATAACCTGCTGTTTCTCTCCATCGGTACTATATAACCTGCTGTTTCTCCTCCATCAGGTACTATATAACCTGCTGTTTCTCTCCATCAGGTTACTATATAACCTGCTGTTTCTCTCCATCAGGTACTATATAACCTGGTGTTTCTCCTCCATCAGGTACTATATAACCTGGCTTTTCTCCTCCATCAGGTACTATATAACCTGGTGTTTCTCTCCATCAGGTACTATATAACCTGGTGTTGTTTGTCTATACTGGGTTTCCCCATCAGGGTACTATATAACCTGGTGTTTTCTCCTCCATCAGGTACTATATAACCCTGGTGTTTCTTCTCCATCAGGTACTATATAACCTGCTGTTTCTCTCCATCAGGTACTATATAACCTGGCTGTTCTCTCCATCAGGTACTATATAACCTGGTGTTTCTCCTCCATCAGGTACTATATACCCTGCTGTTTCTCCTCCATCAGTGACTATATAACCTGGTGTTCTCTCCCATCAGGTACTATATAACCTGGTGTTTCTCTCCATCAGGTACTATATAACCTGTGTTTCTCCTCCATCAGGTACTATATAACCTGCTGTTTCTCTCCATCAGGTACTATATAACCTCTTTTTTCCCTCCATCAGGTACTATATAACCTGCGGGTTTCTCCCATCAGGTACATTTTAACTGGTGTTTCTCCTCCATCAGGTACTATTTTAACTGGTGTTCTCTCCATCAGGTACTATATAACCGGGTTTGTTTTTTTCCATCAGGTAATATATAACCTGGTGTTTCTCCCCATCAGGTACTATATAAACCTGCTATTTCTCCTCCATCAGGTACTTATAACCTGGTGTTCTCCTCCATCAGGTACTATAAAAACCTGCTGTTTCTCTCCATCAGGTAACTATATAACCTGGTGTTTCTCTCCTCAGGTACTATAAAAACCTGTGTTTCTCCTCCATCAGGTACTATATAACCTGCTGTTTCTCCTCCATCAGGTACTATTAACCTGGTGTTTCTCCGCCATCAGGTACTATATAACCTGCTGTTTTCTCCATCAGGTCCCTATTAACCTGCTGTTTCTCTCCATCAGGTCCCTATATAACCTGCTGTTTCTCTCCATCAGGTACATTTTAACTGGTGTTTCTTCCATCAGGTACTAATAACCTGGTGTTTCTCCTCCTCAGGTACATATAACCTGTGTTTCTCTCATCAGGTACTAATAACCTGGGTTTCTCTCCATCAGGTATATATAACCTGGTGTTTCTCTCCATCGGGTACTATATAACTGTGTTTCCCTCCATCAGGTGCTATAACCTGGTGTTTCTCTCCATCAGGTACTATATAACCTGCTGTTTTCTCCCATCAGGTACTATATAACCGGGGTGTTTCTCTCCATCAGGTACTATATAACCTGGTGTTCTCCTCCATCAGGTACTATATAACCTGCGGGTTTCTCTCCATCAGGTTTACATATAACTGGTGTTTCTCCCAAAGGTACATATAACCTGGTGTTTCTCTCCATCGGGTTACTATATAACCTGGTGTTTCTCCTCCATCAGGTATTTAATTTAACCTGGTGTTTCTCTCCATCAGGTACTATATAACCTGGTGTTTCTCTCATCAGGTTACTATATAACCTGCTGTTTCTCTCCATCAGTTACTATATAACCTGCTGTTTCTCTCCATCAGGACTATATAACCTGCTGTTTCTCTCCATCAGGTACTATATAACCTGGTGTTTTCTCTCCATCAGGTACTATATAACCTGGGTGTTTCTCCTCCATCAGGTACTATATAACCTGGTGTTTCTCTCCATCAGGTACTATATAACCTGGTGTTTCTCTCCATCAGGTACTATATAACCTGGTGTTTCTCTCCATCAGGTACTATATAACCTGGTGTTTCTCCTCCATCAGGTACTATATAACCTGGTGTTTCTCCTCCATCAGGTACTATATAACCTGGTGTTTCTCTCCATCAGATACTATATAACCTGGTGTTTCTCTCCATCAGGTACTATATAACCTGGTGTTTCTCTCCATCAGGTACTATATAACCTGCTGTTTCTCCTCCATCAGGTACTATATAACCTGGTGTTTCTCTCCATCAGGTACTATATAACCTGCTGTTTCTCTCCATCAGGTACTATATAACCTGCTGTTTCTCCTCCATCAGGTACTATATAACCTGGTGTTTCTCTCCATCAGGTACTATATAACCTGGTGTTTCTCTCCATCAGGTACTATATAACCTGGTGTTTCTCTCCATCAGGTACTATATAACCTGGTGTTTCTCCTCCATCAGGTACTATATAACCTGGTGTTTCTCCTCCATCAGGTACTATATAACCTGCTGTTTCTCCTCCATCAGGTACTATATAACCTGGTGTTTCTCTCCATCAGGTACTATATAACCTGGTGTTTCTCTCCATCAGGTACTATATAACCTGGTGTTTCTCTCCATCAGGTACTATATAACCTGGTGTTTCTCCTCCATCAGGTACTATATAACCTGCTGTTTCTCTCCATCAGGTACTATATAACCTGCTGTTTCTCTCCATCAGGTACTATATAACCTGGTGTTTCTCTCCATCAGGTACTATATAACCTGGTGTTTCTCTCCATCAGGTACTATATAACCTGGTGTTTCTCTCCATCAGGTACTATATAACCTGGTGTTTCTCCTCCATCAGGTACTATATAACCTGGTGTTTCTCTCCATCAGGTACTATATAACCTGCTGTTTCTCTCCATCAGGTACTATATAACCTGGTGTTTCTCTCCATCAGGTACTATATAACCTGGTGTTTCTCCTCCATCAGGTACTATATAACCTGCTGTTTCTCCTCCATCAGGTACTACCCCAGTGGAGATGCGTTTGCCTCAGGTTCCGATGACGCTACAGTGAGTGATCACATCCATATCATTTACTGCTTGATCACAGTTTATGTCGCCCTTTTCAATGTCAAAATATTTTACCCCGTTTGCAAAAAAAAAATGGAGTTATTAATGCATGTGTTTGTTTCAGTGTCGTCTGTATGACCTGAGGGCAGACAGAGAAGTGGCCATTTATTCCAAAGAGAGCATCATATTTGGTGCCTCCAGTGTTGACTTCTCGCTCAGTGGTAAGACACTGTATTAATTAACTCCAACTAGTACATGTGCTCTTCTGTTTACCCAGTCTACACTTTAGTGATCCATGTCACTAACTAGTCTACACTTTAGTGATCTATGTCACTAACCAGTCTACACTTTAGTGATCCATGTCACTAACCAGTCTACACTTTTGTGATCCATGTCACTAACCAGTCTGCACTTTTGGGATCCAGTCACTAACCGTCTACACTTTAGTGTCCAAAGTCACTAACCAGTTTACACTTTAGTGATCCATGTCACTAACCAGTCTACACTTTAGTGACCATGTCACTAACAGTCTACACTTTAGTGATCCATGTCCCCTAACCAGTCTACACTTTATGATCCATGTCACTAACCAGTCTACACTTATGATCCATGTCACTAAACCAGTCTACACTTTAGTGATCTTGTCACTAACCCAGTCTACACTTTAGTGATCCATGTCACTAACCCGTCTACACTTTTAGTGATCTATGTCACTAACCAGTCTACACTTTAGTGATCCATGTCACTAACCAGTCTACACTTTAGTGATCCATGTCACTAACCAGTCTACACTTTAGTGATCCATGTCACTAACCAGTCTACACTTTAGTGATCCATGTCACTAACCAGTCTACACTTTAGTGATCCATGTCACTAACCAGTCTACACTTTAGTGATCCATGTCACTAACCAGTCTACACTTTAGTGATCCATGTCACTAACCAGTCTACACTTTAGTGATCCATGTCACTAACTAAACCCATCATTATTTGTACTAAATCACACTACTACCATTTGCTGTTGAATATGAACAGCTTATTCTCACATGAACCTTCTTATCAGAGATGATGTGTTGCGTTTATATTGTTGAAAGACGACATGTATTTTCTTCTTAAGGCCGGCTACTCTTCGGTGGCTACAACGACTACACCATCAACGTGTGGGATGTCTTGAAGGGGACGAGGGTGTCCATCCTGTTTGGACATGAGAACCGTGTCAGCACTCTGCGTGTGTCTCCTGACGGAACGGCCTTCTGCTCAGGGTCATGGGACCACACTCTCAGGGTGAGGGAAGGGGGTTTGGGTTACATTCCCAAAGGACAAATTATTAGTATTGCCTACTACTATCTGTCTATATCGATCCTATCTATCCTGTCCTATCTATCTAATCGATTATATCGATCCTATCCTATCTAATCTATTGATCCTATCTAATCTATTGATCATATCTAATCTATTGATCCTATCTAATCTATTGATCCTATCTAATCTATCCTTCCTATTGATCCTATCTAATCTATTGATCCTATCTAATCTATTGATCCTATCTAATATATTGATCCTATTGATCCTATCTAATCTATTGATCCTATCTAATCTATTGATCCTATCTAATCTATTGATCCTATTGATCCTATCTAATCTATTGATCCTATTGATCCTATCTAATCTATTGATCCTATTGATCCTATCTAATCTATTGATCCTATCTAATCTATTGATCCTATCTAATCTATTGATCCTATTGATCCTATCTAATCTATTGATCCTATCTAATCTATTGATCCTATCTAATCTATTGATCCTATTGATCCTATCTAATCTATTGATCCTATTGATCCTATCTAATCTATTGATCCTATTGATCCTATCTAATCTATTGATCCATCAGGGCTTTAACTAATTCCCGGCCTCTCCATTTTATTTGTCTAAAGAACAGCATCATAATCTATATCCATAATCTATATCCATAATCTATATCCATAATCTATATCTATAATCTATATCTATAATCGATATCCATAATCTATACCCATAATCTATATCCATAATCTATATCCATAATCTATATCCATAATCTATATCTATAATCTAATCCATAATCTATATCCATAATCTATATCCATAATCTATATCTATAATCTATATCCATAGTCTATATCCATAATCTATATCCATAATCTATATCCATAATCTATATCTATAATCTATATCCATAATCTATATCCATAATCTATATCCATAATCTGTATCATGTCTATTTTTATCGTGAAGTAAGTTTACGTTTCTATATACAGCTGTGGAAAAAATTAAGAGACCAGCGCAAATTTTTCTTAAATCTCTACACTTTAGTGATCCATCTCTACATGTATGACAGCCATTCCATTCCAGTGTCTGTTGAATTCCAACACAGGCACACCTCATTCTACTGAATTAGGTACTGATTAGGTGATCACATGAACCAAATCTTATTTAACAAGTGTAAAAAACACTGCAGTGGTCATCACTATCCTATTGCAATAGGACCAGCTGGATGGCAAAAACAGTGCTAATAGTACCTCAAAAGTAATATTAATCCAAAAATAACTATTGACCATGCCAAAAGAGTTGAAAAGGAAAGTTTTGAGTGAGGAAAAGAAGGGTTCAATTCTGGCTTTACTGGCAGAGGGATACAGTGAGCGTCAGGTTAATTCCATCCTTAAAATTTCAAAGACGGCGGTTCATAAGAACAAGGTCAAGCAGCAGACATTGGGGACAACAAAGCTACAGACCGGCAGAGGGCGAAAACGACTCTCTACTGACCAGGATGACCGCCAACTCATTCGAATGTCACTCAACAACCGTAGGATGACATCAAGTGACCTACAAAAAGAATGGCAAACGGCAGCTGGGGTGAAGTGCACGGCGAGGACGGTTCGAAACAGGCTCCTAGGGGCAGGGCTGAAGTCGTGCAAAGCTAGAAAAAAGCCCTTCATCAATGAGAAGCAAAGAAGAGCCAGGCTGAGGTTTGCAAAATACCATTGGACCGTAGAGGACTGGAGTAAGGTCATCTTCTCTGATGAGTCCAATTTTCAGCTTTGCCCAACACCTGGTCGTCTAATGGTTAGACGGAGACCTGGAGAGGCCTACAAGCCACAGTGTCTCGCACCCACTGTAAAATTTGGAGGAGGATCGTGATGATCTGGGGATGCTTCAGCAAGGCTGGAATCGGGCAGATTTGTCTTTGGGAAGGACGCATGAATCAAGCCACGTACAGTGGGGAAAAAAAGTATTTAGTCAGCCACCAATTGTGCAAGTTCTTCCACTTAAAAAGATGAGAGAGGCCTGTAATTTTCATCATAGGTACACGTCAACTATGACAGACAAATTGAGGGGAAAAAATCCAGAAAATCACATTGTAGGATTTTTAATGAATTTATTTGCAAATTATGGTGGAAAATAAGTATTTGGTCACCTACAAACAAGCAAGATTTCTGGCTCTCACAGACCTGTAACTTCTTCTTTAAGAGGCTCCTCTGTCCTCCACTCGTTACCTGTATTAATGGCACCTGTTTGAACTTGTTATTAGTATAAAAGACACCTGTCCACAACCTCAAACAGTCACACTCCAAACTCCACTATGACCAAGACCAAAGAGCTGTCAAAGGACACCAGAAACAAAATTGTAGACCTGCACCAGGCTGGGAAGACTGAATCTGCAATAGGTAAGCAGCTTGGTTTGAAGAAATCAACTGTGGGAGCAATTATTAGGAAATGGAAGACATACAAGACCACTGATAATCTCCCTTGATCTGGGGCTCCACGCAAGATCTCACCCCGTGGGGTCAAAATGATCACAAGAACGGTGAGCAAAAATCCCAGAACCACACGGGGGGACCTAGTGAATGACCTGCAGAGAGCTGGGACCAAAGTAACAAAGCCTACCATCAGTAACACACTACGCCGCCAGGGACTCAAATCCTGCAGTGCCAGACGTGTCCCCCTGCTTAAGCCAGTACATGTCCAGGCCCGTCTGAAGTTTGCTAGAGTGCATTTGGATGATCCAGAAGAGGATTGGGAGAATGTCATATGGTCAGATGAAACCAAAATATAACTTTTTGGTAAAAACTTAACTCGTCGTGTTTGGAGGACAAAGAATGCTGAGTTGCATCCAAAGAACACCATACCTACTGTGAAGCATGGGGGTGGAAACATCATGCTTTGGGGCTGTTTTTCTGCAAAGGGACCAGGACGACTGATCCGTGTAAAGGAAAGAATGAATGGGGCCATGTATCGTGAGATTTTGAGTGAAAACCTCCTTCCATCAGCAAGGGCATTGAAGATGAAACGTGGCTGGGTCTTTCAGCATGACAATGATCCCAAACACACCGCCCGGGCAACGAAGGAGTGGCTTCGTAAGAAGCATTTCAAGGTCCTGGAGTGGCCTAGCCAGTCTCCAGATCTCAACCCCATAGAAAATCTTTGGAGGGAGTTGAAAGTCCATGTTGCCCAGCGACAGCCCCAAAACATCACTGCTCTAGAGGAGATCTGCGTGGAGGAATGGGCCAAAATACCAGCAACAGTGTGTGAAAACCTTGTGAAGACTTACAGAAAACGTTTGACCTGTGTCATTGCCAACAAAGGGTATATAACAAAGTATTGAGAAACTTTTGTTATTGACCAAATACTTATTTTCCACCATAATTTGCAAATAAATTCATTAAAAATCCTACAATGTGATTTTCTGGATTTTTTCCCCTCAATTTGTCTGTCATAGTTGACGTGTACCTATGATGAAAATTACAGGCCTCTCTCATCTTTTTAAGTGGGAGAACTTGCACAATTGGTGGCTGACTAAATACTTTTTTTCCCCACTGTACAAGGTTGTCCTGGAAGAAAACTTGCTTCCATTTGCTCTGACATTGTTCCCCAACTCTGAGGATTGGTTTTTCCAGCAGGACAATGCGCCATGCCACACAGCCAGGTCAATCAAGGTGTGGATGGAGGACCAGCAGATCAAGACCCTGTCATGGCCAGCCCAATCTCCAGACCTGAACCACATTGAAAACTTCTGGAATGTGATCAAGAGGAAGATGGATGGTCATAAGCCATCAAACAAAGCCGAGCTGCTTGATTTTTTGCGCCAGGAGTGGCATAAAGTCACCCAACATCAATGTGAAAGACTGGTGGAGAGCATCCCAAGACGCATGAAAGCTGTGATTGAAAATCAGGGTTATCCCACCAAATATTGATTTCTGAACTCTTCCTAAGTTAAAACATTACTATTGTGTTGTTTAAAAATGAACATGAAGTTATTTTTTTTGCATTATTCGAGGTCTGACAACACAGCATCTTTTTTGTTATTTTGACCAGTTGTCATTTTCTGAAAATAAATGCTCTAAATGACAATATTTTTATTTGGAATTTGGGAGAAATGTTGTCAGTAGTTTATCAAAACAATTAAAAAAAAAAAAAATACCCAAACACATACCTATAAATAGTAAATTCAGAGAAACTGATAATTTTGCAGTGGTCTCTTAATTTTTTCCGCAGCTGTATATATATTTTTTTTCAGATCTGGGCTTAATCTATCCTATCCATCCATCCTAACCTTATCCATCCTATCTACCATATCTATCCATCCATCCTATCCTTATCTATCATATCATATCCATCCTAGCCTTATCTATCCTATCTACCATATCTATCCATCCATCCTATCCTTATCTATCATATCATATCCATCCTAACCTTATCTATCCTATCTACCATATCTATCCATCCATCCTATCCTTATCTATCATATCATATCCATCCTAACCTTATCTATCCTATCTACCATATCTATCCATCCATCCTATCCTTATCTATCATATCATATCCATCCTAACCTTATCTATCCTATCTACCATATCTATCCATCCATCCATCTTATCTATCATATCATATCCATCCTAACCTATCTATCCTATCTACCATATCTATCCATCATCTATCCTTATCTATCATCACTTCACTACCTTATTATCTTCTATACACCATCATCCTATTTTTATTAATACACCTACTTATTTCCATCTACATATTATCCTCATTACCTTATTTTATCAACCCTCACTTAAGTATCCACTACCAACTATCCACCATCCATGCCTTATCGATCATATCAATGCACAACCTTTTATCACTACCTACTATCCATCATCCTATCTTATTCATATCAACCATCCAACCTACATCTACACCATTTATCATCATCTTACTGTAGTTTATCAGGCTTCTGGCCTTGCTCTCATTTACTA